AATTCAAATCTAACGGATAGAAGGCCGGCGAGCGGGTATGCCGGCGTGACGTTTTGAATCTCGGCGGGAAATGGAGATTGACTGGGAAAGGCCAGACGGTTCGGGTGACTCCTAAACTACCTAAAAATACTGCGCGGTAAAATGAATCAGAAGGCGGTCATGCGTTCGTGACTCGTGACGCGAGTGCCGAACAATTGGAGAGCGACGATTTTGAATTTGCGGTGTTTTTTTCTTCACTGACAACAATAATACCGCATTTCTATTACTGCTTAGCGACTGGGAAGTATCCGAACTGTCGAAGTGAATCTTTCAACCGCATGAAGATTGCAAGAGGTGATAGTCAAACAAATAAGCATCATGCCACAATCAAGTTTTGGCAAAGAAAGTCAAGATGATCATCATGAGGAGGAGCCAGCACCAGTGACGCTTCCATACGAGGCGCAGCTGCCAGCCCACCTGTCATATGAATCAGCAGCTGCCAGAGCTACCGGTAGGATATCATTGCTGCTGTCCTCTTCGCCATTCGCTCTCCTTCCACCAGCACACTTGTCAGTACCACCTTTTGGTCTCGCTTCGTTGTTAGCCAGTGATACTATATATCAGCACCGAGGACATCATGTTGAGCCTCCTTCCAATATTGCCGAAAAGCCATTTGTCGTCCAAAAGGCTGTTGTTGTAAATCAATACAAGGCAGACTACAGTCGTGAGAAAGAGCGGAGACAAATGCGACCGCCTGTTTTGCAAGTGGGAAACTACAAACGGTTTGAAACGTCCATTCCCAAGGATGCGGAGCTGGTCTTAATACCCACCCAACAGGATGTGGTCTTTGGCCGAGGCAAGGGCTCTCATGATCGCCCCGGAAACCTACGAATGCGAGCCATTATTCGTTCTCACAAGAATGAGTACGCGGAAGCTCGGAAATCCAAAAAGAGAGAGATTGCCGAACTAGTATACTCGGAAATCACCCAAGATGGGGCAAGATTTTTATACCAGAACCAAGAAAAAAACGCCTATGCCATTGTGACTCTGAATCTTGCGTTGCAAAAGTTGAGCAACACGTTACGGTGCCGCAAGAGTTGTATTTAAAAAATACATAAACAAACCACCATAGTATACACACCTCTTTTTACTATTACTTTTCTGTCTCTAGTAGTTCTAGATCATTGTTATCGGCAACCTCGGCCGCGGCACGAATTCGACGCTTGCGGCGATACACGCAGAATCCAACGATTATTGCCACTATGAGGACAGCTCCAGCAGCAATCCCAATGATAGCACCCAATCCCAATCCAGGAGCAGCGGTACACGAACAAGTTCCTCCTTCTTGCTCCCCAACCTGCTCCATTGCCATCATTCCCAAATCTTCATGAATCAGTCGATGGCAATGGACCATAAGTTTTCCAGTAAACTCTGTTGGAGAGTATCGAATGGTCCCATCCCCCATAACAACATCATGCCAATCTCCAATTTGATTGTATGCATCACGATTATTGTTGTATCCAGTTGTCAGTTGAAAGGGATACACATGTTGATGGTAGGGATGCTCATTGGCTTGCCCACCCATGACACGTTCCACAACGGCGCCCAAATAGGAAGTGTGCAACGTAAGCCCATACTCAAAGGCAATTCCATTTACCGTGTCAGTCCCATCGAATTCCGTGGTACAGCTGCAACCAGGACTCACGGTGGCTCCTCGCAAATCACTCAAATAGGCCGGGTAGGGTGGTTCCCAGGCTTCCAAGTCGGACGATTCCACTTCAACGTCAGTGGTCACAATGGTCGCCAAGGTTCCACCTTGTCCCGAAATGGAATAGTATGTGGACGGATCGCGGCATCTTACCATGATATCGGCACGACCTCCGGGTACAATGGGAGCCATGTCAATGGCACGGGGGTAATCTCGAATGTAAATTCCATCCTTGGCCAGCAATTGCATTTCACACCCGCCTTGTGCAACAATGCTAAAATCCAAATTCCCATTGCGCCACTGGGACCAAATGATGCGAAATCGAGTCCATTCTCCTGGATTGATGGAAATGGTTGGTTGCAAGGCACCATTGACCAAGGTAAATTCATTGGATGGTGCATTTCGGATGTTCGTTAGCTGGTCGTTGGATTGCTCTTGGATTCGATTCAGTTCATTGACATGAAAATATTGGGCCATAAACATGACCTCGGGGGCATTGGCAATTTGGTCTGGAAGAAAGTCTGGCGGGTCTTCCACAACAATGGCCGAAGCGGCACCAGCACCCACTTGCAAGCTTGTGGATCCATGTCGATGAGGATGCATCCAATGGGTTCCGGGCAAGTGCGAATCCGGTAGTGTAGTCATGTAATCATACGATTCTCCTGGTCCAACCACATGGGTGACATCGTCGGAAGGCAACTCTCCTATAGACATGTAGTATGTGAGTGATCATGATGAACTGACACATACAGTATCATGACAATAATAATATGAACAATATAAAAACTCACCTGACACATGGAGTCCATGAAAGTGAAGGTTGGTCTCGTCGGCTGCCGAGTAGGTATTGTGGACATAACCAAGCGCACCATTATTGTCAGTCAACAAATTCTGAAAGTTGATCTTTAGGGTATCTCCCGGTTGGATTCGAAGGGTTGCTCCCGGCAACTGGCCATTGAACAGCCGAGAGGTTATTTCAATGTTGCTATTGGGAATGGATACAGTAGCGGATTCCAGACTCCATGTCGTTGACAGAGTACCATTGGCACTTAATATTGTGGGTGGATTGATTGATGTCATATTGATGAACAACTGTTGTGGCAATATAGCTGGTGTTTGAGACAGCACAGCAATTTTCGACACGATTTTAAAAGATGATGGTGGCTATTCGCAATATTGACAATCTATAACTGTCGGTCTTAGGTATGGCTATTGAACGAATGAAGAAGAAATCGTTGGCGACCGCAGGTGTAATAATGATAATAGGTTGGTGCACCGCATCATATCATACCGGCACACCGGTAATATTATCTCATCCTGGGACGGCCGGGAAAATCAATATTTACTCCCAAGAATTGTATGCTAAATTTCTATTTCCCGGCCGTTCCTGGTATTTTTCAAATCAAAGCACTTTTTTGACTCACATGACATGATTTCACTAACAATACGGGGCATTCAAAAAACAATTTATTTTACCCCGGGGTACGGTACCGGTATATTCCCCCATTTATCTGGAAGCTTCGAGAAGTTCGAACACGTACATCACGACAAAAAGTCAAATGACAGCTCGAGCAGATTGATGATGAAAACCTCAAAAGATCTTGTTCGATAGACTTCATCTGTCCTCATTCATCCCATCATGAAAGATCTCATATAATAATTTCCAAGCAGCAAAGGCAGCGAATTAGAAATCAATCATGAAGATCTCGCCATCCTCCAAACTTGTCCTCAACTACCTTGAGATACCCAATGGCATTGGTGGTCGAGGTGGAGCTCTGCGCTTCTTCTTGTTATCCCAGGGTATCCCGTTTGAAGAAAAGCTGTTTGCCTTGGGCGAGGAATGGGAGACGGAAAAGAAGCGTCTGAAGGAAAGCGGTGAGAATCCTACGGCCAAAACTCCCGTGGTCTTTGTGGATGGCCAAACGCCACTTCCAGAGCACATTGCCACGGCCCGATTGCTGGCACAGGTCCATGGATGTGCCTCCACTGACGTCTACAAAAACTACATTCAAGACTTGGTGGCCGATGAATATCAAGGATTCCGTGATACCTGGGTCGATCAGGTATTTACTGCGACCGACGAAGAAAAGGCTGCCTACAAGAGTGAAGGCTTGCCCAACCGACTAGCACAGTTTGATGCCCTTTACTCTAAGTTCATGACTGATGATTTCTATTTGGGCGTCAGTGAAAAGACCAAGCAACCCTTGTGGGGAGACGCCGCCTGCTTTGGATTGGTCCGTGACCACATTGTGACTGGTATCATGGTCCGAGACGACCTAAAGAAGTACCCGAAGCTAGAGGCCATGTTCTCTGCCTATGAAAAGATCCCCGCCGTCGCACAGTGGATTGCTAGTAAAAATTAACATACAACAATCGACAAAACTGGTCTAAACATATTGCAGTACTGATTGTGGATGCGGTAGTCGGCGGTAGCTAGTACTAGTACGAAATGGAAGAGAGAATTTGGTTCATTCATTCTTGATGATAGGCGGGGTCTTCTTGACCATAGCAGAACAGCAAGACCTGAGTAAATCAGTAGCAAACCAAAGCACATATACTGTACTGTATATTATAAATTCTCTCAGTTAGATCCGACAATAGATGATGGCAAGAGTTCGGTCAGTCGTCAGTCAGTATTCACTCGCGCTCTCCTCCAACGCATTGACGCAAGCACAACGTCATGGGCCGGATTGATTTTTGATTGGTTCAACATCTACTCCTGTCCATCGTCCGATCTAGGGATTCCCGGTACTGACGTCACTTCCACAAATTTGCGAAATGGTTCGAGAAAGTTCGGCGAACGACCAGTTTACTTAAATAGAAGACTAACGAAGTTCTTTCAGCCGTTGATTTTTGGCATGGACGCATTGCTGTACTGCTGGAACGTACGGTATGTGCTGGAATTTTATAAGGCGAGAAGCGTACGGACGGCAGCAGGGTCATCCTGCAGAAAAAAAGGTTGTACGTGTTTGCTGGCGGTGCACTGCAATCAAAAGGTGTGAAGACTCTTAATTCCTTAGAACCTCTCAACACCATTACCAACACTGTCTTTTCAGCATATATCTATATAAGAACACTTCAGTTCATCCACTTAGTTCCGTAGAAAATAAAATCTCATCCGACTTGAGGAATCAAAAATGTCAACTTCAGGAGCACCTAAACCTTCCAACGCTGCCATCACTGCTGCAGCACACGGGGTGAGCAGCATCATCACATGGGTTATTCAAAAGAAAACGCCCACCAGCACTATTGGATTGACTTTTAGATCAAGAAATAAACGTGTGGTCATTGATAAAGTCCGAGGAAGAGCTTCCCGAAAGACTGATCTTGTGCCAGGTCTCAGAGTGCTAAAGGTGTGCGGACACGATGTCACAAGTGCTTCCGAATGCGTCAAATACATACACGCTGCACCAACTGGAGGTATTTTCATTGTCACGGAAGGAAAGCACCGTGCCGCTACTAAAAAGAGCAAGAAAGAAAAGGCTGGTATTTCCATTCAAAAGTGGCCCAATCAAAACTACGTTCAGATTGCTCGTGTGAACCCCGTTGGAATGTTCCGAGACTTGCAAGTTGGACAAGTTCTCTTCATTATCAATGGAAATAAGATCAATAATGTCATGCAAGCGCTTCGGTTGTTGCGAAAAAAGAGAAAGTTGCGAATCGTCACGGTGGACGTCAGAACCGCTGTTGATCCCTTTGACCTGATTGGGGAAAATGATAGTGGAAAGGATACTGAAGATACAGAACTAGGTGCCACCGAGGATGACGACGCTAAGGATGACGATGACAGCGAGGAGGAGAGAGCAGCTGTTGATGCCATTGATGACGATGATGATTCCGCAAAGTTCTCCAACTCGGATGCTGGGTCCACCATGTCTTCGTCCAACTGGGATGGACAATCGACTGGTGGGTCCACTGCAGCATCTCAATGGTCTTCTGTATACGGAGAAGAGAAAGGGAATCCAGAGGAAGAGGAAGATGGTATGCTTCCAACCGGATTCATGGATGACATGGCAAACGCTCTCATGCCAGGAGAAATCCAAATGGTCACCACCAAGGTGATCGCCTCGGTTATCAAACCAGCAAAGGACGTCAAGTTTGGAATCAAGTTCTCACTGAAATTTGACCAGCACTATGTTGAAAAGATTGACAAGGACGGTCTTTTCGCACATTGTAATGAACTATCCATCGGTCAAAGATTGGTTGGAGTCAAGGGTACAAACATCCGATCTGCATCAGTGGAAGATGCTCTCCGAGAAGCCAAGATTACAACTGGACGCATCACCCTGGAGACAACCGACGGTGACTTTGGTGATACTGATGAAGTAGCCAACAACTTGAAAGAAAGGCTCATAATTCACTTTGAGAAGCCCAGGGAAAAGGGACGACTTGGAGTTGGCTTCCAAAAGAAGCCAGACCATGAAGGTATTGGAATTGTCGGTATTTCCAAGGAGGGTTTCTTGGCCGAACTGAACATTCTAGCTGTTGGCGACCAAGTTATTGGTATCAACGGCCAACCATGCCCCGGAAGCACGGAAGAGCTCGTTTCACAAATAGTTGCCGCGGAAGGCATGTTCTCGTTGGAATTGAGCCCCGTCAGAAGAGACGTCGATTTCAAGGTCAAGAAACAAGAAAGAGAGCTCAAAGATCTCAAAAGAAAGGAGATCGAAGTCCTTGATCCAGAGCTTGGACCAGTTGTTATCGCTGCTGTTGAGAAGCCTGCCAGGGATTGCAAGGTTGGTATTTCTCTGCGCAAGTCCTTGAAGATTGATTCGATTTTGATTGCTGCCATTGCAGACGATGGTCTTTTGAAGGACAGTAACTTGCGAGTTGGCCAAAAGATTGTCTCCATCAACAACACTCCATGTCCCACCAACACTATCAGCGCCATCAAGCTCATCAAGGGAACTCCCCCTGGCCCACTTCGACTCGAGGCCTGCGAGGTGGACTGGAGTGCTACTCTTGCCAAGAACAACCCCAATCCAGAGGGTGAACCAGCTGCCGCCGCTCCAGCTGCACCAGCAGCAGCTCCCGCAGCAGAAGCTGCGAAACCAGAAGAACCTGCCAAGCCAGCAGAAGAACCCAAGGACGAGATGCAAGATATGCTTGACGACTTTGAAGCACAGCTTCAAAACGCATACAATGATCTCAACTTGGACTATGACTCCGCTGACAGTTCTGCTGTTGGGGACGATCAATCGTTTGCGACTGGCTTTGCTAGCACGTATATTGAACATGGGAAATAGATTGGGATTGTTTTCCTTCCAGACAATCGTGGTACTGGAGCAATAACAAAACAATAATAGAATTTGCAGTGCAATTCTCACAGAGTCATTAATATGAAACTTACAAAATATTAAATAAAATACAAATTCGTGGTGATTCGAAACTACCTACAGTACTGTAGTTTCCTCAGTTGACTGTTCAATCCATTTGCCAGTTTTCCTACCCAGACCCCATAGCGACATGAGACACCACTGTCATCGTCTGTCTGTCCATCCGTGCAACATGGTTTACTCGGCATTTTATTTTGAATTTCCAAGTTTTTCTTCTTTGACCCAACTCCTAATCGCTATACCGGTAGATAAACGACGACAGTGGTAAATGGCGCTGCGCAGTCCCTTGGCTCATGCCGTTGGATATGTTTGCATATTCTACCTGTTTCGACGTCTATGCGAGTTCAACGTTGAATACAATATGGAAGGCATGGTAGGATGCCATCATGCAGAGGATAGTTCACAACCACACTCCTACATTAATCAAAGTAGCACATTGCCATTCGATCATAATGCCGCAGCTCGGAATGCTACACATCTGATTATTGTCGCGGGTCATGCTGCGCTAATCTCACATCACTTGGGCGATGTTGGGGAAGACGAGGCAGATTGGTTTCTACTGGAATATCAAATTGGACAAGGTTTGCCTCAAGTGATCAAGGCGCATATTGAGGCCGCATTGGAAGAAGCTCAGAGTGATCCAGAGGGACTTGTCATTTTCTCTGGCGGACCAACCAGAACTGCAGTTGGACCAGAAGCGGAAGGTCCTAGTTACTTTCAAGCTGCTGAAGCGTAAGTGTTATTGTTCTGAAACATTCATTTTTCAGCGGTAAAATTCTGGTCTCACCAATTATTGTATGTGCAAACAAAATACTTGTTATTGCAGAATGAAACTGTGGCCTCAGGGCAGCAATGTCCGATCAAGAACAACCACTGAAGAGTTTGCATTGGATAGCTATCAGAATCTGTGAGTTTATTCTTTTGTGACTCGCAGTGCTATGTCGGCATTACTTTCACCAAACCAAACCAAACCGCTTACCATTGTGTTTATGCTCTTCATGTCGACTTTTCGATTCATTCATTCGTTGCCATGATGTACTCACCCATAATGTAGACTCTTTTCAATCTGCCGTTTCAAAGAAGTCACGGGGAGCTACCCGAAACATATTTCCATGATTTCGTTTTCCTTCAAACGACGACGGTTTGAAGAAGTCCACGCCCCAGCACTGCGGTGGCCTGCTGGGAAATTCACCTTTATCGGTGTCAATCCACCGACGTCCACCGGATTTGATTTGGAAAAGTCTAGCCAGGGAGAATTACTTAATTCGCTCAAGCCCTTTGAAGAGGATCCTTATGGATGTGGCGACGTCCTTCAAAAGAAACGAATTGAACGTAACCCATTCTACCGGACGGCTCCGTACCCATTGTCCTGTCCCGATCTAAAGCCACTATTAGATTGGTGCGGTCCGGACATTGTTCCTTTGGACCAGGTTCCTTGGAACAAAGATGGCGACCGATGATGGAGAAAGAAGAAGACTAGGCACCTTCGAAGCGGTGAACAAGTCACTAGGGCAGTTTGATGACAATGGTGCTACATTGGTTACCATGACGAACCATGGCCCAAAGCATGGCACTATGATTTCGAAGTAGTCATCTGAGGATATGGTCAAGAGGCTTTACCAATGACATGGTACAATGGAAATGGAATGGAGCCCATATGGCTCTCCTCTTTCATCCCATCACACAACGAACAAGATTCCTCACTAGAATCGGTTTCAGATTCACGCATTTACTACGATGGTTTCATCACCTATTGCTGGATTCTTGGTTATAGTTTTACAGTTAACACACAAAAGTCGGTTTCTCTTTTTAATCCTACACCGACTCGACTCTGGGAAAGACACATTTTAAAATAATAAGCAAACAGTAGTTCTAAAATCACATCAACGACATCACATGCAAAACATCCACTAAATACTTTTACTACTTACTGGTCCTTTGGCTTGTCAGAACTCATGGTATCCTTCTTTCCGTCTTGAATATCAATTTTTTCTTGCGTCTTGTCGGAAATTCCAAGCAACGACATGTCCTTTCGGAACGTGGGCAACCAAGTTTTTTGGAAGACTTCCTTGGTTTCATCCCATCCCTCTCGGAACCCAATAATTGGCTTGAAATCCAAGTCCTTTTCGGCGGCCGAAATATCAAACCACCTATGCATGGTCAAGACCAAGACGTTAAAGTAGCTCAATTTGAAAGTCTTGCCGAGCAAGGATCCAAGAAAATCGCAAATGTAGGCAAGTCCAAATAGCAACCAGGTGGGCAGATGGACCTTTTTCCAAATACTGGTAAATCCCATTGCCACAATGGCTTCGTCCAGAATTTCCCAAAAGATGAGGTATTGCTCGCCCTTGGGGTGGGTGGTACCGTCCGTGACAATGTAAAACTTGCCTAGGACCTTGGATTCGGGCTGAAGCGCACGCTCCGCAAGGATCAATCCGTGGCAGTAATTGTCCACGTGAGTAAAGCAAATTCTATTCTTTCCTTCTCCAAAGACACGGAGTTTACCATTCCCAGCCGCTTCCAACAAGTTGGGCAAGAACAGGTTATCCCGAGGACCGTAAACTTGATGAGGAGCCACAGCAATGGTCATGCATTTGGATTGATCCATTTTGAGCATTTCCACTTCCCCCATGGCCTTGGTTTCCGCATACGTTTGGAGGTATTTCTTGAGGGGAATTTGGGGCATTTGTTCTTCGGTGAGGCCATCCACATCTTCGCCAGTGAAACGAGTGGAAGGAGAGGAGGACATGACAATCTTCTTGACTCCGAATTCTTCACAGGCCTTCATAATGTTCAAGGTTCCTTCGTAGTTGACCTTGTAATAAAGCGGCTTTGGGTGAAAGGGCCCGACGGCAGCGGCATTGTGCCAGACACAGTCGGCGCCCTTGCAGACGTCGCGGACGGTTTCGAGATCCGTAATGGAACCAATGCGCCATTCAATCTTGGGATGCTTCCAAGCATTTTCGGGTGGAGGGACAATGTCGAGCGAAATGACCTTTTCAGCACCTCGTTCCACCAGCATTTCGACCAGCCTCAATCCGACGAAGCCAGTTCCACCAGTCACCACACAAACCTTGGGGACAGGTGGGTATTTCTGTTGAGTGGCAGCTTTGCTTTGGAGAGGAGTATTGGAGGGAGCTAATTCCGGCATGGCAAATATTATTCTTGGTGGGGGGATGGAAACAAAGAGAAATAGTACAAGGGACAAAAGGCGGGGAATAATGCCTTGTTCTTGTTTGGATTCTTCCTACCGGTACCGGGTATGCAGGTTGGTTGAAAATATATAAGATTCTTCTGGAAAGGTGCAATGCGCATGTCTCTTTTCATGCAAATTTCGCGCTGACGTACTGACTCGCGACTGATTCTTCTACGATATTTATAAAAGAAGAATTCGTAACTGCGATATAAGTTTTTGACTGCCATGATCATCCACAATAAGAGTGACCAACCGATGGATAGACGATTCAACTGCAATATAGGTATAAATTTGTAACTATTTGCTCCTGTCATTGTACTGCGAATACTACAGCTTAGTTGCAAGAACAAAATCTTTACGATGGTGGAGGAGCGAGTTTAGAAGTCACCAACAAACCAAGCCGATGAATGAATGGAATTTTGAAGTTTCATATCATCCGACACCACAGGACGTCAAGCAAGCGGTCAATCAAATGTATGCTGAAACTTTATCGTGGTAGCGTTAAATTGGGCATCCACGCACTTTGTGAGGATACAGTAGTCGAAGGGATCGTACTGAGATTTTAGTCGAAAGAGTCGAATTAGCACCTTGCGTTGCGATGGCGATGGCGATGCTCGATTGCTTTGATGGTCCTACCGGTACTGTAGGTAATCGGGAAGTCGATCTTCAGATATGAAGCCATGGGGTGAAAGTTGGGATAGTAAGACAGCAGCTGCTGGGATTTTACCTACCTGTCAAGTATTGATTCTATATTGCTGATCATACTACTTTTTATAGTATCTGGTAGTACGGTAATAGCTACTAGTCCTACGCTCATCATCTTCTCGTCCTCTTTCATGTAGCTAGTCTTGATCAATGATTTTGGTTTGGGACCGATCAAACTTTCGTGAATCGCTGGGACTCGATGGGTTTCGAGGAAGATCCACTGGTTTCGAAAAGAACTTTCGGATTGTAAAGCTTCCTTTGTCTCATATTGATTGTTGTGGAGCATGGCTCACGCGAGCTCGACACCACAGGAATATCCACACCTTTCCAAAGGAAGTTTCAAAAAGGCTGGATGGCGTGCTTCCTCGTTTGGAACTCTATGGTATCAATTATGCTAAACAGATCTATTTCGTCTTCTTTGGTGTTTCTCAGAAAGGGGCTTTTAGGAACATCTCTAGCGGATTCGCAACCTGGCTGGCGCGTTGGAAAGTTTCATTTCGCATCTTGGAACAAAATCATCACCCATCACTTTCCAGATACGACAAGTTCACAAAAAAATTCAAACTTGACACTTTCAACTTTGTTGCATAGATCGCCCTTTTTTTCTTTCGAAAGTCTAAAATCAAATCAAAACATAGCATAACAACCATGTCTGATCCCAAGCCAAAGAGAATCGTCGTCGTTGGAGCAGGTGCTTCTGCTCGAATCGTCATCAAGCTCCTAAAGAAGACTTCAGGTGACAACGTTGACATTACCGTCGTTCAGCCCAACACTTTTGCAAGTTTGCCCTTTTACCAAACCTTGGTCTTGACCGATCGCGAAACATTGGTTGGAAATTCTACATTTGCCGAAATTGAAGGTGTCAACAAGACTGTCTACGGAACCGCTGTCGGGTGCTCTGATGGACAAGTTGCCGTCCAACCTCTCGACAAATCCAAATCGGTCGAGACTGTCCCCTTTGATACCTTGGTATGTGCCACTGGATTTGCCTTTCCAGTGGTCTGTGAAACTCCAGGACAATCCCAAGCGGAACGACAAGCCGAAATTGATCAATACGCCAAGGTTCTCACCTCAGGCCAAAATGTAGTCGTCGGTGGAGGAGGCTCCGTTGGTGTTGAACTCGCAGCTGACATCTTGGAAAAGCTTCCAGCCGATAGCCGCAAGGGTAAGGTCACTTTAATTTGTTCCTCGCCCAAGCTATTGGCTAGCCAAGCCGACCGATATGGCGAAAAATGCAAGGAAGTCTTGGAAGAACTCGGTGCTGAAATCATTTTCAACGATCGTGTCAGTTCCCAGAATGATTCTATCGTCAGTGAAGGAGCGCCCATCACCTTGACTCTTAAGAGTGGCAAGACGCTCAGTTGCAATGCTTATGTTGCTGCCTATGCCAGAGGTGCCAACACTTCCTGGCTCACCACAGCCGCCCCAGGTGGCTCTCCCCTCCCAGAAGGTCTCCTCAATGAAAAGGGGCAAGTCATTGTCAATGAGTACATGCAAAGTGCAGCCTATGATAAGTTGTATGCCATGGCCGCAACATCTGATAGAGCTGAGCCATCACTGTTTCCCAATGTCGAGTCCCAAGCCGCAACAGTGACCAAGAACATTGTCAAGCCTAACAGTACCAAGCAAGCTCCCGGTGTCCCCAATGCCATGTACCAATTGGTTGGACATGATACCTTTGGCACAGCCATGCCCGAAAATACTCCTCTCCCACCAGTCTGCGCCACCTTGTGTTGCACATGGTGTGGATTTCCATGCAACATGCTCTGCCCTTGCTTTTGCCTCGGTGTTCTCTTTGGTCCATGCGACCCCATGGTCTGTGGCATGTGCTGTGCTCATCCCGAAGGAAAGGGTCTTGCCAATACCTTGAAGGGAACCAAAGATATGAAAATGATGGCCGCAAATGCCGGATACCACGTCAAGGGAAAGCCCGGATTTGGTGAAGAAATGGAACGTTCCTAAAGTTCTTGTTGGACCATTTGGAGGTGGAAGGAAAAAGGTACAGTGACGACGTGGTGAGGCATCGCCTTTCATCTCCATTCGTTCCGATATATATGTGTGAATGCAAGCTCCTTCCTTGTGATTTCTGAATGATAAAAGATATTAATAATATTATATTTTATACCATATATTAATACAACAATTGCCAATAATGTTATTGTCTCTGCATTATATATATACTCTTCATCTTTTTCAGGCACACAATGCGTGAACACTGGTCTTTCGCTTGATACGACGACGAAGACTGGGAGTCAATGAGAAAGACGATGCATCCCGTTTTTTGCTTTTCCATGATGTTTGATGGCCTTGTTCCTTTTCTGTCAAAAGGGAGGAAGAGAAACCAACACATGAAGTCCGCCGTATTGCCAATGCTGGGAGAAAAAGTCCCGCACGATTAGAACAGTCTTCGATATTTCCCAAAAAGGGAAGACCAAGACCGGACCCCGAAGGTCCCGCTGAATGACGACGCGGTGCCAAAGATGGTGCCAAAGATGGTAGCAAAGACGTTTGCTCTTCGTTCTCATAAGCGCTGTTGCCAAGGCGATCTAGGGAGGGAAAAGAGAGACCTGGGCGTGATGAGGTCGTGGGCATCAAATTTGCATCCACTCTGGCACAAGGATTCTTGCGAGGAAGCGGCGGTGGATTTAAAGACACTAGTGCCTCGTTGGTAGGCGTAGGGGATTGGTAAACATACGCCATGGTTGTAAATGGAGATGAGCAAGTTTGAAAGTGATTGCAGCAATATATGTATGCTGTTGATGATACGCGATGGGTGCAAAGTGTGTAAGCAGTTTTGGGGGTTTTCCGGGGAGAAGACAGAATACCTTGCGAAATTCTTTTTTATGAAAAGGCGACGAAGGACGCGCTCACGCACAACGAAAACTGTCGATGAGAACTGCCGCCGACGATCGAACTAGTCATGTTTCAGTTTTACACCGGATAGTAGGATGTGTAGGGTGTAGAGTATGTAACGTGTTGTGTGTTTATATATGTAGTTATCCTCCCCTATCTTCAACTTTTGTTCTAATGATGGCATTTGCTTCGCGCTATCGTTAACGTGAAAGTGGTTGCTCCCGCAAAACTTGCCATAGCATTCACTGCATAAAGGCTTCATGCGATCAGTGCTGCTGCATTCTTCTTGCCCACAGTCTTCTTTCGCTTGATACGACGAGGAAGAACGAGAGTTGATACAGTCCGCTTTGTGGATGTACTTGGTGTTTGATGGTATTGGCTCGTCTCTGAGGAGGGGTCCGAGAAGGGCTGAAAAAAGGAAGTCGTCCGTCTTGCCAATGCTGGATTGAAAAATACAGCAAACTCTTCGTTATTTTCTAGAATGGGAGAGAACATATAGGAACTTGGAGTTCCCACCGAATACTTTGGTTTCAAAGGCGGTAGTAAAGTTGCACGCTCTTTCTCTCCAGTACTGTGGCCGAGAAAAGCCCCCAACGAGGGAAAAGGAAGAACTGGGGCTGATGATGATGATGTCGGTATCGAATTTTCATCGGCTTCTGTGGTTGTGAAGAATAAAGGTTTCTTGGAAGGAGGAGCCGGCGGGTTCAAAGGCACTGTAGGCTCATTGTTGGCCATAGGAGAATTCAGAGCAAGATCCATGGTTGTTTGTGAGCAAAGTTGCAGTCTTTTGAGAACACAGTTGCAGTTGTTTGAACACAAGTTTCGTGATATCTTGTGGTCATGTCGAATCTTGATGAGACGTTGTGGGACCACGTGTTACGTTCGCGCCTGTCTTCCGTCTTTTTCCAGCAGCAGTATGAATAGAAAAGACATTAAGACCTCACATCAATCGAACTAGTCAATATTCCCAGGTTTTGATATCTTCCGAGTCGCCAATTTTACTTAGGACATTATCTTCCGTGTAACGGCTGACTTTTGTGTTACCACAAATTCTTTGACTCAAACAATCATTTTGTTGCTTTCACAAGATTAACACTTGACCACGACATATCACAACCAAAAAGTTTTAGAGAGGTCCAAATTCTTTCAACTGGAGGACAATAACAACGCCCAAAAATTGTACGACGACTAGCTGGTGAATTCTCCTCAACAAGATTCAATAAATCTTGCCTCTCATCGAATCATTATCCTATTGTTTTGACCAGACAGCAGCAGATTTCTGTTACTAGACTCTTTTCATCACTATTGAAAGCAACTGGTGAAGGCACAACAGAAGCCAGGATGACAGATACCCAAGTACGAAAACAAGTGAGTGCTACGCATATTGATCAGCAGCTGCGAACTTCTAGTAGTCCATCGTTTGGCAATGACGAGATGCACTTGGACAACAACGGCGAGGTCTTGAAGACTACTACAAACTCTGCTCGATCCGAAAAGACTCTGTCTATCGAGGAAGACGAAGCCCAAGTGGCGCAATCCAAGAGCTCGTTGCCACTGGACAAGAACGAGCTGACGCCAAATACCACAAGCTCGACCAAAAGTCTCAAAGAAACCCCAAAGTCGGAAGGTGATGCTCCACCTATTATTGATCTAACTCATTATGAAGATGAAAAAGTCGTGACAGTCGACGAGAACGATGGAGAGAAGGCAAACGAGATTGACCGACAAAAGGATGACGAAGAAGTTGATGAAAAGATGACAGAATCTACTCCATCCTCAAAGGCCAAGAATACAAGCGACTCAAGCCAGAAGTCAAAACGAAAGAGCAAAAGGGCAAGTAGCACAAAAAGGAAATCCAAAGTCAAAACCCAAAAGTCGGAGGAAGAAACGGGCAATCAGGAAACGAGCTCCAAGAAGAGACTTTCCAAGACGAAAAGCGTATCCAACACTATTGGATCCGCCGATGGTGGATCTTCGAAACGTACTACATCCAAATCGAAATCTTCCACCAAGCCGCGTGAGGAACCTTCAAAGTTCGAGAAAACACCCCCGACTGTGCCTGCCACACCTACAAAAAAGCAAAATGGTGTTGTCAGACAATCAACGTCTACGCCAAACAAGAAAGATTCAAATGCCAACGATTTTCAGAAGCGAAAGGAGGCAAAGGAAAAGAGAGCTGATGACTTGCGGAACTACTTGGGCACTGTTGGAGACACGCTTATGGTTGAACCAAGATCTGATGATTCAGTCTCCTACCTTACAATGCCACCGGCACTCGAAGCCAACGGTGGTGACCATGACAGCGATTTGAATAAACTTCCGAAATCTCAAGTTCCTCCACAAACTGTGAACCCAATGATTAAGATGGGAGACGACGGAGAGTGCGAACCAGACCGAAGGCTCAGTTATGATTTGGAGGCTCTTATGCGTCACAAAGTACCAACGAAGTCAAGAAATAGCAAGTGGGAAAATGTTTCCGTCATAACCGATGACGTCGAGACAGTACTTGGGGAGGATGACAACGCCGAAGTTGTCAACCTGCAAAGCCACGACGACGTCAAACTGGGTGATGAGAGCGGCAACATGGAGTTCGCGGATATTGATTTGGAACAAACATCCAAGGAGGTAGCCACAGCTGTCGATTGCAAACTTGCGACCAAAACTACTGTTGTGTCGATTCTGGAGGACCTGCAGTCCCTGATGATCAGAAAACCCATCACGGCATCTGTGGTTTTTGTTTTTCTGGTTGCAGCCCTAGTAGTCTTGGGAATGGCGCTTATGCAATAGTAATGAGCACTGTCAACCAATTGCTACGAATAAAATATATGAAATTGTATATGAAAATGATATCTTACAATGATGTTATATTACTGTGTCGCGATCCGCAACATCATCTATGAAATCGAAAGTCGTCGTGCCAAGATCTAGCTTGTTGCGGCAAAGGTAGGCATAGAGCATTACGCTAGATGAACCTTAGACCTTGTAGATCGAACAATGAATGTGTCAAAAACTTGACTGATCAGAGTTCCAACTATGATGTATGTAGCAGCCAGTTGTGCTAGAAATCTTTTATGAAGCCGCTTCGACTTTGCTTCAACAATCAATTGTTTCCTGGGCTTTATTGCGCCGCATTCGAGTCACCAAGTTGCTAATGCTTCGAATGCCACGACTACTTCCACTTGATCTTGCACTAGCTTTCGGCGCATCTTGCTCGGTTGGTTCTGTTCCTCCCTCTTTTTCATCTCTATACATATCAGCTTTCTTGTTGCGGCTTGACTTATTCGTTTTCACAAGAGACTTCTTCTTCCTTGGAGCTCGACCAACACCATTCGCACTTTCACTCGATTCATCTTTCTCCTTTGACAAAAGTTGCTCCCGTCGCTCTTTGGCACGTGCTAGACTTTTTGCTGCATCCTCATCTGCACCTTTGTTCTTCTTCAGGCGTTGTCTCGGGGAGGGCGAAAGCGTATTTTTCCTGCCCCCTCGTCTCGCTTTGCGACCTCCTTTCTCATCATTTGAATGGGCGGTAGTACGATCAAGATCCAGCTGATCGTCTGCTGTAGAATGAGGGTCCATCGAATTTAGATGCCCTGATGAATCCATGTATACATATCTCGATGAATGGCGCGAGCTCCGTCTTGATGACGAGTCTAACACTTCTCTATCTTCCATTTCATCACCACTTCCAGAAAGGTCGGGCACCATTGGAAAGGAACCCCCGCTATATTGTGATGATTGCGTATGAGAAGTCATCGAAACGCGACTCTTCGGACCGACTGGAGCAGTCTTGGGGACAAATGACGGTCGGCTGGCTTTGCGACCTTTTACTAGACGAGGACCGGGCGATCCCTCTGGCTGTTCGTACTGCTTAGAAGAACGCATGCTCGATGGAGAGACTGATCTACCACGGATATTGGAATAGCTTGGGAAAGCCTGTCGCGTTGCAGGTGCAGAGTCGGTTGTTGGTACTTCTCCTCCCAAAGTTCGTCTAGAGCGCATTGATCCACCAGAATTGCGGGCATCCGTTGTTGGTACTTCTCCTCCCAAAGTTCTTCTGGAGCGCATTGATCCACCAGAATTGCGGGCATGGCGTTTCCTAAGCTGCAGACCCGTAGGCGAAGGTTCATCACCACGAATACTTGTAGTCCTTTCCGTACGAACACTTGTGGACCTTTGAGGATTCGTCGAATGACCGGAAGTCCGCATGGTTCGCATTGACCGCATGGATCTCCTGTTATACATCGATTGTGGGGAGGAAGGAGCCTCCCCACCGGCTTTGAAAAGACGACCTAGGCTACGTCGCGCCCCAGCATTGGGATCCGTTTGTGGTATTCCATGGCCGACCGACTGTTTTTGGACATCAGCTGCTGATGGAGAAGAGATCTCGTCGACATCGTCAAGAGTTGACGACGACTGGGGTTTCCGAACCTTAAAACTTGACGGCGAATGTGAACGGCCATTATTGAAAAGACGACCGATGCTGTGTTGGCTCCGAGTCGAACGATCCGTTGCTGGTGCCTCAGAAAAATTTCTTGGAGTGTCCGAAGGAGAGGAAACATCTCTGACATCTCGAGCCGCTGGCGGCATGTGCATACTTGACGAAAGCGAATGCCCGGAGCCACGTCCGATGAAAAGGCGACCCAGGCTGCCGCTTCGTTGTTTCCTTGTGGAACGGTCGGTATCTGCAACAGCATGATCTGTCTCATTCAATTCTTTCTCTTGTTTTGACTTCCTACCTCGTATTGATCTCTTACTGGAATAAATGCTTGATGGCGAATCTGTTGTTCGGCTGCTGTTGAAAATACTACCCAGGCTGCCGCTCCGTTTGTTCCTTGTGGAACGTTCGGTATCTGCCACAGCATGATCCGTGTGATTCAATTCTTCTTTCTCTTGTTTTGAATCCCGCAAGGCTTTCTTGTTAGCGTGGGTGCGTGTTGGCGACTCTGCTCTTCCTCGGCCGTTGAAAAGGCGACCCAAGCTACTGCCCCGGTGTCTCCTTGTGGAACGGTCGGTATCCATCACAGCATGATCCGTTTCATCCCCAGTGTCCACTTCTTCTTTTCGTTGCTTTGAATTTCGTTTGGGCGATTTATTGGAGTTCCTGCTCGTTTGCGATTCAGGTTTATCACTGTCGCGTCCAACAGCATGCATAAACCGAGACATCGAACGTCGTTTCCCAGCTGCCGGAGCCGTTAAGGGCGCTTGGGACATGGACTTCGTTTTGACAGTAGGAGGGGTTGCAGGAGGAGTAGGGGCAGAGACATATATACCAAGCGATGGGTTGGAAAACATTTTCTTCTGAAGCTTCCCTGGCGATTTCCCTGGTGAAGGGGTCACATTTCGCGAACTCATAAAACGAGGCAGTGTGCGTCGCTTTGCTGCGTTGGGATCTGTGTCCGGTACCACCGGCAGCGACCGCCCAGATCTCCTCGAGTTCTCCCGCTGTTCCAGAGAGCGCCTAGGAAAGGCAGAGGGAGAACCATTTAGATCTCCATCCACGGGTTCCGTCACTCCGGGGCTTGTCGGAACAACAGTATTCGACTGGAACAAAGGATGCCGAAAAAATCGCTCTGAATGAGTTTTGATATAAGACGGACTCTTACTCTTCCCTTCACCATCCATTGATACAAGACCTTTTTTGGTTCTTCGTTTTGGTGTCTTGTCAGTATCATCAACGTCATGTTGGTCATTAAGGGCAACATATTTCTGATCCATATCCAAATCTTCTTCGTCCGTGGTAATATCATCCACAATCTTGTCGCCGTCACTTTTCCTTTTCGACTTGCTACCTCGTTTCTTCTCCTTACTTTTGCGCTTCTTTTTGGGTTTTGTTCCTGTCGCCCGTTTCTTTTTCGTCTTAACTTTGGGGGTAGCATCATCATCTGCATCTGCAGTATTTGCATCTGCGTCTGGGTTTTCGGGCCGTCGTTTCTTTATCTTTTTCTTCAATTTTTTCTTTTTCTTCTTTGGTGGAATTTCTGGTTTGCTTGCCTTATTGTTCGCCCTTGGCGTTGCAGCTTCCGATACTTCCTGAGACACCTGTTTCTTAATCTTTCTTGATTTTTTGTTTTCCTCTACAATCTTGGGAGAGCTCGTTGTCGTCAGCTGAGCTTCCGACAATTCCTTGCGCTCGGCCATGGCTGTCTTTGCCACGTCTAGTTCCTTTTCGGTATCGCTTTCCCACTCACTGCTAAAGTCAGACGTCTTTGAAGCTTCTTCTCCTTTTGTCTTTCCGACACGAAAGGATTCCTTAATATCACCTGCCACAGATTTTTCTTCAATGTCAACGTCTTGCAAGACATCTTTCTGAATATTCTGAAGACGTTCCAAGCATCGAATCAATTCCTCCTTGGAAAGTTCATCCCCCTCGGCAACAGCCTTCTGTTTCAATTCATTCAGCTCATCCCTCAATAACGTCAATCGGCTCACATCAAAATCCACATCAAGAGTCGTCAGGCCGGAGACTACACTGTTAGAATCGGGAAAGGAAATCACCGGAAAGGATCCATCGTCATCGGAATCCTCATCAGTATCCCCATCATCGTCCATTTCATCGTCCTCGTCTTCTTCATAAGAAATGGAAGAAGCTTCTTCCATGTCTGAGGATTCCTCTGAATCTCCTAAAGATTCAAATATTGTGCTGGCTGACGATGATGATGCTGTGGCTTGCCCTAAGGAACGCCTGGATTCTCCTGCCGTCCAGGAACTAGTACTGGAATCTGACGAGGAGGATGAATATTCACCATCGATTCGGCGTTTCGACCGGTTGGACCGATTGGAATTGGATCGATGAGAGCCCCTCCTCGACTGAGATCGATGAGACCCACGTCTCGATTGGGATCTCTTGGAGAAAGAGCCACTCCGTTGCACGGATTCTCTTGAAAAAGAGCCACTCCGATGTAAGGATTCCCTCCGGGAAGAGGATCCCCTCCCGCTGAACTCCCGACTGGACGGTTCCTCCACCGCGCTTATATGAGATACACGCCTCGTTTGAGATCGATGGGATTCCCGTCTCGATGGCGATCGTCTAGAAAAGGACTCATTCCTTTCTGGCGGTGGTGGCTTTGGGGGCTCTTCCACCAGGACAGTGGGCAAAGTGACCCCGCTTACTGTGGTTTCATCGCCACTGTGCTGACTATTGTGGGTTGTGCCGTAACCACCGCTGGGACCAGAAATTGACGACGCTGTATAGCTGTTTGATCCTGCGCTCTTTGTTTCGGTCGCATGATTCATTGGTAATATGGCGCTGCCTGCCATTGCCAGGCTTCGTGGTGCTACTGTTTGATATGATAAAGAGGATACGATACGGTACCGTTAACGCTTCATCTTCAGGCGCAGTTCCTCCCCGTTTCGCAATCTGGATCTGGCCCTACGTGAGAGTTTGTCTGTCGTCGGTTGTCGAAGCGACCCTTGAAGTTGGCTCAGACAAAGTTACTTAACGAAATGAATACCAAACCAATGTCGCATGTGTTGTAACGGTTCTCACACATTTAACAATACAGAATATCATGTTTTTGACGAAAAAATGATTTCGGTCGCGTGCACAAACGCTTTCTTGGGATTGTGTTTCGCTATTTAGTTTCTGATGACTACAAAATATCAATTACATCTTTATTGTTGTCAATACCAATGAAACACACAGAAAATGCATATGATAGCAACCATGCCCCAATTTTTACTGTTACCAATCAACCATTTCAACGTTGATCAACGAATATCGTAAAATCATGTGCAAAAGCGATGATAACAGCTCCAGGACAATCAGGACAGAGATGAATCTGGTGAACGAAGAGGAGAAGGACGACGACCACAACGAAAGAATTGATGATTTTCCTTCAACCTTACACAATGAAATGATGGAGGGCTACTACCCATACAATGGAATCATAAGTTTCAAACCCGTGCCACATGCGGATCCGCAAGAAGAGTCTTCCGGTTGTATCAAGCGCCCTTCGCCTGAACCCGCCGCCTTTGGTGAACCTGTCATCTGGGCACTCTTTGTGCAATCTTTTGCAGTCGTGTTTGGGATTCTGGCAGGCATCTTTGCAGAGCTTTCGAATGACAGTAGTAGCCTACAGGAACGAGAGAATGCGATTTTCTATGCCCAAATGCTGGGAGGTACGAGCATTGCACTTTCAACGATTGCGATTCGATTGCTTGCCAGAGTTGCACGAGAACATCAATTCAAACGACTGTCACGTGGGAGACCCATGTATCGAAAGGCTACATGGATCTCGTTAGTATTCGGGATTGTCTATTGTTTAGGTTATGGCGAGTTTTCTTTGTGAAGACAATCATACGACACAAGGTTGGGTGTACATTGCAGTTCCACTCAACCTTCTTCCATTCATCTTGATGATGATCCATTCTGAGGCCGCTCGCAAACATTGACAAGATCCAGACCCTAAAACATATCATACACAACAGGTTTGTATTTTTCTGTCTTTACAGTTCGTACTCCAAATTTTAAGATCCAATCGTTTCAAAACGAAAAACGTGAGATGGTTGGTCATGATCTCCGTGAAACATTTAAAGGTCGTGAAGTCGGCGTGTGTCTTGGCGTTAAATACCATACTTCGCCTGCCATACTCACGACTCCAGGATGTATTTTTTTCAGAATCCGCAATAACATTCAAATGTTATTGCGGATCCTCTCCTGAACCTTACTGTGTTTGATAACAAGATAGCTCCGTATTGTGTCTTTTGACCTTCTCACCACCACTACCACGGGAAACTTGCGCTTTTTAATCACGCACAACTACGACGGGACGATAGCATGTCGAATCAACAAGGGCTTCCAAAATCGTCGACAATCACAGAAGTTCCAAATGCTGATGGTACTGTCACTCGGACCGTTTTCAATCAGTACAAGGATGGAACAAGCAGGACGGCCAAGGAGGTAGTACCCGGATCACCAGATACAGCCCCCCAACTGGTCCAAGCTTTGCCCGTGAATCCTTCACCGTCCGCGCCATCCTGGTTGTATGCCACCGACGTGGAAGGACAACAACAACAACCCTATCCAGCATCGGCACCATATCCTCCCGGTGCTACAGCTCCAATTATGATTGCCGACGCTCAGCAGCCAACATCACCACCATATCGCTTGAAAAAGGCCCCACCTGTACCTTCCAACATCTTGACCAGAATATCCATTACCTTTGTGGTTCTGGGCACAGCCTTTGGCATTTCTTCTGGCGTGTACACCTATTTGTCGCAAACAAAAGACAACGAAGACGACAAAGAAGATGGCGAAAATGGTCAGTTGGCAGGAGCAGTTGCAGTCTTTCTCTTTTTGTTAGCAACCCCATTCATGTTTTTCAGTGGCAAACTGTATCGAATGAAACGGGATTCCAAAGGTCGTCCCGGTTTTGTCATGGCGTCCTGGATCATTTATGGGTTTGCCTTGGCATATGCGGGCGGATTACTATTCCTTGGGAATGAAGTGGAGGACTATGTTCGTCCCATGTGGGTGTATGCTGCTGTAGGGTTTAACCTGATTCCGTTTTTGTTCATGATGATTCATGCAGAAGCTGCACGAACGAAATAACGATGCAATGTCTGTGATGTTCAGTATGGTACATTGTATCATAGGCCGATATTTTAAATTGAAGTTAATAGGGTTAGGGTTATAGGGATTGTTTGCTTTCACTTTATCTTGCCGACTAGTGATGAGACTTCGACAATGAGTGGCCGTCGCCAAGATTGGTCAAGTATTGCTTTCTTCGAGAATTGGCTCGGTCCAGCTTTACAATAAGACCCCGATCCGCGAATTTCCCACCCTTTCCACCCAAATTTTGGCATTTTCCAAAAAAATAGCACCATAGAGATCCAAAATGGTCATTTTGAGAAGACGTCGCATAACGACGCCGATTGGACAGATAGAAGCGCATTGGGCTGAGGATATCAGCCCTATGCTTGAAACTAATTCGCGCCAATTTTTGACTGAGGGAGGATGAAATTCATGACTCGTCATCATCATTCACGATGGCAACGCGACGTGGAAAGAGGAACGCCAAGGAGACACCTCCACGGTCCCATCACAAGAAGAAAAGAGTGTACCTTTGTACCCATGCAAGTGGAAAGCAGTGGTGTACGGCCTGTGACTCGTGTAAACGTTGTAAAGCTCCTCCTCGGCCAGATTTGCCAAACGACAAACAATGCCAAGCCCACACTGTTGCTACATCTACAAGAATCAGGAAGAAATCAATCAACGGCCTCGAATACTGCATGCCTACTGTCACACCACACAAAAGCGGCCGCCCAAAAAGGACAACCTACGATGACACCGTCGGGAAAATCCAACAGACCACAGCAGAAGACGCTCAAGTCGAAGCTGACGAAAAACTCCAAGCTGAATTGACGGCAATCAAGAGCGAAATGAAGGTGGAGAATGCCAAAACGGTCCAATGTATCAGAGAAGAATCAGAGGCGGAGGCTCTGAAATTATTGATCCAGACAAATGGCAAAGACGTGGAGCTTCCTGCCGAATTTTTCATTGAATCATTGAAGCTCAGAGCAGAGATTTTGAGGATTTGATCCGTGGAAGAGAGAATGAAAAGAGGGAGGCGGAAGAGGTCGAACATCAGCTGATTGTTATGTTGGAGAGCTACCTTTGTATCCGAGTTGCTGTGGCAGTTGATGACAACAAGCCGGCTGTTGGTCGAGTGGTGGATGTTAACCTCGTGAAAGAAGATGGCAAAACCGTCAACACTGCGAACTATATTGTCGAGTTTGATGGCGAGGTTTACTTCGAAGGCAACCGGACGGATCGCGTAGAACTGAACCAAGAACAGGTGTTGTATGCGATGGACTTCATGAAAGAAATTGAATCTTTTGAAGATGATGTTGACGAGGACGGCGAAGACGGTGCTTGTGTGCCGGTGAGTAGAGACTGGGATGAATTGGAAGAATATGTAGGCAACGTTGCGTAGGCTTGGTAATAGATCCAATGAATTACATTCCTTTTTGTAGGCTAAGCAGTGCAGTAGCAAGATTAAAATCCCATTCTGCTTCTGCTTTCAAGCAACGTGAATTTGATGTGGTTTTGGAAAAAACAGAAATCTCGGATGTTTTTGGGTTCCATTTTGGTTCCACGCAAAAATTCAACGAGGCGCCTGGTACTTTAGCAAGAATTTGCGCGCGAACCAGTATTTTCCGTACGTAATCAGACGTCTAACTCTTCGCGCACCTCTATGCGCCCTTCAGTTGAGATCGTCTTCAATCACATCAATTCTTCTTTCCACCAACAATGGTATGCCTTCAGGCCGAGGAAATCACCACCCTCGGGAGGAAAACTCTTGCATTTTGGAAGCGGCCTTTGTCGTGACCGTATCTATCTTGTTTGTATGAGGTGAAATGGACGAGTTTGTTCCTTTCACCTCTGAAATGACTGCAAAAGACACATAAACGAGGTCTGAAATTCGGTTTTTGCATGGATTTGGGACCCCACGCAGTCGCAAGGCAGTAAAGATGTCAAATTTTCTTCGGAAGTTGCTTATTATGTTATAGGAAAGACGGTGGTATCATTTGATGTGCGGTATCTGGGCTCCTACAGGACGATTTTCACACGACAATATTGAGTTGGGAATTCGTCCATCACAATGGGTAGCCGGTGTGGGCGCCCAGAGAAGTAAAAACTGAATAACATGTTATGGCAAGCATGTTTGATAGATGGACTATGGCTGGAGCGGCGATTCACTATTCCTTTCGCCTCCATTACACTACAATCTACCAAAATTCGCCAAACATGTTCTGTTGGGTTGCTTAATCTGGTCAGCAGAAGGTCAAGAGGGCAAGGCCTCATATGCAACATGTGCTGGAAAGCTTCGCAGTGACCATACCTACTCGGAGATCCATTCGGTTGCTTTTTCTATGGAATATTGGCTGAGATTTTTGAATCCGAATGTTTGCTGCTGTCGTGTCACCTGTCATCATGAGGGTCGGTGTGGCCGCCCTGGAGACAACTATACATTCAACAATACACCAGAAGGTCCCTTGGATACCTATTGTTTCTATTTTCTGGTTTCTTTACATTTTTTCGGCCTAGATCAAGAATGATCTAACAAAAATGGGAAGAGTTTTCAGTGAAATTCGGTCCAAAATGGGAAATGGTATTGGTGTGGACCGAATTTCCTCAGAATTCTTCATTCCAACATACAGTTGTCGTCCATGGGTATGTATGATGAGATTGGGGGGCTTGGAATGGGTGATTTCTACGTGCAAGCGATTCAATGGCAATCACCCTGCTACAGTGGTCAATCCAGGTTTATGAAACTTGGTGTCAGGAATCCTTCTCAGTCGCCGAGTCAGTACCCAGACACCATGGCACTAAGTTCAAAGTTGTCCAAATACCAACTAGTATCGACTTTGGGCGGTGTTTTGGAGTGCTGCGCCGGTAAATAGATTCTAGGCTAGCTTATTTTTTTCTCTCTTTCCTAAGGTTTCTCTTTGACTTGGTCGAATTTCCTTCCCTGTGATCGAATCTAGCCACTTTCGCAATTTAGAGTATGCAGAGGTCTAGTTTAGGTATATATTTATAATATCGCCGGGAAATTTATCTAAAAATGTAATCGCAACAAGGTCGTATGGTAGGAGATCGCCCTCTTACCTCTTGTTTTTCGTTTTGGTAATCACACGAGTCAAAATCGGAATTGACTCAATCGACTTACTAATTGACTCAATCGACTTGATAACGGTTTCTTTTTTAGCCGTTACACAAATGTTGTTTTCTGTAGTGAAGCCCCTCTACGACCTCCTAGCAACTTGGAATTTTTTACAAGGAATGGGCAAACTATTCTCTAGCGACCTGAAAAGGTTCTAGGTCCATAGCTGCTTTTTGAAATTTTTACTTTGTCACCAGAATTCCAAATTCCTGCCACATTTTGGGTTGGGAATTCGCGGATCGGGGTCTTAAAATTGAGAGCATCAGAAGCTGAGCATGAATCTTTCTCGAGATGTCTCATACTGGAGTTGCGGGCCCAACGTGTCGAGAACCCGCCCACAGATGACGGTATTGGTTGCAATCCTCCATGGTCGCTAGCTGATCCAAGACTGTTATTGGTGCAAGTTGTTGAACGAATCTTACGAGAGCTTCCCCCTGATCGCCTGGATCGTTCCAATACCCCATGGTCGCTAGCTGATCCAAGACTATCATTGGTACACGCCGTGGAACGAACGTTACGGGAGCTTCCTCCTGATTGCCTGAAAATTGGCGAGCAAAACTCGGAACGGTCCGAACAGTCAGTCTCCCAACGTTGTGATAAGACTGATGTTGTATGGTTTGGTAGTGACTTTCTTGTGTTTCCAATCCGTGGAGTGGAGTCTTGCATGTCATCTACTCGCATACCCAGCGACTTCTTGTTTCCGACCAGAGGAGTGGGAAGGGAGTCTTGCATGTCCTGCGAGGTAACCAGTTTTTGCATAGGATGGACGCTAGAAGTGTCAACCAGCGATTCACCAAAATCTTCTTCTTCGAAGGAGTAGGTAGAACTATCTTCACTCGCCGAGTCCATCGTTTCCCGACAAGTCGATCGTGAATTTTTCAGGTTGTCTTCTTCCACGACAAGCTCCTCTTCGACCTTCAGAAGTCTCTCAACATATTTGATTAGATCCGATACGGGCATTTCATCACCTTTGCTAGCCACTTTGCTTTGAAGTGACGCAATCTCGTTTCGGAGGCGCCGCACATCGGCTTCGTTTACATCAGTCAAATCTGACATGCCACTTATTTGAGAGAAGAAGGTACTGATTGAAGATTGGAGTGCATCAGAATTACTACCGACCGCTGGTGAAAGGATTGATTCGAAAGACAACGTCGCAAACGATGCGTCTTCTTTGTCTGAGGAGTCTTCTTGCAGACTCGAAAGAAGGTGCACTTCACAATCTATCGAGGTATCTTTGGACTTTCCCACTAGCATTTTTGTGCGGTGCATCGAGGGTATTGTATACAACTGGATTTATTGGCGTTGCAATGGTGATAATAGCGGCAAGAGTGGGTATATTTGCCGGCGTTGGCTCTTCTTGAAATGGCGTTGATGATGAGTTCTTTCAATGTGTGACAATAAAGTTTGGTTTTAAAATCAGGTCAACAAATATTTTAAGAATATTCTATCATACACTTAATTACAGCAAAGGGCTTATTCTGCCGGTTGCTTTGGCATAAATGTTGTGCGATTGCGTTTAAGGAGGATTTTCCGATTCGTGGGATATATGTAAAACTTATAAGATGGTGGCGCTTTATCCAAGAAATTCCGTTGCAAACAAAATATTTTGTCCCACCCAATGAGGCTATTCTATTACTGAACCTGCTGGTACCATACGGTACGTACATCATGCAGAACCACACAACACACCAGTTCAACAGCGCTGGCATCCAACAATCTTGGGAGTCGACATTGATATATATATATCATATATAATGCAGTAAGGGTACCCTTTTAAGAGAGTATTGTGCGATAGCGCAAAATATCTTGTTCCCTCTTATTAAAAAAAGGCATGAAATGGTACGGGTGACAGACGGACCGTGCAATTTGTGTCTCGTCAAAATTTGTCTCTTTTAAAAAGGGGGTGTTTTTCTTTGAAAAAAAACTCGTAACAGGGTACTGTGCTGTGTTCTACAAACAAAACGCTAATTCGAACAAGACATCGCACAATTCGGCGACTTCTCCAAAAGTAACAGGTACAAAGGGCACTCCCTCTCTCCGCTTATTCGAGTCTCCTCTGAAGGAGCGATAAAGTACCACAAGAAGCGAAAGACGATTTTGGATGAATTGAAACTCGCACCCTTATATATCTTATGGTAGCGACCCAAAAGAACCTCAAGTAAAGACAGAGTTTGTTGTTTGGTATCCGAACGTAGCAGTGGGCAGTGTACTCGTACCTTTTACCTACGTCGTTCGGCAGGGACTCGTGCATCCAGCACCCGACCCAATCATCCATGATTCCAACGAACCATAGAAGGATATTGCAACATGTAATGTGGCATTAACCTTGTTGTCGACTATACAAAATTAGGGAAAACGGACCTTGTCGCTATTGCTTCTTCTCTACCATCGGATGTCTACTAGCGATGCTGCTACCTACTGTAGGCATCCAAGATATCAACCTTTCTACTTCGATTCAATACGTACCAGTACCATTCCGATGTTCGGACTTACTTTCTTGTGCTGGATGATGCTTGTGAGCCGCAATGTCATCAATGGGTATAATGCTGATCTTGAGCAGATTTTCACATGCTTTGTCAACAACACGTTTTGGCCAATCCTAGTGAAAATGCCACCAAACACTTATATCCCGAACTTTGGCCGATTTAGATGTACCACCACGCATGCTGTTTCGCCGATGTTACCACTCTGTAAAATGATCACTCCTCCAACTTCAATTTCTTCTATTCGTACTTTTATAGCAGCTGTCGTAAGTTTCAGCCCAGGTCGGTGGCTACAGATGACACTGACAAATACCCAACACGATCCCACGACTACAAAAATGCCGAAACATTTCTCACAAAAGATTTGCACAAACCAAACAAAAACAAAAATCATGAACAGCAAACAATCTAAAGTCCTCATTCGCCAGTACACGAGAAACGATTATGAGACTCGTTTCCTTTTGCAAAGTAAGAATCATTCGCCCAATCGAATCAATACCCAGGTGAACTCCCGAGTAGTGCAATGGTTGGGTGGAGAGGAATCATTCGATTTCTTGTCCATTTACTTTGCTGGACTCGTTGCCGATGATGATGTCCTTGCAAAAGTTTACAGCGGCTTGAACGCGAAAGCCTTGGTGAAAATGCAAAAGGAACTCTTATGGTTGGTTTTGGACGATGGTCTGCAGGAATTGGTGAGCAGCAGCACCAGTGGATCCACCAGGCAGGCTGCATGCAAGCGAACGATCCTTCAAAATCATGTCCGATTGGGATTGATGGAACGAGACGAGTATTTTGATCGATTATTCTACCATCTGACCTATGCTTTGGCGGCTTGTCAAATTACTACCAATGAGAGTACTATTTTCAATATCCAACACCGATTCGCAGCCATCCGGCCACTCCTCCTGGAGATGATGATCACTCAGCACGACTACCAGGAACAACAACAACAACAACAACACGTTCTGGAAGGAATCCAAACGAAGCGCATGAAATCAAATCGATTTCCCTCTCTCGGCAAGTTATTTGGCAGTAATAAGAAATCAAAAGTCCAATGCTTGGAAGAGCTACAACCGGGGACATGTTGTCCAGCCGTGACGGCAACTGCCTAGCTAAAAGTATTGCACATAGTACATGTAGAACTTATAAATTTCCATACGTCCAACAACACACAATTAAAAACACATCTGTGCTACAATTTGATACACACAATAAAATCAATTGGCAATATGGTCTATATATGAAATCTAGTAGAAATTATATGGAAGTCCGCCAAAGGGGTAGGTCCTATTGGCGGTCCCTACTTGTCTTGGAGAATTTTAAAATAGCATCGTGTGTTACTCCCCGTAGTATGTAAAGCTCTGCCCAGCAGAGCCAATGCCATGCAATGCAAGTGCACCCCCTGATCCTCTTGGAAGTGTGTACTTCCCGTTTGTAATGCTCTGCCCTTTGTTCGGGGAGAGCCGACGCAGTGCAGTTCAGTGCAAAGCATCCGTATGCCTGCGCAAAAGCTGCTGCAGTAGATAGTTCCTTCTAGCCTATGGCTCAAGCCGAATTCAATCCATTCAATCCGGGAATAGTCAATGAGCTCTTTCCCAAACTAGTTTTCTTCTTGCGTCGAGCGGATCGGGGCGAAGTAATAATCGATGCCGCTGAACCAACCTTGGAAAAGAATTGCGTACTCTTTCGTTTGGCCTGTGCCAGCTTGGATCGTGTCACGGGTGGTACCGGACTGTCACTCTCGTCCTCCAACACCCTGCTACTCATATCATCGCTGGCCTCGGGATCTTCCTTCTTGGGCGAATGGTAAATGTTGAGCTCGTTCCTATTATCATTGTTGGTTTTTTCTTCTTCCAACGAATCCACAGTCATGTGCTCTGAAAATTTTGTAAAATCCGAGATACTGGCTCGTCGACTTTGCTTTGGAGTCACAGACGTCTCTTGAGTTTGTTGCTGTTGTTGCAAGCGACTGATAACGCTATCAAAAGTCTGATGCCGTTCCAACTTGACTGGTTGACTTAAGTTGGACGGGAGCACTTCCATGCTGGCATGACGATTCTTTGGTTTTCGGCTCTTTTTCTTTTTTCTGGTAAAGGAACCCACAGACGAATCTTCTCCTTCTGTTCGTGCCGACAGATCGATAGGATTGAGTTGTCCCGATTGATCCGTGTAGACGGCGGACATGGTTCGTCTTCGACTGCTCTTGATCTTTTTGCTCTTTTTCTTCTTCTTGTTGGTAGCAGCCGACTCGTTATCCGTGTTGACACTACTGCCAGCAATACTAGCACTCTCCGTCGAGGACCGGGTCTTGTCATCCCCAGAAGCCCGTTGCTCTTTCTGTTGTTGCTTTTCTTCTTGGAACCTAGCCGCAAAGACGTCAAAGTCAGCGCCCATCATTGGGGCACTTTGTCGCCTAGGTGCCTTGCCTTTTTGTTTTCGTTCGCGTCGTCGCGGTTCTTGTTGCTGTTCTACATCGTTGAGTTCCGTCTTGAAGATAGCCGCCTGTTGGAGGACCGCGAGATGATCAAAATCCGCACCCATCATGGGGGCACTCTTTCGTCTTGGTGCTTTGCCTTTCTTCAAGCCTTGCGTATCATTTAGCTGTCCCGAAAAGTCAGCCGCGACAGCATCCGGGGGTTTGCGACCCATTTTCGGAGCGGCAATACTGTTGCTTCTCGATTTCGGGTTGAGACTCGAGCTTCTCCCTTTGCTCTTGGTAGAGCTCTTTGTGGATCGGGTATCTGTGGACCGCTCTTCTCTCAAGGTTGACATCTTAGAGGTCCCTTCCCCCTTGAGGATCTTGCGGAGGGCTTCCGAGTTGAATCCATCCTCCACTGGTAGTGACCTGGAAGATCGCTCCGATTGTGCCTTAATGGTTCGTTGTTTGCGCCGAGAAGATCCCTCCGAAGACCTTTTGCCTCTCTTGCTGATAGAAGACCTTGGAGTTTTTGGCGATGGTGGAACATCCCTGGATTTATTCTTTTTGGGTTTGCGAGGTTTCTTTCGACCTCGTTCCACAGGAGGAAGCGACTTGCTTTTCTTTCGTCTTTTACTACTAGAGTCATCCCCATATTCCGAGCCTGCAATGGAGGAATCCTCTCCATCGCTGGAAATCACAGACAGCTGACTGGATGGCTTTCCGCCGCCACCACCGCAGAGGTCCTCCTGAATTTTGTCCAACACATTCACAATTTCCTCCTTGGAAAAGTGATGTCCGTCTTTCAGCACATTTAGTTTCAGCATGGATAGCTCTTCTCTTAGTCTGTCAACTTTGTCACCGCTGCCGCTCTTATGTGCACTACGGTCGAATGCTGTGAGGCCAGAAACGATGCTGTGTTGAGAATCGTGCAAGGAAATGACAGGAAAGTAGCTACTGTGCGAAGACTCTGCTTGGAGCGACTGCTCCTGTTTTGGCGCCTTTGAAGGTTCCTCGGGAGCCTTTCGCACTGGCGATTCGTCCTCTTCCTTTTCCTGATCTTCCTCTTTTATTGACATTTCTTCCACTTCCGACGAGTCCGTGGAGGCTGTTTCGTAGACGGTTGTTTCGTCCACTTCGCCTACCACCTGATCGTCTTCTGAGACAGGTGGAGGTGGAGGCCAAAATTCTTTTGACTCTGCAACATTGACAGCCGTAGTCATGATTGCACTGTGATCCATCGTGGAAGCATGCGAGTGATCGTCCATGGGTGAATGGGGCGTGACTTGGTTAGGACTACTGGTGAGTGTTTCCATCGTCATGGTCAAACGTTTGGCTAGATTTAGATCGTGATCTGAAAAAAGTAGGTAGGAACGTATGTTCGTGCTTTGGTATGCCATGCGCGGTTAACGCCACGAGAAACTTACTGCGAAATAATCGGTACAAAATACTTATGGCCCACAGAATGGAATTGTAGAAAGAGTCATTTAACAACACAGGGGCGATTATGGCTGTTCGGGGCTAGAAATATCGCAAGAGCATAAGCGTACCGCGACCGAATATTAATGTTACCTATGACATTGACAGGTCCTCTAAGTTGGGCAAAAGCGATAGTGACTCGGCTCTCTATAAGTATTTACTTAACACCTTCCATCCGTGAACGAAATTCAAGCGCGGCCGTTTTCAGTGGGATTTGAATACCGTTAAAGGGAAGATCCCCGCGTCGCCAGCCAGCATTTTCCATTCGCTCAACTTTCCCGTCACGCTTTTGAAAACGAAAATGAAATATAGCTTATTCGGTTGCAGTTGAACCATACACAGCCCTAGTGTTCCAACAACATATCAATACTTAATAAGCAATTGTTCAATTATGCCTAACAAAAGCCATCTGCAATCCAATCATCTTCATTGTCGTCGTCACCTTCGTCTCTAGCTTCAGCAGACTTTTTTTCGTCTCTAGCTTCAGCAGACTTTTTTTCGTCAACCACAAGAGTGAAAACCTCGAAGGTGGAGGAATCATTATTGAATGCTTTTTCTTCTTCTTCTTCTTCCGCGGCTTTCGTCTCGTCATGAACAACCTGCATCGTTTGGAATTCAACTCGTGCCTCTTGGGTTTCAGCATAAGCAGCAGTAGCAGTAGCAGAAGCAGTAGTACCATCATATTCAAGTCTTCGTTCCATCATTTTGCGGTGATGGGCATCCATGCAGGCATCCACCTCGGCAAACTTCTTCATAGGCAGTCGCAATATGGGTGATGCGGCTCCCAGCAACTTTTTCATTTCGTGCAAACAAGATTTGATATTGCTGCCACAGCAGGTGGAGGATGGTGGTGATGAATCCATCTTGGTTTTGGACTTGATTGTCAAGTTATAAGGTCGTTGGACAACCAAGTCCTGATCGTCCAAAGTGAGCGAAGCTACCATTTCATCTTCGACCGAAATCAATTCTTCTGCTGCGGATAATGCTTCCGAAAAGTCGTCATCGTCAACATGTTCTGCCTGTTTGCAGCACTGCACTTCGAGCTCCAATGCATCCTTTTGTTTCATCATACCTTCCAACTTTGTCACGAGTTGCGCATTCTCGAGCTTGAATTGTTCCAGCTGGTCTTGCAGCGAATGGAGTTCCAATTCGCGTCTGGCATTCACCTTGACGTGATCCAACGATACTTCGCCTTTATTTAGAGCGAAAGGATTGACTTGGTGGTAGTAGCTAGTGGCAATGGCTGCTGGTTTGGTATCTTCGACATGTTCAATGTCCTTCTCAAAATTTGTTATTGGGAAAGCTTGGTATCCAATGGAACCAATCGATTCGGGAAGAGTGGGAAGAGGCAATAGGCTGCCGCAGTTGCCAAAAGAAAAGGCCCCGATCGAAATCAGACCCTCCGGCAAGATCGCCTCTTTCAGACCGGCACAGTTCATAAAGGTACCCTCTTGGAGGATACTCACAGTTCTTGGCAGAGACACCTTGGTCAACGAAATACAGCCGCAAAAGGCGGCACATCCAATCTGGGCCAGGCCATCGTTCAAGGTCAAGTCTTGCAAGGACAAGCAAAATAAAAAGGCGGCAATGCCAATAGTCTCCACACTTGAGCACAAGTGAACCGACTCGAGATTGGTGCAATTTGAAAAGGCCGAGTCTTCAATGTGCACAACGCCCTCTTGGAATTCGACACTTGATAAATTGTGACATCCTTCAAAGGCACATCGAGGAATGACTCTCACGGACGAATGAATGAGGAGGCCCGCAATGTTGTTCGGTACCTTTTGACCTTCGCCCATGTAGACAAAGCGGCCATCCAAGGTCCTTGGCAGTGTTGATTTGGCAGGTATCATCACTGCAGCGTTCTCGTCTGGAAGAAATACAGAATAATGAGCTATTGGCTTTCTCACAACATGGACTTTTCTGTTTCGTTACCAGCAATGAGGCCTTCCATGTCCATATGTTTGGACAGTTTGTGGCCTTGTGTATGAAATCCAAAATTCAGTCACTCGTTCCAAAACAAATGAGAAGTCGGAAATATAATGAAGCACATAAAATATATATCCAACGCTCGGCATTCGTGGGATTCATCCATTACTGTGCTCTCAACGTTGAGATATAAACAGAGTGGAATCAATCAATGATACACATATGAATTTGCGGGGTATGTATCCATTTCGTGAGCCGAGATGAGGTTGGCGAGTATTACCGTACCAGGTACCGGTAGGTACGGGAACATGCAGCCAATCACAGTATAGGTGAAATGTGTTCCAGCTTTTTCTTTCTGCTCCGAGTCGAGTCGTCTGTCCACAATTTCACTTGACCCTTAGCAAGTCAGTTCGAAAGGCAAGAGATAAAATTCCAATCAAATCCATCTTGAGTACCTGCTCATATCTTCATCTGTTGAAGTCTTCCATCTGTGGTGATAAAAATAAGCATTAAGATTGGGTATTGGAGAAATGGAGAAGCCAACCAGTACAAAGCGCTAACATAGTGCCCATTGACACCAAAAAAGAGAAACTAATCGTGTATGGAATATAAATCTATTGCACTACACTTATTCGTCGTTTCGCACGGTCTTTCATTAATGCTTTATACAGGATGATACTCTTCCATTGTCTCCCACATATTCACGGATAGCAACAACAAAATATCGAATCTTAGTTGAGCATTCTACACAGATATGGCGTCCCCTTCCCAAGCACAGTTTGTCCAGCCTACCACTACCATTCCTGATGGACGGCACGTTGAAGATTACATGCAATCCTCATCGTCTCCTCCCTTGGCATCTCCTAATCCTCCTTCTCCCTTGAATTGTCTCGCCATTGCATCCATCATCTTGTGCATCTCTGGAGTCGGCCTTGGTCTTGCCGCTGGTTCTTATGCATCTGCATCCCACGCCTACAACAACGGTCAAGAGTTCGATCTACTCTGGGCCCAACTCTATGGATTGTTGGGCATTGCTGCCTTTGCTACCGCCATTCCTCTTTTGGCGTGTGGCGCCAGTAGGTATCAAAACATTCGTGGATCCAAAGGCCTTCCCGTGATGATGATCATTGCTTGGATTGCCTATGGGCTTGGTATGATGGGTGCTTTGATCTTGTTGGGAAGGAGTCTTTTTTTTGGGAAGGTCGAAGTAATTTGGGTGTACTTGGCAATCTTGTACAATGTCATACCATACTATATTATGATGGGCCATGCAGAGCACTCGAGGCGAAGATAAAATTGAAGTTAGTTTCTATTGGAAGAAAGAAATACGAGGTGCTGTGATGCAGAAATATATAGTCGTACTATATTCAATATATACGGTAGTTCCTTGGAAGAATAATATGCATGTGATGCATAATATAATTTAATACAAGGTATCCTAGAATATAGTGTCGAAGAAACATCGAAATCACGAAAGCTGAGATCATATACCGGTACTACTTTCCGTACTAAGTTAGTGGTTTTGACCATATTTGAATATCAGCAGCATCTATTACCGATTTATACTGTAGCTTAGTGAAGAGTCTGGGAATCCCTCCACCACTTTCGTTTGCTGTGAATGCGAAGCTAAAAAGTATACAATGAGTTATTTGGACAGTGATGTCAAAAGTGGAGATTGGACTATTCCTCTCGGTGACAATGATGCAGTCAATGCTTTTTTGGATGCCATCGAGCGAAACCCTAATACTGTCGCAGCCCAGGTGGATTTGATCCTGAACAGTGAGGGACCTAGTTCAGATGGAAATGAATTGACACAACCACAAGCCGCTAGATTGGTACATTTGGTAAAATCTCGAAAGAGTGTCGATTGGGGGCACCTGCGACTGGGTTTCCGTTCTGAATGCCCCCATCTACTGTTTTGTACAACGCAACTTGCTCCGTTGTTCTCGAAAATTAGCGCCTCGGCCTATGACAGTGCTTCGGATTCTTCCGGCTGCCTTCCTTTATCGACAGCTCATTCGATTCTCAATGCGCTACAGCATGGAAATCGCCTCCAAGAGCTCGCGTTGTGCTTTTGCGTTATACAAGAAGACAGAATGGAACTGTTGAGCCAGGGGATACAGTCGACCTCTTGTCCTTTGCGTAGCTTGTACTTGCGGGACGTCGAATGCGATCATGCCGCGCATGTCGAAAACAAAAACCGTAGAAGCGAACCCTTTGTATTGGCACTGACGAAGAATACCACACTGGAAGATGTCACTTTCATAAGTTCCTTCACATCAACTCAGGATGTAACTTTGGTTGACCTCTTCTACCAGATGTCAAATACCCAGCCGCCAATAAGATGGAAAAAACTATTCATCGTGGGTTCTGATTTAGGAAAATTCGCACAAATTCAGGACCAAACTGTACGGCTTGTGGATCGTTTGACAAGGATGCTGAGTCATCGGGACTGCAGCATAGTTGAACTGTGTCTTCAAAACTGCAGTCTCGGATTCCATTACAATAATACACATGGACGAGGTATCCTCCAATCGCTAATGTCAGGCGTGCAAGAAAACTCTTCCATTCAAGTGCTAAATTTGAATAACAATGCATTTAGTTTGGCAGACTTGCAATTCATCCTGGATGGTATTTCGGGGTGTCCCAACCTTCGTGAGCTCGAATTATGCGAGGAACATGCGTCACTCAATGTACCAGAAAACCAAAACACTTCGTGGCTGACGAACAGTCGCCTTATGTTACCTCGACCGGGCACAAACCTCAATAAACTTTGGATTTGCGATCACTTCCCGCTTTGCAACATTTACGATTATGAAGATTATGAAGAATATATTTCCTCTGGCAGTCATCGTTTCATGACTGATGCTGAATTAGAGGCAGTGCTTCTGCCGCTCTTGGTGTACAATCCCTTCATTTGTGATCTTGGTCGAGGGCTGAATTGGAGAGGGATGCCACGGGCTGCGGAAGTCTTGGATCTGAATCAGTGTCTTGGGGCCCTTCGCACGCCACCTTCACCAGCGCAAGATCAAGAGACTACTGAGAGTCCTCTGTCTCATATACCTCTATCCCTCTGGCCCACTGTGTTGGAACGTACGAGTAAGACTTTGAAGGACCCTGCAAGATGTGCAAATGTAGTACATCACATTCTGAAACGGGGACCAGGGGTTCTGGATGGATGAGTTGTCATACTTTCATTCCACTTCATCATTGATTGCCCATACCCATAGTGACATATCACATGACCACGACTGCTGCTTGCAGACCGGTCAAAGGAAACAAACAAAAGAAGTCATGAAAGGTGAGATCAAGAGACTATGTCGCTGAGACCACAAATGGCTGATCAATAGCTTCAATGCCAAATCGTCATCTAGTAGGTAGCTCCGAGCTCTAGATATCATCCATCTTTCGGATCTTTGAGTTACTTAGGTTTGTGGCGAAAACGATTGTACTGGAAGACAATGACGCTTCCTTATTCTATTTTACGAATGCATGACTCTGATCACTCCAATAATGCTTTACGAAAGACTTATTCTTTTTTATGTACTGGTACACCACGGGGTGTGCACTTGTTCATTATGTTACTTCCGTCGACGCACTATAGAAGTTAGTACTTTTGTTCGTCCACGCCCTCGAATCATCTCTCTGCACGAGATGCCGTGGAAACAATGCGAGGCAATACTCAAGGTTATGTGGGTCCATTATTGCGTGTCCGTTGGTAGAAAACGTGGACGTCCTTGACTTTTCCTATTGGAAGCTGCCGGGCGGCTCCTTTTTGTATAGAAAACAGGCAATCCACGCGTTTGTAGCTCATCGTTGCGGTCGATCGGCATATACATTAACTTTGTTTGAAGCGAAATAAGAAGATGAGTGGGTTCTCGGTAGAAGCTTCCGAGCAACTTGTCCACAAAAGCGAAAACTGGGAGATTATACTGAACGAGAATGGTGCTGTCGATAATGTTTTGGATGCCATGGGGTGAAACTCTGCAGCAGCCAATAACATGAATTTGAGACTGTATCATTGTCGCCATAGTTCAAAAAATTTCTCGCATGACACACTCCCAAGCTGTCCGATTGGTACACTTGGTACGGTCTCGAAAGAGTGCCGTCGACTGGGGATGGCTAGAAATGGATTTCACTTCTGAATGCCCGCATTTGCTGTTTTGCATCACGCAACTTGCTCCGTTGTTTTCGGTACTCCATGCCTGCCTGACTGACGGCACCTCGGGTTCGCCCAATTACCTTTCTCTACCGAAAGCATATGCTATATTCAGTACGCGGCGGTACGGAAATTGCCTGCAACGATTTTATTTGAGGGGCTGCGTATATATTACCAGAAGACAGCATGGAGGTGTTGAGCCAGGGAATACAGTCGACCTCTTGTCCATTGCGCTCCTTGTGCCTAGACGAGGTCGAGTGTGCTGATCATATGCAAACAGAAAATGAGAACAGCAGAAGTGGGCCCTTGTTCATGGCACTGGCGAAGAATCCCACACTGGAAAATGTTGGTTTTATTTCGTCCTTCAATCATGCTCAGAATGTCACGTTGTTTAACCTTTTTCTACCAGATGTCAAATACCCAGCTGCCAAGATGGAAGACACTGGACTTGGAAGGTGCCAATTTGGGGAAGTCTGCACAAATACAGAGCCGAGGGGTGTAGTGCTTGTGGATCGCCTGGCAGGCGTGCTAAGTCATCAGCACTGCAACATTGTCGACCTGTGCCTCGACGGGTGCAAGCTCGGATTCCGTTATCCACTCCACATCGACGAGGCATCCTCCAATCGCTATTGATTGGCCTACAAGAAAATTCTTCCATCCAGGTCTTGCGTTTGAATGATAACGGGTTTGATGAGACAGACTTGCAATGCATCTTGAATGGTATTGTCAGCTGTCTCGACCTTCGTGAGCTCCAACTAGGGGAGGATAGGATAGAAGAGGTATTGCAACAGGGCGACAACTTGTCTTGGCTCATCAACAGTCGCCTCTTGCGGCCTCATGCGCCAACAAAACTCAGGAAACTTGCGGTTTTGGATCACCTACCGCAGATCAACATGGACGATGATTCCAGTTCCATTGACAGTGATTGCAAAATGAGAGATTCTACATTTCAGGAAGTTCTTGTACTGCTTTTGGTTCACAATCCCTTGCTTCATGATATTGGCATTGAAGGAAATTGGGAAGGAGTGTCACGGGTGAAATAACAGTTGGATCTCAATCGGTGTGTTGGACACCTTCGTGCATCACCTCCATGAGAGCAAGATCAAGGGATTGATGAAAGCTCTCTGTCTCGCATACCACTGTCTCTCTGGCCTATTGTGTTGGAACGCACGAACAATACTTTGAAGGAGGACCCTGCAAGATGTGCAAATGCAGTGTGTCATATTCTGAAACGCGGACCAGGACTTCTCGATGTTCAGGTCAAGAGAGATCAAAATCCAGTCGAGGCCACGTTGATTCTATGCTGATGCCTTCATCTCGTAAAGTCTTGTAACGCGGTAAATGCCGTAGTGCTCTGCGATGACACTATACCGGTACATAGGAACGTAATCATTTTCGATATTATATTCTTCAATGATTCAGTGAACAAATCGTATCAGTCGTATAAAAGAGCTGACATAGTGATCCACGCGGTACCAGGGTACTACGTGAGCGCTTTTCACTGCGAGTAGGCGAATGCATTACCCAGCAGTCATGGTATACTGATTGTACCAGTATCACTACAGTAGGCTATGATGCATTACCAGAATCGCTCAAATATTCACGGGTAGCAACACCAACAGTGCCTTTTCTACCTTACCACGCTACACACACACAACCATGTCGACCGCTTCCAAGCAACTTGACTGTCCAAAGACTACCGTCCCTGCTGGGGACGATGCTTTGCTCGAAGCACTTAACTTATCTCCTCCGGTGCCAATGAGTCGCCTCCAACTCACGGCCATCTTCCTATTCATCATTGGAATGGGTCTTGGAGGAGTTGCTGGTTCCTCTGCGGCTACATCCCACGATGAGAACAGCGACCGTCAAAGTCGCGATCGATCCTTGGCCCAAAATTTGGGGTTAGTGGCAATTTCTGCGTTTGCCACTGCCATTCCTCTTTTGGCATGCAGTGCCAGAAAATATCAAATCATGAATGGATCGAAAGGGGCCCCGGTCCTCATGGTTCTTGGTTGGATTGCATATGGGTTTGGTATGGCGGATGCTTTGATCTTGATTGTTCACAGTCTTTTGACTGCTACCATCCACCCAACTTGGGTGTACTGGGCAATCTATTTCAATGTCATACCATACTTTATGATGATGATCCATGCTGAGCACTCTAGACATCCATAATTGAAGTTGCGACCCGTTGGTCATTATGAAGGAACATGTTATCAACAGCTTCTCAAGTCATCATCCACCCGGTAGCTCCAAAAGCAATAGGTGCCTCATCCTCCTCCTCCAGGCATCATGCTCGATTCTGAGTGCTTCTACACTGTAATGTAAATTGCGAATGCATTTCCCAGATGGTACGTTACGCATTGGAGAATAAGAGTAAAATAGATTGTACATAATCCCCATCGGTACGCAGTTATAGTATCGTCCACACTCAAGAAATGAGAATGCCGAATTACAGGCGAGGCTTGCACTGCTTTTGGTGCACAATCCCTTGCTTCATGATCTCGGCTTGTGCAATAATGGATTATTGGAAAGGGATGCCATGGGTGGGAGAACATTTGGATCTCAATCGGCATGATGTTGGAAACCTTCGTGCACCGCCTCCGTAATAAGAGCAAGGTCGCAAGGGATCGATTGATGAAAGCCTCTGTCTCGTTCAGCACTATACTGTCTCTCTGGCCCATTGCGTTGGAATGTACGAATAATACTTCTGAAGGAGGACCCTGCAAGATGTGCAAATGTAATACATAACATTCTGAGACGAGGACCTGGACTGCTGGAAGGATGAGTAGTCATTCGTCCGTTCCACTTTACCAGCATTTACTACCACCACGCTTTTGGTATGGGCCATCATGATATCACCCACGATCAAGAAAGATTCTCTTGGATCAAAACATAACTTTGCGGGAAATTATACAGATAGTAGATTCAGTATTATGATCGTGCGTACTATTTTAAAAGGAAACCTATTGAAAACATACCACGAATCGATCTGTAGTCCTACTATAATCATACATTTCTTTCTATTCCTTTCTTTCTTTCTCCAAATTGATTTTTTAAAGTAGGAAGAAGACAGCGGATACCGTGATCCACTGTTGCCATGAGAGGAACATTGAACGCCGAGTAAGCTGGGCTGCGATGACAATGCCTGGTAAGATAGGAGCATTTCATTGTTGAGAGGGAGAATATCAGGTAGTCGATTGGTATTCTTATTATTATAGAGAAGTGGAAAGTGGAGTTAGTGATTGGTCCAGTGAGTCGTACCTCAAAGAGCTAACATAGTACTGTAAGATATTCGACGAATGCATACGTTTTGTTTCCTTTGCCGCATTCATTCGATCATTCCATAATTTTTTTAGGTATTAGACTATGCACGCACATTATAGTATCACTATGATGTATTAATACCGGTACCATTATCTCTCAAATATTCACGGGCAGCAACACCAAAAGAGATATATTCTATTGGACCGCTACAAACAACTGTGTCGACCTCTTCCAAACAACTTGACTGTCGAAAGACTACCGTCCTTGTCTCCTCCGGCGCCAATGAAACGCCTCACCGTCGCTGCCATCTACCTATTCATCGCTGGAATCTGTTTTGAAATTATCGCTGGTTTCTTTACGGTTGTGGCTGCATCTCACGATGAGAACAGCAACCGTCAAAGCCACTATCGATCCATGGTCCAAAACTTTGTGGGTTTGGGAATGTATACTTCTGGCGCTGCATTTCCTCTTTTGGCGTATATTGACATACGTTGTCAACTCAATGATGGGTCGAAAGGCTATTCAACGCTCAGGATTCTTTCTGTGGTTGCATTTGTGTTTGCGATGATGGATAGTCTGACCTTGATCGTCTACGTTTGACTGCTTGCGTGTCCAGTATTATTTGGCTGGTTAGACGGCGTACATAACAGTGCCAGCATGATGTATACCATTACTGTATTATATTGCTCATATCCATGGATACCAACACCAAAAAGAGCCATTTCTACCTTATCGCTACACACAACTACGTCGACCCCTTCCAAACAACTTGACTGTCCGAAGATTACCGTCCTTGCTGGGAACGACGCTGAATGTCCTCGCCCTCCTGACAGCCAGCATCATATTTATCTGTGGAATTGGATTTGGAATTACCGCTGGATCCTCTGCGGCTGCATTCCACGATGAGCACGGCGATCGTCAAAGTCGCGATGCATCCTTGGACCCAAACATATGTTCTTGGCAATTTCTGCCTTTGACAAATCAACATGGACGATTTTTCCACTTCCAGTTCTAGTTCCAATCATATAGTGATTTTGAGATGGGTGACGCTGAATTTTTGCTGAATTGGAGGTAGTTCTTCTGCTGCTTTTGTTGCATAATCCCCAGATTTATGATCTTGGTGGCTACGACCTGAATTGGAACGAGATGCCGCGGGCGACAGAATTGTTGGATCTCAATCACTGTGTTGGGCCACTTTTTTGCACCTCCTCCACCAGAGCATGGCCAAGTAACCGATGCTGATGCGGACCTTCTGCCTGGCATACCACTGTCTCTCTGGCCCATTGTGTTGGCACGTACGAATAATACTTTGAAGGAGGACACTGCAAGACGCGCAAATGTAATACATCACATTCTGAAACGAGGACCTGAACTGCTTTCTTCCGGTCCATTTTATCACTGGTGCCCACCATTCATTGGGCTAATATATGACAACTGCTGCATCGCAGACCATTCAGCATTTGATCGGTGGAAACAAACAGAAGGTAGTTGCGGCCCTGTGAACTACAGTATGTGTAATCATCAAAACAATAAGCATTCAAGCACCGATGATGGCACGCAGAATACCGCACATTGGCAATCAAGTTCCAATTCCCTTGGATCAAATCAGACAGCAGTTGCAGGACTGCATTAGGAGTCAATAAGTAGTAGAGCTCATCTTCTTTCCTACAAATGTATTACTCGTAATACCTTAGATGAATCATCATCATCATCATCATCATAAACAATACATTATATCCACTGTGCTCTCGTCCGGCATACTATATATGTATGTATTGTATACTGTATATGTTGTACCGGTACCTACATCAGCGAAGTCAGCAGTACTGTAGGTTTTCGGATACGAGTACTTCGTTAGTGGTTGTGTAATATTATAGCGTACTACCTTAGTGGTTTTGGCCAATTTTTGCATGTGCATCATCATATATCTCTGTGCGATGCCGCGGGACATGATATTCGAACATGTACTGTACATTGTATAATATATATTGAATATACCTACAGTACTCAAGAGATGTGGGTATCGGTAGTCCGCGGGATTATGACGGTAAAAATACTGTCCTCGTTTCGCAGTCTACACCATTCCTTCACTTTCGTTTGTGCATGAGCTTAAGAAGAAGAAGATGAGTGGGTTCTCGGCAGAAGGTTCCAAGCAACTTATTGTCAGCAAATTGGAAAACTGGACTATTCAACTGAACAACCATGATGCAATCGATAATGCGTTGGATGCCATTGAAAGAAACCCTGTCGCAGCCAAGGTGAATTTGATGCTGAAACAGAAGGGTCGTACTTCAAATGGCACCCGATTGACACATTCTCAGGCCGTCCGTTTGGTACACTTGGTAAAATCTAAAAATGGCGTCGACTGGTCGCTGCTATCCCTGAATTTCACCTCTGAATGCCCCCATTTACTGTTTTGTACAACGCAACTTGCTCCGTTGTTTTCGAAAATCAGCGCCTCGGCCCATGACCGTGCCACGCAATCTTCCAATTACCTTCCTCTACTGACAGCAAATTCTATTCTCAATGCACTACAGTATGGAAATCGCCTCCGAGAGCTCTCGTTGTGGCATTGCATCATTCAAGAAGACAGAATGGAACTGTTGAGCCAGGGAATCCAATCGAACTCTTGTCCGTTGCGTTCCTTGCAGCTATACGACGTCGAATGTGATGATTCTGTGCATGTCGAAAACGAGAACTGCAGAAGTGAACACTTTTTATTGGCACTGGCGAAGAATACCACACTGGAAGATGTCAGTTTCATGAATTCCTTCACATCAACCCAAGATGTTACTTTGGTTGACCTCGTGTACCGGATGTCAAATACTCAGAAGCCAAGATGGAAAACACTATGCTTGGAGGGTGCCGATTTAGAAAAATCTGCACAGGTGCAGGACCAAACTGTGGTGCTTGTGGATAGTTTGACACATATGTTGGGCCACCAGCAATGCAGCATTGTTGAACTGTCCCTCCACGGGTGCAGCCTCGGAGTACATTACAATGTACATGGACGAACCATGCTCCAATCGCTAATGCTGGGCCTCCAAGAAAACTCCTCCGTTCAAGTGCTGAGTTTGGATAACAATGGATTTGATTTTGCAGACTTGAAGTACATCCTAGATGGTATTGTTGGGTGTCGCAACCTTCGTGAGCTCGAATTAAGCGAGGAAGATTTGTCCTTCAATGAAAAAGATAAAGAAAACATGACTTGGCTGACGAATAGTCGCATTGTGCTACCTCATCCTCGCACAGAACTCAGGAAGCTTTGGATTTTCGATCACCTCCCGTATCGCAGCATCTATGATGATGACGAGGATGATGGTGACGATTTTGATTGTTATGATGACGATGCTTATGCATATGCATATGCTCATTCTCATGCTTACGACGCTTACGATGCTTTTCGTGATGCTGATAGTTCCGGCACATGTGATCGTTCCATGAGTGATACCAAATTAGAAGAAGCTCTACTGCCGCTCTTGTTGCACAATCCCTTGATTTATGAACTTGGTGGCTACGGAGTGAACTGGAAAGAGATGCCACGGGCGGCAGAACTCTTGGATCTGAACCAGTGTGTTGGGCCCCTTCGTGCACCACTTCCACTAGAGCAAGGCCAAGGAGCTGATGAGGCGAGTCATCTGTCTCGCATACCACGATCCCTCTGGCCCGTTGTATTGGAACGTACGAATAACACTTTGAAGGACCCAGCAAGATGCGCAAATGTTGTATATCATATTCTGAAACAAGGACCAGGACTGTTGGACTATTGAGTTATCATCGGTGCCCACTACTTTTTCGGTTCGTCACATATTATCCAAAATCAAAATCAAAATTTCCTTTATCAAAACCTATATGTGTGGAAACTATAGGAATCTAATTACTGTAATGCTTGTGCCTAATTACTGTAATCCTTTTGCCTATAATGACATCTACTGAAAAAGTATCATGGACCAATCTGTAACAATTTGCTTACTCAGAAGCAAGAAGGCAGCGGATAGCATGAATCATGGTTGCCATGAGAGGAATGTTGGAAGCAAAATAAGCTGGAATTGTGAAGCGGCCCAGTCCAATTTCCTCAAGACTCTTTCCAACGCCGCGACGGTACGCCTCGGCATACATGTGGCGCAAGATTGCCCAAATCACTGCCAGGACGCCAGCGACAGTCCCATTGACCACAATAGCACACCCGAGTGCCCCCATAATAAAGACTGGTAGTTGCTCGACTTGGTTGGTTTGGGCACGCTGAGCCAAAAAGACAGCTTCCGGCCACTTGGCTGGCAAATCGTCATACCGCTTGTAGAAACAATTCATCTTTCCCTTGGCCATGCCTACAGCCATGACATCCCAGAGGGAATAACGGATGAGAAAACCACAAATGGCAATCAAGGCAGGAGACACCTCCTTAATGATATTATCAGGCAGTGTTCCAGGCTCGCGGCCAAAGGCAAAGGAAACGATGGTTCCCAAAACGACATATGAGCCGAGGATTGCAAAGGGAGAAGGAGGAGGAGCAGGGGGTCGTGCCTTGTTGTCGTTGGAGGATGCTGCTGTCATGTTGCTTGTATTGCTTTGCTTTTCTGCTGATTTATGATGTCAGGCAATTATAAGGGACTTTTTGCTGATAGAACTTCGTGCCAATAGACGTGAGAAGATCCGCAAGCATAATCAATCATGATGATAGAACATCCAAGATTTGAAGATGTGAAAAGATGATCTTCAACACGAGTCATTCGGGTGTGACGGACAGGCGAAAGGAAAAGGTTTCAAAAGTTCATTCCGACTATCATCACCCAAATCGCTTGGGCTGATATACCAGTAGGACGCACTCGAAAGCCTCCTGAAAGCAGTGGATCGCACTCACAATGCCAGACATCTTATTTTAAAAGTCAAAACAATGACTGGTGATATACATGATTTTATTTCAATCGAAGTGTGGACTCACTCTGTCGCTCGTTGCCGTATGTATTCTTAATAACTACTCTATTTTCTTTCGAGGAGGAGTAATTTTATTAAAAACTGATTGGACCAAACCCAGTCGTCAAAAAGTATGGATGTAACAGTATTTGTGTAATACTGGGTCGTCTTGAAGGATCCCGTTGCAAGCATTGTTGGATCAAGTCTCGTAAATTGTTATCTGGAACGGCAGCCAAGTCGGGCTCCCAGCTTTCATCCCGCAGCAGTTGAGTGATGGCGCCGTCTTTGCGCTTTCCAAACAACGAAGATCCAGTTGCTAGTTCAAAGAGCAAGACGCCAAAACTCCAAATGTCGTAGTTATACTTCAAAACGAACTGAGCTCCGCGCCCAGCAAGCTCCTCCTTGGCAAATTCAGGAGGACAGGCCTCGGGGCTATAATCCACTGGAGGACCATTCGCTGGGACAGCAGATTCCAAATCAATTCCTTTGACACCGCCATTTTCCAATTTATCCAAGGAATCAGACAATACCACAAAATTCTCTGCTTTCAGGTCGGTCCATACCAATCCAGACGCATGAATGGCCTGTATGCACTGGGCAATGGCCACCGCGGCTTGTCGCATGGCGGTTCCCACCAAGCCCTGTTTGCTACGGGAATCCAGCAAGGTTCTCAAGTTGCGTTCGCCCGATTGCAAAATCAAGGCCGAACTGCCCTGACCAATGGACTTGTCGCCCTGTGCATCGGGGAGGAAGGCGAGTTTTTGAACAAACTGGCCCGAGAATAGGCCACGTGTGATCGAGTTGTAGTTCTTATTTTCTCGTTCCAATCGATCCAAGGTAGGACTAATCTTGACTGTCAGACGAGGACCTTTCGGCAAGCCGTCGCCATCAGCTTCGTAGGCAAAGTATATTTGGGATCGAGTGGAAGAGGATCGAATTTGCTTGCCAACCAAGACATATTTGCCATTGCCAACCGTCTTTCCGTTTAGGTTGTATTCAGCCTTGGCCTTGTTCAGGAGTGCCCGCACATCTTTCTCGTTGCTGGTTGGAGCCGCGGCCTTGGGTTGTGGTTTGGCAGCGACGTCCTTTGGTGCTGGAGCTGGTTTGGGAGCAAAAAACGAGAACGAAGGGTTTTCTGGCTTTGCCGGTGCAGGCTTAGGAGCTGGTGCGGACGCTTTTGGTTTGGGCGACGGTTTGGGTGCAAAAAGAGATGGTCGAGCGGCCTTCTCTTGCTTGGCAGGTGGGGCCACTGGGGCAGATTTAGTCACCTTTTTGACCGCTGGTCCTGAACCTTTTCCCAACTTGTACTTGCTTCCTGATTTCGTAACGACCATCATATTATCTGAAAGTGTTGAAGTATCTGTTTTCAATGGACTTGTTGTGATTCGGTCTCCATTAGGAATGGTTGGATGATTTCGAACAATTCCAACTACGGCACCATTTTTGCCCACTTTCCAGTTTTCCAGTATCGGCACAGCGAATAATGATGTTGTTGAAGCGGCAGATGAAGTTGGGAAAGGTCGTGGGACCGTTGACGTGTAAGTTGATGTTCCAATCAACGAATTTCCATTTCGGGAAGGCGTTACAAAGGCAAATGTTGCTGAAGGTCCAAAAATAGCAATGATAACAGCAATCAGAAGAAACGAGCAACGACAAAGTACGCTGGTTTCCGACATGGTATCATTTGCTTTTCCCTTTTTGAGATGACACCTTGTTGTAGTTGAATTCCTGAAGATTTGATATCACTTGTACTTACGTGGTCTGGTACCGCGTAGGTACTTCGAAAAGCGTTAAAAACAATGGAACAAATAGGACGCCAGACAGACATGCGATGCCTTTGACCAGAATTCCTTCGGGGAAAATGACAAGAGATGCAGAGCGGCGGAGCAGTGGTTGGAGATCTCGTCAGATTCACCTTGTATCGAAGCCAACTATAATATCTGTACTCTCACAGAGTAGATACTGCTATTATTGAGATGGTTGGATCAAATTATTAGTCGGATCGGTCGTATGCTGTTATGCTGTCTGACTTAGACTGATGGGCGGGCGGGCGGGCTGGGAAAGACTGACGTACGTACAATGCACAGACTTCCAGAAATGACCCAAGAAATGATTTAGTACTTCCGGTGTATCCTTCAGCCGCCTCCTGGGACGATTTGTGTGGGTAGATATGCAAGAATATTCCGCTCACATATTGTGCACACATTTGTCAACCGAAAGGTCCATATCCAAATCATTGTTTAAATAAATAACACTTCAGAGAGAAGGAATAGCAGGACGACCTAGCTAGTAGTAGCTACTAGCTAGCTACAGCTGTAGCTACTAGGCTAGGCTGCCTTAGATGCTAAGTTAACTTTTCTTCCAATAACTTTCCATAATGGTCCAAACTAATCCCAATAGAACGCCACTATAACAGCGTCCGTTCAATTCATAAGTCTTCACTTGGCTATTGGAAGGATTTCGAGAAGAGTGCTTGTCGCTTTAGAATTTGAGAAGCCCCCGATTTCTGATCGTGACGTCACGTCACGTACGTTTCGTATTGATGTCTACGATACGCCAAAAGATACCCAGTTGCGAATTTTGAGAAGCTGACATACGAAAACGACATTCTTGCACTTCTCTTACCCATCACATAAAGGATACCGCAATCAAGGAAATCTTGGCGTTCGCGACGTTCCCATTCTCAACATTCCCATTCTCGACAACATCCAAAATGCACAAACTCTTCTTCTCACAATTTTGACTCTCGCCAAAATCAAAACCGCTTGATTTCAATCTTTGATCCATCCGCCCATCATGCCAGGATTCAGCTACAGACAACCCACTGCACGCTCTCGCAGCGACAACAATGACTTCGACCGAAGTGGGAGAACTATGCAAGACGACTCTTCTGGCAGCGGCAGCGGCGACGCGTCTTCCAAGACATTCGGTCGAGGAATCGTCGCCGACTTTAAGCGTACCATTGGAACCCACTGGGTCAAGGAAATGACCAACTTCAATACCAAGACCGTCGCTGTGTCTTTCTTCCTTTTCATTGCTGTCATCGCGCCTACCATTACATTCGGAGCCGTGTACGCCAAGGCTACCAACAACTACATTGGAGCCGTCGAGCTGCTTTTGGCCACTGCCTGGTGCGGAATCTTCTACTCTTTGGTCTCTGGACAACCAATGGTAAGTCTATTCAATAATTGCCTTGCGATCGACAATGAGTGATCTCGCTTCTAACGACTCCACTCTTTCTTGCAACACCAACAGATGATCAACGGAGGAACCGGTCCAGTTCTTACCTTCCAAACTGTCTGTTATGATATCGCCAAGAATCTGGATGTTCCCTTTCTGACTTTCAATGCATGGATCGGTATCTGGGTCTGCTTCTACCAAGTGATGGCTGCCTTCTTTGATGCCAACCGTCTCATCAAGAAGGCCACTCGCTTCACCGACGAAACATTTGCTCTATTGATTGTGTCCATCTTTATCTTGGGTGCCGTTGGAAACCCTTCCTCCAAGGTCGGTCTCTTCCACTACTTCGGTACCGACCATCCACACCACGAAGATATGATCGAAGGAGATTCTGAATACGACTACATGACCGTGGCTCTTCTCAGTTTGATTCTCGGTTTGGGTACTGCCTTCCTCGCCATTGGACTTCGTCAGATCAAGTTCTCCGCCTTTTGCTGCAACGACTACATCCGCACTGTCATCACTGACTTTGCCATTACCATTTCGGTTGTTGTGATGACCGCCTTGAAACACACTGTCTTTGACGATGTCGAAACCGAAGAGCTCAAGGTCCCAGACACCTTTGCCACCTCCTTTTCTTGCTGTACCGAAGATTGTACCAGCTACTGGCCTACCGAATGTCCTGATCAAGCGGAAGCATGGGGACGTCGACCATGGCTTGTTGACTTGTTTGATCTGAATGACAAGATCTACGTCATCTTCGTCGCTGCTGGACTTGGTATCCCTGCCTTCATCTTGACCTTTTTGGATAACGGAATCACCTGGCACATTGTCAACCACCCAAGTAACAGACTTTCCCACGGAGACGCCTACAACTACGACACTTGCATCTCTGCCATCATGGTGTTGGTCAACTCTTTGCTCGGTCTGCCTTGGTTGGTCGCCTCTACCGTCCCGTGTATCATGCATATCACTGCCATGCAAGAGAAGAACACCAAGGGAGAAGTCAAATACATCCAAGAATCCCGCTTGACCGGTTTCTTCACCCACGTTTTGGTGTTGGCGTGTATCTTTGCCCTTTCTGTGATTCGATTGATTCCTTTGCCAGTGCTGTACGGAGTGTTCTTGTTCATGGGATTGGTTGCCTTGCCCGGTCAACAGTTCTGGCAACGATTCTTGTTGTTCTTCCAACAGCCTACCAAGATGGACAAGAACCACTACACCAAGAACATTCCTGTCAACCGCATCCACAAGTACACCTTGGTTCAATTCTTCTTCTTCGCCGTGGTTTGTGTCGTCCGTGAGATCAAGGCAATTTCGATTGCCTTCCCAGTGATGGTTTTGATGTGTATTCCCGCCCGTTTGTACTTGCACCCCCGTTTGTTTTCGGAGGACGAGTTGATCTTGTTGGATGGTTCACCCGAAGAAATCGAAGACTGGTTACACAAGCAAGACCCTGAAGAAAAGGGCGCTGATAAGATTTCGAAGTCTGCACAAGCTCAGCACGTTGCTGACAATGGCCTCGAGCTGCCTTCGCATTTGGATGCTGAGGACGACGTCCAACATGCCTAGATGCTTGGTTTGGAAAGAACTGATATTGTCCTCCTCTGCTAAGGATGATAGGCATGTTGAAAGATTTTCAAATTTTAGTACGAAATGCATATGAATAAAAATGAAGTCAAAAATATACTCTCTATAGATATTGTTATACAGTGCAATACAACTAGACTAGATAGTATATACCTATACCGTTTCGTATGATCACTATAGAACGATACCAATCGGATCTATCATGATATGCGTATTTTCTCTCTGAGGAGCCAATAAACAGCATCCACTCGTGTGATAGTCATAGTTAGGCGTTTCCATTCGTCGCCAACCCCATAGTACGAAACCTTTCTGGCTTGCTGCAAAATCAGCGGCCATAGGTTTGTGGGTAACTTAAGGCCCGCATCATTCTGCAAGTATAGCCGTCCAGCTCGATTTAGACTGAGCGGAACAAGGCTTATTTTCTGATAGTACTGGCCCCAATCTTCGTCATCATATTGTAGGAGAAATTCACCACACTTCATCATCAATCTCTCAAAACTAATGTTTCGTGAAAACCATCCACCCAGCAATCTGGCACATGTCTCTGATACAAGAGAAGGATTCCCATCCACTTGTACATTTTGGAGAGATTGCGTTGCTGGTAGTGACATTCAAAAGCCTTTCATATCTGTCTCGCCAACTTTATTACGGTTGACATTCACACTTTGGAGTTGGTGTTTCAAGAGCAAAGCATTGAATATTGAGATGGTTTGCAATTCATTTTCAGCCAAATCGACAGAGCGAAGTGATACAAACCGACACACTATCGCCGTGGCTTGTAAACAGTCGAGCCTCCCACCAATAATCACAAGGTCTTTTAAAGATGTATTCTTCGGAATCTCATTTTAAAATCATTGGGGGCTTGGATGGTGTCAGCCTCTCTTACTAGCTCGATGTCGACTAGACGAAGCTTTTCAATCATAGAGTCCTCACGGCAAATTACATTCATCAAGACTTCCTGATCAATGCGTTGACTAGGACGATAGAGAAAGGAATGACCTTCTATACACACGTCTTTCACACGGACATTCATAACTACGGCGCGAAAGACCTGTTCCAAAATTGTTCGACTTGAGTCACCCCAGTATAGAAAGAGATGCAGCGTGTTCAATGAATAATTTGTTCTTATGGCTTCAATCAGATGATCTGTCAAATTGTCCTCGCCCATGTCGTTGCTGGCTGGCTTTTCCAGAGATAATGAGAAGGAAATGGCTTGTAGTACCATGAGAAAAAGGTTGTTTGGAACTTTGGTTGCCCTGTCCGAAAAGTACTCGAGAGCCAAATGTAGCTCCCGAAGTCCACCGGCTTGTGTAATACCAACAAACAAACAGCCAAACTCGGCCGGATGGCAAAGACAACATTTCAGCTGTAAACAATCAGTTTTGTTGACGAATACTGCCACCAAGGAAGCCAGGTACTCTGGTGACAAACTGGAGGTCCCTCTTATGGTTATCTTGCCAAGTTTTTGGGATACATTCCGAAGTAGGATAGAAAGAGTCTCGTAATTGATTGGGCTACCAAACGAACATCGTCCGTTTGTGATTTCAATCGAATCAACCTCCTCTGGAAAGCTGACATGACCTGAATGGTCGAATTCGAGATACTTACTTTCCGCTCTTGTCGTAGCATCTAAGATACGGCATGTAATCCAAGTTTCAAGCGGCTTCCAGCAAATTGCCCACGACGTTGCTCTCGGATTTGGGTTGTGAAATGCATGGCTGTAGCTGCAACAGCAGCAGAAGGGAAGCATCTATCGAGTGAGTCCTTTTCATACTACGGTGAAAGGAAGGTTCAGATGGCACAAGACGGAACAAGCAGCCTGTTGGTCGATACATAAATTCATTGTATCATGATTGATAATGCAGCAACGGCTTTGGGAAGGCGCGTCGACATCGTCATGGCAAAGTATGGTCGTGTCATTGTGATGACCAGAGTACGCACCATAATATATTATGCTGGCATTTCAATACATGAGTCAGTCGATCCATTGGACTAAATCAATCTGTGTTCGATTTCTTCGAGCCGAATCGAACAGAACGACAACAACAACAACCCCGCCCCGACAAGACTCACGACCCTTCTCATTCTGTAGACAGGACACTTCAACTCACAAAAAGATTACCGTGGAGCATAACACGCCAAGAAAAAGCTCATTTGACCAACCAACAAAGAAGGACAAGAAGCAGTCAATAAATACCAACATCATGGCCGAAAAGCAAGAACCCACAAAGTACGAGTCCTCCAAGCCCACGTTTCCCATGCCTCCAAACCCTGGCGAAGTCGATCAACGTCCCACATGGCTCAAATTTCTAGACAATCCCCTTGGAGAATCCATTAAAGCTATCAACAAAGTCGAAGACAAGGTAGCCAAGAAAATGTCCAAAAAGAATAAGAAGAATGATGCACAGAATGACGATGAAACTGTCGCGACATCGATGAGAGACGAAGACGATGATGAGAAGAAGCAGCCACTTTTAGAGGCATCGCTGAGTTAATTCCATGTGAAACAGGAAATATAATTGTGTTTATAATATACTGTTATTTTGGAAATTTGTGACAGCATTGAATTACAATAGTCCCGTTTCTTGGTAACTGGACATGCGATGATCAGTCCTATTTATGTTAGCCATTAGTACATATGTAAATGATGATGATTCTGAGCCGGACTTATCATGATACTATTCGGAATTCGACTGGATGAAAGAGTCACCAAGAAGGAAGCGGCGTTGCCGTTGTAATCATCACATCCCTTCCACGTTTGCAACGCAGCTGATGAAGTCTAAGTGCGGATGCTTTGAATGGGCTTTCAGCATTTCGATTGGATCCGTAATTTTTATAGTGCAAACTAGAGGATAGCGATGCTTTCCTTGGCTGCAATCACTTTCATTTGTGAATCGATTGCCTTCTACCTTGATACTGATGTCGCTTGCGCCCTTGTGGAAAATCAACTAGATCTATTTTCTAGCACAGTCCATCGTTCCGCATCCCAACTGCTGATTCTCCTGAAAACGGGTCAATTCAGAATGTCCTTCGTACCAATGGTGTCTTGCATCATCAGATAGTTCATTGCCCTGCTTTTCCATTGCTTATTTTTCATGGAAACGACCAACGGCGAGTGCCTATCTAGAAGGCGTTGAAATAGGTCCATGCGAAATTTAGAAGCCAACATCATAATGTGTAACCAAGTCATGCTCAAGCCATCAATGGCACCGTATGATCAGTGACGAGACTCATTTTTCAAATGAGAAATCTGAAAGTGTTTCATCCACTTGGCAACGAGATTTTCACCACAGACGAACAGTCCTTGAGCCTACAGAATGAACTGTAGAGGAATGCTTATGTGTGGTATCCAATATCATTAGATAAATGCTTTGCCTTCGATGGGCTCTATAATCCTTCAGCTGGGAGGTAAACTTCAGGAAGGGCGGCTCCTAAAGAGTGTTGAAAGGAATATGCACCCCAAGGCGTCCCACAGCTATGTTTTGCAGCCTCGCAAATTGAAGAAGATAGGGCCCTTTTCCAATCCCTTCGAGTTGATGGTGAAACGTGATTTCCACAAGGATCGGAAGTCTTGATAGACGACTCCAGTATTATATACCTGAATCTCTATCACTGGATTGAAGAATGGACAGTCATTCTGTGTCACAAGTGTTCTTTGATTGAGATTTCTTCCATTGGCTGTCCATCATAGTGAGACACTTGTGGCCTGCCACGGTAAATTTGATTCCTTTGGTATGGTCTATGTTGATACTCAGCCTATTTAGATGCTCAAGCAATGGTTGCGGTTTTATTATGAATTGCCAACCGTCAAACCTACTTTTTGTTGAAAGTCTGTCCTGTGCTCACTGGTTACGGAAATCATCTCGAATGCATGAAGATACCGATGATATCGGTACACGTGTACCTGGTACTGTAGTGGAAACGCTTTCGCGATCACGTCAGACAGTGACGTAACCCAACCATCAACACGTAGAAAGTGTACACAGCGTACATAAAAAAAATTGCAGAAAACTGCGAAAATTACGACTTTTCTCGCAGAGAACTTGACACCGCCACATCGTAACGTTCTCTTTTCCCTGCAATCAAGTAGAAAATGACATGAACTAAGTCATCGTTCGCAAGGTTCCCGTTCTGGACCTTCCGATTCTCACTGCGATCAACAAAAAATTGATATGTGTGCATTCCGTCGTCTCACAAAATTCAATTTCGCAGAATCCAAAACCACAAACGGCTTTCTTGAACTGATCATTCGTTTTGATTCATCATGCCAGGATTTAGCTTCAGACAACCACTTGCAAGAGAGAACCCAACTCGCGATGGTTCCCCGAGAGCCGCGGAGGACAACGACGCGGCCCCCAAGACATTCGGTCGAGGAATCGTCGCCGACTTTAAGCGTACCATTGGAACCCACTGGGTCAAGGAAATGACCAACTTCAATACCAAGACCGTCGCTGTGTCTTTCTTCCTTTTCATTGCTGTCATCGCGCCTACCATTACATTCGGAGCCGTGTACGCCAAGGCTACCAACAACTACATTGGAGCCGTCGAGCTGCTTTTGGCCACTGCCTGGTGCGGAATCTTCTACTCTTTGGTCTCTGGACAACCAATGGTAAGTCTATTCAATAATTGCCTTGCGATCGACAATGAGTGATCTCGCTTCTAACGACTCCACTCTTTCTTGCAACACCAACAGATGATCAACGGAGGAACCGGTCCAGTTCTTACCTTCCAAACTGTCTGTTATGATATCGCCAAGAATCTGGATGTTCCCTTTCTGACTTTCAATGCATGGATCGGTATCTGGGTCTGCTTCTACCAAGTGATGGCTGCCTTCTTTGATGCCAACCGTCTCATCAAGAAGGCCACTCGCTTCACCGACGAAACATTTGCTCTATTGATTGTGTCCATCTTTATCTTGGGTGCCGTTGGAAACCCTTCCTCCAAGGTCGGTCTCTTCCACTACTTCGGTACCGACCATCCACACCACGAAGATATGATCGAAGGAGATTCTGAATACGACTACATGACCGTGGCTCTTCTCAGTTTGATTCTCGGTTTGGGTACTGCCTTCCTCGCCATTGGACTTCGTCAGATCAAGTTCTCCGCCTTTTGCTGCAACGACTACATCCGCACTGTCATCACTGACTTTGCCATTACCATTTCGGTTGTTGTGATGACCGCCTTGAAACACACTGTCTTTGACGATGTCGAAACCGAAGAGCTCAAGGTCCCAGACACCTTTGCCACCTCCTTTTCTTGCTGTACCGAAGATTGTACCAGCTACTGGCCTACCGAATGTCCTGATCAAGCGGAAGCATGGGGACGTCGACCATGGCTTGTTGACTTGTTTGATCTGAATGACAAGATCTACGTCATCTTCGTCGCTGCTGGACTTGGTATCCCTGCCTTCATCTTGACCTTTTTGGATAACGGAATCACCTGGCACATTGTCAACCACCCAAGTAACAGACTTTCCCACGGAGACGCCTACAACTACGACACTTGCATCTCTGCCATCATGGTGTTGGTCAACTCTTTGCTCGGTCTGCCTTGGTTGGTCGCCTCTACCGTCCCGTGTATCATGCATATCACTGCCATGCAAGAGAAGAACACCAAGGGAGAAGTCAAATACATCCAAGAATCCCGCTTGACCGGTTTCTTCACCCACGTTTTGGTGTTGGCGTGTATCTTTGCCCTTTCTGTGATTCGATTGATTCCTTTGCCAGTGCTGTACGGAGTGTTCTTGTTCATGGGATTGGTTGCCTTGCCCGGTCAACAGTTCTGGCAACGATTCTTGTTGTTCTTCCAACAGCCTACCAAGATGGACAAGAACCACTACACCAAGAACATTCCTGTCAACCGCATCCACAAGTACACCTTGGTTCAATTCTTCTTCTTCGCCGTGGTTTGTGTCGTCCGTGAGATCAAGGCAATTTCGATTGCCTTCCCAGTGATGGTTTTGATGTGTATTCCCGCCCGTTTGTACTTGCACCCCCGTTTGTTTTCGGAGGACGAGTTGATCTTGTTGGATGGCTCACCCGAAGAAATCGAAGACTGGTTGCTCAAGCAAGACCCTGAAGAAAAGGGCGCTGACAAGGCACAAGCTCAGCACATTGCTGACAATGGGCTTGAGCTACCCGAGGAGGATAACTATGAAGTCGCCCAGGGCTAAGGAGCTCGTCCAAGATGATGCAACGTTGCTTCATAGGAGAGCGATGATAAGTGTTTAGGAAAAATGATACATAAATTAGATCGATATATACAAGCAACAGCTACACTTGGACTCTTACAATGATTATGCGCTACACTCAAGCTTTTCCATTGCACGTCAAGTCCATTTCCTCCATTTTCGAAGATGGTTTCCATAGATTCCATCTGAGGAAGCGATTGATCTTGAAATTGTGCCCACGGATAAAGTTGTTGTGAACCAAATATGCATTCGACTGCTTTTCTCCTGGCCATATATCGTAAACTGCTCCCGAAGGAAAGAACTCGTTATCACTTGGATAAAGGGTTGCCTTCAATGATGATTCCTTCCCGTTCTTTGGCTTTGTGATATCTTGGTACGCGTCGTATATGGCTTCTTGATCATTCTTGTATCTCTTCTTTTTCTCCTTCTTGGCAGCGCCATCCATTAGCGACTGCCAATGCAGCAAAAAATTCTTCATTGGGCTGGTAGGCTTTAGGTATAGATAGCAGCTGCAAATGAATGCCTCTTCGACGGGATGGCTATCCACCATTGCCACCATATCCACAGCATCACTAGTCTCGGTATTTTCTCCTGCCGGATCAAAGACTTCGAATATATTCTTTCGCCACACTACGTCGACATCGTTGTAAAATATGGTAAACCCTTGATCCAAGAACGCATGCAAAACTTGGGGCCTCACGGAAGTAATCTTGGCAAAGGCCGGACTGTTGAATTTGGCTTGCTTCAACGCCGGTAAGCTGGGCGCAAACGGCGGGACAGCCACGACATGATCGGCTCCAAGGAGTTCAATCGCATATGATCTAGCCGACTCGTCCAGAGGAACCACCACATAATTGTGTAACTCCAAGGCCAATAAGGATTGCACCAAATTGTCGACCAAATCTAGATAAGGACAGGAAGCGATCAACACAATCAATCGATTTTTAGAGTCGGCAATATTCCGTGATAGTGATGGCCAACGAGACAATGTCACCGATTCGGATGTCGAGTTCTTCGCTTTGGTAGGTGCTATTGTTGGTGACAGAGTCGTTGGTGCTATTGTTGGTTCGATTGGTGCATTGGTCTCAATTGTATGTGCTTCAGCCGAAGTTGAAGACTCAAGTCCATCAAAAACCTCACCCATCGATTTATCGCTTGTCTGTATGTCATTTTCGGGAGTTCCCAAGACGGATGAAGTTGTTGCAGTGGATGATCTCGACTCCACAAAGATGGACAGGTCATGGCGAAAGGAAACCCAAAAAATAGACAGACCCACAACCAATACTAGGGTCACCACACTAAGTCGATATCGCTTATGTCTAGATTTTGCAGACATGAGACAATCAATCCATTTAAATAATCATCTGAACACTCATCTCTTTGTCTAGTGTTATGCTGATGGAACAGCCATGTCCATATTTTGAGACAGCAAAATATCGATGAATGAAATTTATTATTCATCGGTTGAGTTGAGAGTGGAACGCTCCGTTACGACTGGCGTCCGTCCTCCGTCAGGTTTATGAAACCAACAAAATAATCATGACATACCCGGTACCTTTGTTTAACCTGCTGTGTCTTCCTTCATAGCAACTTTTGCCCTCTTTATATTGCACCAATCTCTTCCATATATTCCCCAATACTCCATACAAGAGTATAGAGTCTATAGAAGCACGTTTAGGATACTTTCAGGACATTCAAATCATGGCACGCAATTTTGGGGGTGTGCTGAGCGCTCTGGCCCTTTCCAAACTCACAGTTGTTGATTTCAGTGACCCCCCAGTCGTTCGGATCTCTAGAGAAACTACTGGGGAGAGTAGGAAAGGGCATGAGTGTCCCAAAATATGTGAAAATCTGAGACTTCCGCTTCTTCGCTCTCCATTTGACGGTACAAAAGACATCCTCAATTTTTCGCGCGCTCATCACACGACGAACGGCTGGCGGCAAAACTGAGTCTCTCGCGAATAATGCATACAATAAAATATAAGATCATTTGCGAAACACTGGACCCGCCATTATAAGACAGGTATTACATTCCATCCGTCCTCGTTCATCAAACAAACAAGCATATATACCTCCTACCTTCTCTACGCTTTCAGATTCCAAAAGCTTCGCATCCTTTAATATTTTCCACCAACGTCTCATTCCAACATGCAGAGCCCAGCAAACGGTATTGGTGATGAACCTCCCAAGAGGCACTTCAACATGTTGTACGCCAACGAGCACCTTCAGCGTATGAGACCCAAAAACATCAGTCTCAGAAATTTCCGAACTCAGCAAATGCCTCGCATGTCGGCTGCCGAAAACTTGCAAGTTTTGCGCGATCTGAAGATTTGGGCTGCCGAAACCAAGAAAACCAGCAGGACTGCCACCGGAAAAGGGATTGCCCGATTGGTAGAGAAGATTGTAGCGGATGGTCGAGTCAGCAAAGAAGATGAAAGTATTATATTGTACACAATTGAGGCCCAACGGGGATGGTGGTCTTCTATGATTGTTATGGATACCTTGATTCTGGCTATTTTTGCGGCGTTGCTGATTTACGAACAACCAGCTGCCAAGGCGGATCCTGAACTTTTTTCGGCGCAGACCCGAGAGATTCTGATATTCATCTACAATACCTGTATTGCACTTACATTTTATGGGGCTGTGAGTATTAATGTTTTGTGAATTGGGCATGATGGCCTAGCTTGCTGCCCTGTTTCTGACTGACTCGCCCCTCTCTCCTCTCTTTCGTCGAAATTCGCAGCTGACACAACTGTTTGTGATACTGTTGCTTTTTGCTTTGACATCCTACACCTTTGAAGTCAAGGCGGTGCTCTTCTTCTTTGTCAATTGCCACAGCTTACTGGTGGCACTCAATTCATACGGTATGGCTTTTATTCTTCCTGGCATGACAATCAGTCCTGTGATTGGACAGATTCTACATGTTGGGTTTGTGTATTCCATACCATCCATCATATTGTCGATCGCTTCCATGATAATGGTGTCCTACATCTATCTGGTTTACATTGAACCCGTATTCACTGGCTTGTACAATCAAGAGTTTGAAATGACTCAACGGGCAGACTCGAAAAGCATGCATTATGAAAACGACGACTCTGACGATTATGGTATTGAAGAGATCAGTCACCTCAGTACGTGAATAGTCCTCTTCATTCGTTGGGAAGGGGGGCGGTTGCTTAAAATACAACCAATAGGGAACAACCAGGGCTTGGGTGTTCCGGCATTGGGAAATCTTGATCCCATGCTGCTGAATTCTTTCGACACTCAATCGAATGGGTTCAAATTCAGTGATCAGGCTACTTTGTTGGTGTAAACGTAAACATACTGTACTGAAAGACGGAGGGAAATATTCTAGTTGTGGCGGAGGTTCTAAGATGTCTGTTTGTGCTTCTTTGATCCTTTGCTATCTTCGCTTTGTATTTGTAACAGTAAATATATTTTACTAGGGGAGATATAGGGCAAATAAGGGGCCTAGACTGGATCATTCGACTTGGTCAGTGCACTGCTCCAGGAAACCACAATCTTTCGTCCCTTGTCATATGTAGGCTCCCGTCCATGGGAGGTGGCAAAATTATCGATTTCCAAGATATCTCCCTTTTGCCACCGATTGAATATCATGTGTCTATGAATAGTCTTGCGAATTATACCCATTTCCTTTATGGAAATCGGTTCTCCATCTCCAAAGGTCACGGTAAGGGCCATTTTGCGACGAAAGACTACATAAGTTGTAAATGCCATGGTCCATGCCTTGCCGCATTGAAGCAAGAGCCGAATGTCTCGAATACGCTTGAACGAGTTCCAGAGTTCTGATGGATAGGTTGTCCAATGAAATACTTGAGCATGATTGAACCATACTGGCTCTTTGGTAACAGGGTGCAGCTGAAAGGGTTCGGACTGATATTCACTGACGAATACGTCCTTGTTCTTCCCTTCCCATCTAACGGGAAAATTTTCCTTAGCGGCAATTTCTTCCACCTTGGACCTATCTGTGGTCTTGAAGATATCATGCCATGAATCCAAGGATGAGATGTCGTTGGTGAACAATGGGTTAGCACCCTTCCTGTAGTGAGTTCGAGTGTATCGGAGCTTTTTCCGAGCTAGTTTTTCCCTCAGGTCCTTCGGGATATCTCGATAGACCTTTCGGAAGTCTGACAATGCAGTCTCCCCACCTTTGGTCTTCGGTGCTTGAAGGGCGCTAAAGAAAAGCCGTCTGGGAGGAGCTGGCAAGAAGCTCATTTCCAAGTGTTGTGCAATAGGATAGTGAGAGGGAACTTCGGCAGCCGAAAAGACATAGGTCGATCCATTGACTGCGTTTCTGGGACTGGTTCCTCTATACTCATTGCTCAGGTCTGGCTCCAGAGCCTTGACCGCTTCTTCTACGTCAGCAGCTGAGTTGATATCGAAGCCTCGGTAAAGAACTGCGCCGTATTCCGAGACTTGCTGATCAATCCAATCACGGTTATACTGGATGAATCGTTTCAAGCAAAAATTCTTTATGTGTTCTTTGGGTGAAATGACAAGTGGCATCACATAGACTGCATTATCTGATGTCGCCGAAGAAGGGAGCAGCGTTGTTTCGATGTGTTGAAGTCCATGCTCCAATGCAGTTGTCTTGTTCCCTGTTGCGAGAAAATCCCGTAGTTCAAGAACTTGGTAGTCTGACTCTGGTGTCAGAACAGTGTGTGAGACGATGTCCGATTAATTTTTACGATTGATGGTGATTTCTCGAATAGCAGTGTACGATGTTTCTCGTCCGGGCGAAACGAGAACATTAGAACTTGAGCCCAGGGTGGGCAAATAGAAGAGTAGCAAAGGGTGTATTAGATATTGAATCATTGTCTTCTTAGGTGACAACCTGTGAATATCATAGTATGTAGCGTTGGCAAAACTCGAGAATTTCAAGTTTTGGCGCTCTTGACAACTTTGATGTCAAGAGGTCCCGAAAATGCAGGAATTTTGCGACTAATTACTAGACATTTTTAGTAATGCTATATTTGGGACTTCGGTAGTTCTGTTTACCCATTCTGATCTTTATCACCGAGTGGTGGGTCGGGGTTAGGGTCGCGACTTCTCTTTCCATCCTGTACCAACCATCTGTAAAAAATATTTTTGTTTGTTATACAATGATGCTAAGGGCTAAGACCATAGACAGGATCATTCGACTTGTTCAATGCACTGCTCCAGGCAACCACAATCTTTCTACCCTTATCATATGTAGGTTCTCGGCCATGGGAGATGGCAAAATTATCAATTTCCAAAAGATCCCCCTTTTGCCACCGATTAAAGGTCATATGTCTGTGAATCGTCTTACGAATGGAACCCATTTCCTTCATGGAAAAGGGTTCTCCGTCGCCAAAAGTCACTGTCAGAGCCATTTTGCGACGGGAAATAACATAGGTTGCGAATGCCATGACCCACGCCCTAGCGGATTGAAGCAACAACCGAATATCTCGAATGCGTTTATAGGAGTTCCAGAGTTCGGCAGGGTAAGTCGTCCAGTGAAATACTTGAGCATGATTGAACCACACTGGCTCTTTTGTAACAGGGTGCAGCTGAAAGGGTTCGGACTGATATTCACTGACGAATACGTCCTTTTTTCTTCCCTCCCATCTGACTGGAAAATTCTCTTTCGCAGCGATTTCTTCCACCTTGGACTTGTCAGAAGTCCTAAAGACATCTTGCCATGATTCCAAGGATGAGATGTCGTTAGTGAACAACGGGTTAGCACCCTTCCTGTAGTGAGTTCGAGTGTATCGGAGCTTTTTCCGAGCTAGTTTTTCTCTCAGATCCTCTGGGATATCTCGATAGACCTTTCGGAAGTCTGACAAAGCGGTCTCTCCGCCCTTAGTCTTCGGTGCTTGGAGGGCACTGAAGAAAAGCCGTCTGGGAGGAGCTGGCAAGAAGCTCATTTCCAAGTGTTGTGCAATAGGATAGTGAGAGGGAACTTCGGCAGCCGAAAAGACATATGTTGATCCATCGACTGCGTTTCTGGGACTGGTTCCTCTATAATCATTGCTCAAGTCTGGCTCAAGAGCTTTGACTTCTTGCTCAACTTCAGCAGCTGAGTTGATATCGAAGCCTCGAAAAAGCACTGCACCATATTCCGAGACTTGCTGATCAATCCAGTCCCGGTTGTTCTTGATAAATCCTCTCAAACAAAAGTTCTTCGTGTAGTTCTTCGGCGAAATGACAAGTGGCATCACATAGACTGAATTATCTGATGTCGCCGAAGAAGGGAGTAGGGATGTCTCGATATGCTGGAGGCCGCAGTCCAGTGGACTGGTGAATTCATTGCAGAAACTAGGAGCATCTTCTACCAACAGATTTCGTCCTTCCCCAACCTGGTAGTTCAACCGAATAGGTGATCGTCGATCGATTCCAGCGGATGATTTGATGTATGATGATGATGGTTCGGTTCGTCGTCCTGCTGACGAGACGACGGCACTAAAACTTGAGCCAAGCAAGGGCAAACGGAATAGCAGTAATATGTGCAGTAGAATTTGAATCATTGTTGTCATCTAGAGCTACAAAATGTGTTTTGTTGCCGAATGAATTAGAAAATGACCACACCACAGAGAGGCGGGAAGATACACTTTCGAATTGGGAACAGAATCGAACATTGTTGGTCTCCGGTTCTCCACTCCTCCGCTTTGACTGTTCGTAGATCTTCGAGCACGAACCAATAAAATTTAGCATCACAGATAATAAGACAAAAAGAAACACCGCTTTGAACTTGTAAGGATGAACTTGGAATCCATAAAAGTTACCGAGATCGGTTACTCTTGGGCCCAGAATCTAGTTATTGATCAACGATGGTCATTGACGCTGGAGTCTCTGCATTGATGGCAGGCCCTCTTGTGGTTATTGTCTGTTGTGCGGGTGGTCTTCGAACATACTTCCATTGGATGAATCGACGATTACGATCTGAAGTAGATGGCATTGAATCTGGAGCCGAACAGCCACGGATAAGGCCACATCGGACAAGAAGGGATCGACCGACATCAATCGATCTCGACAAGATAGACACCAGTGAGAATGGTCAGGATATCATACGTGCACGCCAAACCAGAACAGAAAGAATGATGGGTCACTTTCTGTTTGGAGTATGCGTCAAGGTCGATGGTCACATGGTTATGGCAAACTCTGAGGATGGATCTAAAGATATTGAGGCAACAGTTGCCGTACATGCAGTATATGAGTCTAGTCCACAGGAAAAGCTTCCTGCTGACGAATACGTTTCAACGAAGAAGGATGATTCAACATGCGGCGATGAGTGCTGTGCGATTTGTTTGGAACCATATGCGATTGGTGATGACCTATGTTCAGGAAAGACAGAGAAATGCTCTCATGTGTTTCACGAGCACTGTCTGATCGAATGGATTAGGAGGCACAATCGATGCCCACTTTGCAGATCAAATCTGATGCCAGAAGGCGAGCTGCGAAAAGAAGTCGTGTAGTAGATGCGATCTATATTTGCAAAGCGAATTATTAGATACTAGAACTAACAACATAGAAATCTACAATTACAGTATTGAAATGTCAACCTATCACGCCAATTTTGAGCGGTTTCATCGTCGTATCATCCAAAAATGTGCTTGGAATCATCCTTTCGACAAGTGAGATTCGTTGAGGTCAGCTTGGACAGTAATGATTTTGCAGCAATCAAGCGTTCAACAGTGATTGATAGTTGCAGGAAATAATCGACGCCTCAAAAGCAATCGCAACCTACAGGATTCTATCATATTAGTGTTCTTCTGAGATAGACTCGCGTCGAAGCACCACTGGAAAGTCAGTGGGCACAACCACTGTATCTTCCGTCAGCGCGGTTGGAAATTCTGAATAAACGGCATTCAGATCGGATTCCATTTGATTGTACAAGTCAATATTATTTCCAATATAATCTTGATCATCAAAGTGCAACATGTCGTCAATGATGGTTTGCATAAACGAGCTTCGGTAAATGGAAGGATCGAATTCCGACGACAGCAAATCGGGTGGCTGCTGGCTATTGCCTGCAGTAGAGCCCTCCAAAAGATTGCTATGCATATTACTGGAATTGCGCGGATCAATCTTGCTTTTCTGAGATTGCATCTGCGAAGGAGTAACTTTGTTACTCTCCTTGATTGGTCCGAGGAAGGACCATCGAATGCTTCTTCGGACGCGCTGCCACCGGCTCATTCCTGGGTAGCGCTGTTTCAAACGTTTGTAGAATCTGAACATTATCATTGGAACGGTATGAATGTGTGTGCGCGCGTGTGTCAGAATAATTATAAGAGCAGCAAACTCCATAAGAAGCATCAATACTTACGGGTATCGGTAGACGATCAGGTTCAAAATCCCTGCGGCTGGAATGCTGATGCCATGTAACAAAAATATCAGAAAAAAAGAGTGCCCATGCAACTCCAGGATTCGATTCAGAGTCGGAAAGGCATATACAGCATAGAAGCATAGGGTATAATAAAGCGATTGTCGAAAGACTGCCCGACTTCCCAATTTGTTGCTCTCCACAGACTGCTGTTCCTTTACCGAGGCAAATCCACCAATCGCGTCCATCACTTGGTCAGCATCCAACAATCCACCACCGCCGCCACTAATAATACTCGGATTCTTGGGTCCAACAGTGTGGTTCAAATTTGCATGATTCAAACTTGCGCGTTGGAGAGCATCGGCTACAAAGTTGGTACTGCTTCCATGGCGGTCGTTGGATGGTGCTCCGACAAGAGGAGTAATAGTCCCACCACCACCACCACCACCACCACCACTACTCCGACTGGCCCGAGCTATTCGCAAGGCATCCATCATGGATTCGGGAAGCAACAACAATCCTTCATTCGCATGGTCAGTCCCGGAAGTAATGGAACCTCTGAAACTACTATTGCCATCAAACGCATTGTGATGTTGTTGTTGTTGTTGCTGCTGCACCACAAAGGACCGTTCGCTCCCTTGAGACGTCAGCGACATGCGATTGGTGGCATTATTAGTGACAGCAGCAGCAGCAGCAGCAGCAGCAGCAGCATTGCCAGTAGTAGTAGTAGTATCCCCTACTCCCAATATCAGTTTCATTTCCCGGCGTTCCACGGTTCGATAGACGACAATCATAATCGTGGTAATGAGAATAATGACAATCCAAAGTGGAATGTAATACATTTCCCACCTGTGTGGATTCCAAAATTTTATAAAATGGCAGTCAATACAGGTTTGTTAGAGCCATTCTTTTTTCCCTTTGAGTCCATAGTCGCTATATCACAAAACATACACACACACACGCTTGCTTACCGAAATTGAGTATCATCGGGTTCGATCCAGCACCACAACAGGGCGCTCCCATAGATTCCATGAAACAGCCCAAACAAGGCCGTTCCAATTCCGACCATGTTGGGCAAGGCATGCATGTACGGTTCAATCTTCTTGACTTGCTTTTCCGAATACTTGTATTTGACCACGAGCATGTAATAAAGGGCGAGGCAAAAGTTGTCTGAAGAAGAAGGAAACAGAAAAATAATGAGAATATGTATACGGTGCATATGGTGATCGATCAGATTGGCTGGCAACCCTAATATATCCATATACTGTATGACAATAAGCAGAAACGTACAAATCGGTGGTGCTATGCTGAATTGCACAAATGTTCCTTGAATGAGACACGTTAGCTCATTCCCAATTGCCCTATAGGAAAGAAAACCAAAATGAAGTGAGTATGCATGGATGCATGCATGCCATTGCACACTCAACACATAGTAATACACCGCGCATCGCACACCTAGTGTAAAACATACCAAACTGTATTGTCTTCATCTTCACCCCCGGTCGGCATTGGCCAAGTGGACAAGAACATTGCCGCGGACACAATTCCATCCCAGAGACTCATTCCACACAGCAAACGATGGTAAACGTTGGATCGTTTCGAGGGTTCCTTTAGGACTTCCACAACGATCCATACGGAGGCAATGATGGACAAGAACCCGCTGCATTTTGGAGCGAATGCCAAGGCAACTTGCTGATTGTGAGTGAATAGTTGTTGATGCATTCTTAGAATATCATTGACATTGCTGGTTTTAGTACAGGTATGGTAGTGGTAGAGCAGAAGTGCTGTGGTTGGCAGTCTCGTGAAGGGAGGTGCACCTACAGTAATATACCGGTATACTCTCTCGTCCGCTTACCAAAATATGGCCAAAGTTTTCAGAATCATTTCCCCTTCCCATCTCCCTCCTTTTGAATTCGAAAAAGGGGAAGAGAATGGCGGACAGTCAGTCACAGTCTCCAGCGTTTTCGCGGGAGGGGCCAATCGAAGGGGGTCGTGGTCGTGAGTCATTTTGCTTTCGGTCTTTGTGTAGAATGGTACGAAAATGGAAAGGCTTCGTTCTCATATCATGCACCATCCCTACTGAAAAGGGTAGTAATGTAGGTACGAAAAATCCACAGGCACTCCTCTTTGTTATCATCACGTAAGGAAACAACAGATCTACCTTGTGGATTCTATTTTAAGGTGTTTGGCTTTTTACAACTGTGACACTACTTGTATTTATCTTCAATCGATCAGTAATCTCCACGTTTCACACTCTTAAGCTGAGCGTCGATTGTTACTGCAACAAAGAGAAGAAGAAGAACAAGAAGTTCGAGTCATACCATTCATTCTTTCATTCCCAGTTTTCGGTTTCAGGGCCAAGTAAAAAGGACAATTCACGCTCTCTGAGTTGATACAACAGAGTATCCACAACAACAACAACAACAACAACAACAACAACAACAGACACGAAGAAGAAGACCAATATGGCCAGCAATAACAACAACGACGAGTACACGGTGGGAGCCGATACTTACGGAGGCGACACCTTTGGCGGAGATACCTTTGCTGAAGCCGGTCCCAATGAAACAGGACCTTCTCCCAATGCCGACGAGTTCACCCAGTATGACAATCGTACCACAACCGGCGATTATACTCGCACGGGAGGCTCCACCGATGACTTTACCACCAGTCAATTCACGGAAGATCCAAGTGCTGAAGTGCCAGATGCCACGGAGACTGGTCCAACGGTGCCTCCTCCCGAAGGTCCGTATTACGATGACACAGGTCGCCCCTATTACATCAACGCCGACGGAGAACCTTATTATGATGACCACTACCAACCTCCCGAGTCGGCCATGAGTTTGGTCCCTTACGATCCTGCCTCGGAACCTCAGCCAAGGCAGTATGCAGGCCGCGAGTACAAGGACGCAGGCAACGAACTCATGGTCTACGATCCCGACATGGCCTATGCCGACGAGGACGACGATGATTATGACTATGACGAAGGAGAACCCATCAACATGCGCGAGACCTACGAAGATGAAATTGTGGAAGACGAATCCAAGCGCCGGGCTCGGCGCCGCCGGGCCTGGTGTTGCTGTCTCATTTGTCTCTGCTGTTTGCTTTTGCTGTTGCTAATAGCAGTCCTTTACATCATCCTCAAGGACAAGGAACCCGATCAAATGGAAACCTTGGCTCCTACCTTTTCTCCATGGATTGATGACACTGATGACGATTTCTACTACGATGATGATATCGTCCTAGCACGGGGACAAATCAATTCCTGTATGGCCGACTTTGATGGAAACTGCGACTTTGAAGATCAATCCTGCTTTCCCAATGTGGTGGATCAGTGCAACTGCAACGGGCAAATCGAAATTATCCCCCAAGACGTCAAGGACATGCGCGCTACCATTCAAGAACGAGTCGCCCAAAAGTTTTTTGGACCCAACTTTACCTTGCCCGAAAATCTATGTCATCCCATCAACATGGCCATGATCTGGTTTGCCTCGGGGAACAATCGGGATGCCGGACAAGCTCGTCAGCGATTCACTCTCGCCATTAACTACTATGGTTTGAATGGAACCATTTGGGATTACGACGATGCTTGGATGAGTGATCTCAATGAATGTCTTTGGTTGGGAGTCCAGTGCAACAACCGCGATGCCATCAATTCCATGCAGATGGATACCAACAACTTGTTTGGACAGGTATGTATTATTTGTGATACTATATTATATCATTGTTGTTGACTAGAGACTTGGCGATTTGTCTGGATTTGCATTTCTTTCATCAGTTACTAACCAACCAATTTCCAAACATGTCCTCTTGCCATGTCCTTATTATTATTATTATTATTACAGTTCCCGAGTGAGATTGGTCTCATGATTGGTCTTGCTTCCATCTCTGCCTCTCGTGTTCACTTGACCGGAACCATTCCTACCGAGCTCTTTGGAATGCCTCGCCTTAGAGAATTACGACTCTATGGTAACCGTATTACCGGTACCATTCCCACCGAGGTTGGAAACTCGCCGGTTCTTCGAGGCTTTCGCGTCGAAACCAACTTTATCAGTGGCCGGATTCCCAGTGAAATTGGCCGCACACGAACTCTCACGGACTTGAACATTGGTTTCAACCGTATGAAGGGTACGGTTCCAAGTCAACTGGGAGAACTGCAGCAACTCGTCAACCTTCGATTTGCGTCCAACGAATTGTCGGGAATCCTACCCACGGACCTGGGTCGTTTGAATTCTCTCGAAGTTTTGGCACTGTCCGAAAACTTGTTCAATGGCAACTTTCCAACCCACATTGGTCTCTTGTGGAAGATGAGAGATTTGCGTGCCGCATCCGTTGGTGTGGGTGGCTTCATGCCATCGGAATTGGGGTTGCTCACCGACATGCAACGTCTCGAGTTGGGTTACAATGGGTTCTCGGGAAGACTCATTTCGGAAATTGGGCAATTGACCAACATGTGTAAGTTATTGACTCCATGTGCATCCAAATGGTTTTATTCTCTGGACAGACAAGCATGCTCACTTCAGTCCTTTTCTCTATTTTTTTTCCTTCTCGCAATGCACAGTCTACTTTAGTATCAACGACAATCGATTGGAAGGAGAAATCCCGTTCCAAATTGGAAACTTGCAAAACATGACTCGAATGCAATTTCAACGAAATCAGTTCGCTGGAAATGTCCCATACACCATTGGAAACCTGGAAAAACTCGAGCAATTTACCCTGGAGGGTAATAAACTCGGTGGTACCATTCCTGCAGAGGTTTGCGATTTGACCAAGAACTATTTGAGACAGTTCATTGTGGATTGTTACGATGCCCGATTGAACGAAGGGTACGATTGCGAACCAGATTGCTGCACCTTGTGCCGCGATGTCAAGTAAATCAATCTTTTGGAGTATACATACATATATGGGCAGGCGCAAATAGCCGAAATAATTGTTTGTGCAATATAATACTATTACCACTCTAGTAAATAATATTATTCGTTATCGCCTCCTCAAGTCATCCAATAATGATGGCCCCAATAAGGTTTACTCAATTCTATCTTGATCTGCTGTGCCATCATGAAAAGTCTGTTGGTAGGGATCTCATGAGGTCTTTCAAATTCTTTTCCAATCACAGAGTGGATTCTGTAGAATGAGAAAATATATCTGGCGTTTACTGGGTCCCAATAGTTCTTGAATAAGACTGATGGTTCGTGAGTGTAACCTTCCATCAATCTAAATAAAAGTCTCAAAAGCTCATCTGACTTTTCTTTGTTTCTCAAATGCTTCGAAACTTGCATCGCTAGCTTGGTTAAGTCTTCTGGTTTTAGCGATCGAGGATTCGAGATAGGTATCCCAACTAAGGTATCCCAACTATTTGACTCACATACGGATCAAAAAACATATAGAAATTCTTTTCTGGATGCCATTGCATCTTCATTGCAGCTTGTGCTCCCCTATGATCCACTTGGGAATTATCGTTTGAACATGCTGCTCCATTAGTGTCTGATCGGTAGAGACAGTATGGACATGCGCTACTAGCTCACGAAGCGTTTTCTTGTTGAGCTTGCTTGGTGTAACGAAGGCCCTTCCAACAAGGCTATCTATGACTGGATCGCCAAACTCATAATGTCCCTCCTTGGCTGACCATTTTCGATTGGCAAGCAATGGTTTCCAATGCATAATGCTTGGAAGTTTGAACACGCCGTTTCGGTTCAGCCATGGTATGAAATCGTATTTTGACTCTTGTTGTGATACATTATACTATTGTCATCATCGCGCATTGTATCCATTTCAAGATGTCACTGCAACGTCAAAGGTACTCGAACCAGTCGACTATCAGAGTAATCGATCATCTATCGGAGTATACGGTATATACCAGTACAGTAATCCATAATCCAACAAGAGCGATGATTCTTGTTTTGGACAAAATGAAAGCTAGCACCATGTAATTCAATACTACAAGAGTAGACTCTTTAATGAAAATGGAAGAAAATTATGTATGAAAAGATTCAGAGTTGGTTCAATCCTGCAAGTGCTGAACTCCAAAGGCTGGAGTTTTCGCTGGGTGCTACAGTACGTATACTGCTTTCAAGACTCTGCATTTCCATACTTTTTTTCAAAATGTTTAATCACCTCCTTCGATAAGCCGACGATAGTTTCGTCTGTGAGATTGTCCAAATCCGCAAACTTGGGGTTCAATATTTCACGAGCAGCGAAATTGTGAAAGATGACTTTGTTGTCCCTCGAGTTCCAGAACCAGCTGTTGAGCCTTCCGGTCCATTCAGGGTAATCTCTTGTGGGTTCCAACAAAAGGTTGACCTTGCGAAAAGCCTCCTGCTTCTTTTCCAAGACCATTCGGAGCTGTTCTGCAATCGCATTTAGCTTCTCCTCCGTAATCTCTTCAGGTGCGAGAAGAGGCTCTCTCAGAATCCTCTGAACGTGCATGTTACGGAAGCCATAAGCCCATAGATGGATGATCCAATGATACTGCTGAACATCGTCCTGGAACGGACAACCTTCGAGTTTCGAAGCAAGCTTTTGCAGCACAACCCTTCCAGTATGTTTGCGGTTCACAATGGCCTTGACTTGCTCGCAGAGCTTTTGAAGGTCTCCTTCACTGAGTGCATACGGATCCTTCAGGGGTTGGGCAAGAAGTTTTCCGATCGAACGGTTGTAGAAATTATAGTGAAAGCCTTCGGTATTCCAACCGTGCTGTAAAGCTCGCTCTCCGTCGTCATCGCCCACAAAATGCAAAATCCTCTCGATGTATAGGTCCATTAGAGCTCGTTTGTCGACAGTGGCTTGGATTCTTCCTGGAATTTCGCCGAGGACCTTTTTATTGATTTTGCTGGGTGCTTTAAGCATTGGCTGCAATATTCCTTGCAGTATAGGATCGCTGAATAAATATTGGTTGCCATTAGATTTCCAGCGTCGATTGTCCAGATTGGATTTCCAAGAAACGTTCTCGCCCAAAAGAGCCTTGAGTTCAAAAAGGAGCGCGTCGACTCGTTTCTTGCGGGCTTCTTCGAATCGCTTTTGCCCTTCCAGTTTGGCTTTTAGAATGGCATTCTTTCGGGCAGTGGCATCTTCTCGATTTTGGTTGACTGCCGAAAGAATGGCATTTGCAGACGCAATAGCTTTGGGCTGACGAGTGTCGCATTCTTCAACATGTCTAGCGACGACTTTTTCAGCCTGGGTCATATTCGTGATTGTCGCCATCGTTTCAATATCTTGGAGAGTTACCACCGGTCCAATGTTTGTGCCAGTAGAATCTTGTATGGGGGCCTTGATTAGGAATCTGTGAGGGGATCTAGGCCCTTTCAGAGGGACACGCTGAACTCTTTTACAATCAAGGAACCGTTTCACCGGATTCTTCCGCAAAGTCTTCTCGGAGCATGCCCCAGTACATCTAGTGCACAGAAACATACCAATACATGGGGAAACGTAGCGAGTAGCCCGATGGCACCTTTCGCATCGCTTTCCAGAGACAACACGGAGAAGTCTCATAGGTGATGGAATCCAAATCATCTGATCTCGAATAGGCGGGATCATGCGTTCGAGAGTCGTAGCGGCGTATCCACCAGACATCATAGTAGCCCGAACCACATGATTATAAGTGAGAAGGGAAGAAAAGTCCTTGTTGACACACGAGAACTGCAGTAGTGAGTTTGTATCCAAAAACGAGAAGAGTTCGGCAACGATGTCTGTGCAGCCAAACAACGTGCTCGAGATCGTTACCGCTTCGTCCTTTCTCGCCTTGGTCTTTAGACGTTTTGAGGCTCTTGGAGTGACATCAATTTGGCGCTTTAGGGTCATCATGATGAAGGGATTGCTTTCAGTTTGTTCCAAAGTTGAAATTATGAGGTTTTTGATGCCACTGTGAAACATGCCAGAACGCGAGACGTATGAAGGGCGGACCACACACGGAGAAGTTCCGAATCCAAAATCGGCTCAAATCTCCCCCCGACAAGTCTTATGTAGGCTATGACCACCATGGACAACTACTTCCAGCGATGGAAATGGTGGCGCACTTGCTGATATTCACTTGGGGAGTATTTTGGGCATCTGCGATTTCTCAAGTAGCCCAATTTCGAAGCGGTAGGCGATGCGAGCATCGACTATAAAGTCTCTTGTAACTTCCCAGCGATTCATCTATCAATATGCCACAGTGGTTCGTCTCATCGAATGGTTCTTTTGTCTTGCATTTAAACAATCAACTAGAGTACCTGCGATTTCATGGGATGGTTTGAAAGTAGTCATCAAGGATAAAGTGATTTAGAGCGACAGCAGTCGTCGTAGATTGGCTCGATTCACTTCTGAACAGCTATACCTTATTTGCTAGAATATCTAACAATTCGTCTGACTGTTCGGAGCGCCAAACTCTTTGTCACTTGCCATAGGTACCGATGAGTTTCCCTGACTAAACTGAATTGCGCTAGAAGCCTGTTTTTCCTTCCAACTTTCCTGTCTCTCCATCACATGCATTGTATTTGGATTCTACTAGACTTGATCGATATGAGCCTTCGAATGCTTGGAGCTCAAGGAAGTATTATGATGTGACGAAGTGTGCAATAATAGGCCTCTCTGTCTTGTGTTCTTGTTATTTCATCAGTTGCTATCAATCGGCCTCAGTAGCATCTAGGATCGTCAACAAACAAAGAACCAAGAGTAAAACCCCCGACACCAAAGAAGGATCGACTGGGAGTTTTGTAGAGCTTAGTCGATATCCGGCCATGTGTCCAAAGTGCATCATGACATAGGATGCGACGACAGCGTAGAATCCAGATATTCCTGGTGACAATCCCATGGCTCCTCCCGCTGCGCCTCCAGCAAGATTATTCAGTGTCATCGGTACGGACAATTGGATGACTTGAGCGAAAGTCATTGCGCCAACTGACGATGATGTAGTTGTCTCATTACCATTATTGAAACAATACGAAACAATTTCAACAGTGCCCAGTACTCCAAACATAAGCGCTGCCACCACATTTGCAAAGGAAGGAAGGAATTCCATTATCACCCTGCCTCCAAAAACAGCAAGGAAAGCACCAAGTCCATTGCAAAGTGAAATCAGGGCGTTTGCCCATCGTCCCAAGTGCTTGCGTCGAATTCCGATGCTGAATCCAACTGTGAAGTTGTCCGTTGAGGATGCCAGTGCCAGGATCGACGCATCGATATGCTTGCTCAGGGTGAAATTAGTAGGAGACGACATCAATCCTTTTCATCGACGAATGATCCTTGGTGATTGAATGTAAGTACGGTAGGTCTTCATTCATCTATCAACATGAGTGCATACAATAATAAGTTATCACACGCAGTATCAGCTCGTCATCGATCATCGTCTCTTCAAAAGATTTGTCATACGTCAGAATATTGATCGTATCAGTCGAATCAATCACTTCATCTGACAATGTGGTAAGAGAGTCAGTCTACAAACGACGATATATAAGATTCGAAAGGGGAAGCAAAAGGGGAAGCAAAAGTGGAAGTCCACGTACTTTGAAAAGCTGAGAAGTAGTAGTTGATTGTTATACGAGAAGTTATTGTCGCAAGGGTATGGTGGCGAGGATGGCCGCTTGGTATTCTTGCCACGAACGAGAAATGATGTTTGGGGCTTCCTGCCACGAATTTCATTAGTTCTGTTCAAAGATTTGAATGACCTCGTTGGACAAGTCAGCGATTGCGGCATCGGTGAGATTTAGAAGATCAGCGATTTTTTTTCCAATAGTAGACGAGCTTTTTCGTTGCTCACACCCTGAAGAGAAAAGAAAACTTCGTTGTTAACCCTGTTCCAGCGCCAACCATCGAGATGATGCGTCCATTCCACATACTTTCTGGTAGGTTGCACCAAAAGCTCCACCTTGCGATGAACCTCATGTTTCCGTTCCAGAAGGGATCGGACTTTTTCTGCCAGCTCATCCAGCTTTTCATTGGTAATCAAAGCGGGGTCAAGAAGGGGTTCTGCCAAAATACAGTGAATGTATGCCTTATTGAAAGAATAAGCCCACTTGTTGGCCCCCCAAGAATTCTGCTCAAGCTCCTCCTTGAACGGAACCCCATCGAGTTTCGCGACAAGCTTTTCCAAAACCACGTCGCATGCCTCTCTTCTGTGGACCAATTTCTTGACTTCAACGCAGAGCCTTACCAGGTCTTCTTCATTCAATGCACGTGGATTCTTCAATGGTTCGCCAAGGACATGGTGGACGTGGAGTCTGCGAAACCTGTACCAAAACTGGTCCAAAATCCAATCGTGATCGAGGACGCGTCTTGCCTCTGGATGATCTGCAAAATTCACCATTCTTTGAATATAGTGGTCCATCAATGCTCGGTTATCGAATGCATTTTGGATCTCTCCGGGAATTTCACGGAGGCGCTTTCTGGTTACCTTGCTGGGAGCTTTCAGAAGATGCCTTGCAAGATTTCGTCACGGAAGTCATACCCGTGGGAATAACGGTGGTACCACTCGCAGACCTGAGATACCCACGTTCTCTCATCCAGTTTGGACTTCCACGCAACTTCATCTCCCACAAGACCATGCAGATGATCGAGCAGCTTATCTACTCGTTGCTTGCGTACCTCCCCGAATCGCTTCTGTCCGTTCGCTTTGCTTTCGCGGGCAGCAGCCTTTCGTGCTTCGGCCTCTTCTTTGTTTTCTTTGACTGCTGATAAAATTGCCTTCTCTCCATCCATCATATCAGGCCGACGATGTAGGCATTCAACCATGTGGTCGATGACTTTCTCCTCTGGAGTAAGTCCTGGCGTGTTGTCAGCGATCATTTCCGCAATGTTTTGAAAGGTGATCAGCGGCCCAACCTCTTCTCCACTCCGGTCCATCATGGGACTCTTGATGAAATACTTCTTTCTTGCCCATGGACCTTTTCGCGGGCCATAGCACACAAATGGGGCTTTTTTATGTGCTACAATGGTCTTGTTTCCATGATCCACAGGCGTCGTGCAAGTCACAATACAGTTGTCGCAAAGAAAGACGCCAAACGATGCAGATACATAGCGAGTTGAGTCAAAGCACTTCTCGCAACGCTTTCCACAAACAATACGGAGCAGCCTGGTAGGCGAAGGCACCCAAATGTCAAAACACTCCAGTATCCGAACCAAACGTTCAAGAGACTGCGCCCCGAAACCTCCTTGCATCATTGCAGCCCGGACAACATGGTGATACGTGAGCAATGACATGAACTCTTTGTTCAAACAGGAAAACTTGAGCAAGGATCTCGTATCCAAGAACGAAAATAGCTGGGACACAATATCCGTGATACCAAACAGAGTCTTTGCGACAGCTACAGCTTCCTTCTGCACGTCCCCGTTCTTGGGACGTTTAGAGTCTCTTGAAGTTACAGTGGCTTTGCGCTTGACAGGCGACATGATGGATTGCTTTCTGTTTGTTTCTTGATGTTTCATTGAGATTGTTTCCAATGATGATAAGGAGTTTTGTGTTTTATTATTTTGTGTGAGCCGCATGACTGTCCGACGTCCGTACGGAAAACAATTCAAATATTTCCCTCCGACCCTTTATTGTGAAACTCCATTTTATATACTAGAGGTAGAAATAAATCTGAGTCGCTCAGAACGTCTTCGCCGGTAAAACGGTGAACCAGATGATGCTAAACTCTTTGTCGCTCCTTGTAGCCGGTTCGGACATCCACCAGAGCTTGGAGCTGATCAATCCCTTCCAACTTTTGCAGGCCATTCTTTTGTACACTTTGCTTGAGTGCCAATACACTGCCCCGAAGCTGATCGAAACCATCCAGTCGGGCTGTAATGCGGTCATCGTTGGAAATATCGACCAAGAGTCGGACAATGTTCTTTAGTTGATGTTGCTTGGTCTTGTAGTCAGCGACCTTGTCGACGATTCGGTCAAAAAGTGACAAAAGGAGAACCTTTTCAGCATGACACACGCCGATAAGCGGAGACAGCAGCTTGGTGGCTCCTCCCATGGAGTTTTTCGAGGCCGATATAAAGTCTATTGATGCAAACAGCGCATTCACAAGAGGTTCATTCAGCTCGGGTGGAACGTCGGTCTCTCCAGTTGTTACTTGAATATCCAGCAAAATCAAAGCCAAAAGTGAAATGGAAGCACGGTATCGCAAGTAGCTATCCGCTGCTTCTAGTTCCTCCTTTGGTTTTAGTAGATCTTTCAAGAATGGAAGTAGCATTTGTAGAATTCGTTTCGAGCCACATTCAATCAAGGCAACCGAAACTCGTCGCACACCAGAATCCATTGTTCCCATGCGTGACAGGAAGGAGGCAAATGGCTCGTCACTGGACTGGTTCTTTCGTTTGCTCTTTGCTTTTGGAATCACAATGCTTGTCAACAAAAACTGGATGTAGTTCTTCATTGGAATGCTCCTTCGAATCGCTTGTAAGGACGAAACAATTGCATCTGCCGTCGATGTATCATTCGAAGACTTGGAACAGAACTTGGCTAGCCCCTTTAGACAGGAAGCCGAGGGTTTCTCCAACATTACCATCAACGCGAGGAACTTGCTCTGACTCTGAGTCGTATAAATTTCAAATGCCGGTCGTTCTCCCTTCTCTTCCGTGAGGACTAAATCTTCCATTCTGTTCCGCAACGTGTTGCCCAATTCCGAGTCGGTGCCATTGGATCGCACGATTCCGAGCAGTGCATCAAATGTAACATTGGTTTCAAACTCACAGTCAGCACCCCAAAAGTTGAGAAAGGATGACATCGCAGACGTCATATCCATCAATAGAGGTGCATCGGCCAAATTCGGATAATTCAAACTTGTGAGAATGTCACAGACAGTGACAGCCACCTTGCGCCCAGCTTGAGAGCGCGCTAACGCTGCATTGGAATCTTGGAAAAAGATCTCGTTGATTGCCTTCAGCATGGCACTACCGTGGTCGTACAGTGAGTTGCTGGCAGAATCGACCGAGGATAGCAACAAGTCACAAGTGACGTTCAAGGCGGAAGTAGGATAGTCTTGGTCCGATTTGTATCGTTGCAAATGAGGCAAGAGGAAGGAAGAGAGTTGCGACTTCCACTTCAGCTGCTTTCCTTCAGAATCTTGACAAATGTTCTCGGGTACTGTCGCACCAATGGTCATTACAGTGGTGCAAAGGGTCGAATTCAAGGATTCGACCGTTGAATCGTTCACAAACTTGAAGTCTCCTCGTTGCAATGGCAACATATCTAGCAGAATCGATAAAACTTGAACTGCTAGCTTTTGCAACTTCTCTGGAGGCTCATTGTCTGGTTGACCTTCATAGAATCGTGTCTTTCGCTTCCACAACAACCCAATGGCCTGAAAAACCAACGAAATTAGTTTCTCCTTGGACTGTGGACTTGGGGATTTCTTGGTTTTCGCTACTTCCATAGTCTCTGATTCCAAGATCTCCATCAAGATATTTCGGACTTTTTCCATTAACTCTTGTATCACTTCCATATCATCGTTCTCGCCATCCGTCCTGCCGGCTCGGCTTCGATCCAAAGAAAGAATATCCTGGATTGAACTCAATGGTGCAACAGGTGGCCGTATCGACCTTCCTTCCACTACGATTGCATTACGAGATCGACCACCTGAAACAAACGTGAAATGAGGACAAGACTCTATCGAAGCCCGCTTCAGCTGTCGATCGGAGGCATCAACCTTCGAAACCTTCATCAACGATACTAAACCGAGTAGGATTTCAGCCTTAGCAGCGAGCTTTCCTCTGTCCGTCAATAGACCAATGAAAGGTTTCAGCAATTTCGCTACATGCGGCCGAAGGAGCTTTGGATGAACAGAGCAAACCAAGTGGACAGCTTTGGCACCATCTACTCTCATCGTTGAATCCAGACTATGAAGGGCTGAGGTCAAGTAGGCAACAATCAGAGGCATGAATGGTCGAATAGAAGTCTCCGATTGTTTTCGTAGTAGTTCTCCAAACGTTGTAAGTCCAGCCGTCCGTGTGTCGTCGTCTTCGTCTACCCACGACTTGGCACAGCAAGGTATCAAGAGGGCCAAATGTGGCCGAAGTGAGGCTGTAGATTCATGTCGCGTAATATCCCCCAATCCTTTAACGGCGCTCAAGCGGACAGCTGCAGCATGATGACTTAGTTGAAGTGACAAATCAACCATCGATCTTCCTCGAGCCGACGCAACACCCGTCCCTATTTGTTGCAAGGCATGTTGATCTGCCATCCGAATGGAAGCTGACTTGAAAGTCGTATCGGTGAAATTGGCAGCCTTGGGCGCTCGCTTTCCGACTTTTGCCTTGAGGCGTTTGAAGTCGGATTGTGACTGACCTCCACTCTTTCGTTTGGACGACATGGTGAATGTAGGGTTGTGTGGTGTTTGTTGATGGTGTTTTTTATATGTGGCAATAGTACAAAGAAAATAACAGATGATTTATTGATTGGATTTGTCGGAGAAAAAAAATGAAGGGCTCTGTTCTGAACGCAATGACTGACAGACGTACCCTTTGATTCGAAATTGAAACCAAAACTTCAAACTGATCAGAGACATGGATCAGAATATCGAAGGATACCAGTAGGTACAATATTCCTGTAAAGTAGGCCACCATGCTTTATAAAAACGTAATTCACCATGGATCGCGACTTGCCAACTTAACTACTAAGCCTCTTAACTTTACTACTTCTTGTCCCTTGTGCTCGTGCTGGCTTGAGTCGACATTAACGGCGCTTTGGTCGGAGCATGCCTTTCAAAGTTGCCTACCGTACCGGTATACTTGTCTTGCTGCAAGCTGCAAAACCACGTTGATAGTGGGAATGAAGGAATGAATGAATCAATCGTATCAGAGAATCGTAACAATGGGGTGATCGCGGGTGAGGAATAGCGCTAGGAAGAAGGTGCAGAAATGACGTGGTTGATTGGCAGGGACTGGGATTTAACGAGGAAAGAGTTGTTTAGTGGCGCTATTGAGACTCAAGATTTCTGAGTGTTCGATTGGCCGTCAAACTTGGTGGCTTGTGGTTTTGAAACATTTATGGATGAAGGACGAAAACAGAAAAACCAATTAGTTGATCGTGATAAAAAGGACGATTGTTAAGCACAGATCTTTCTTGCTTTTATTCCACACGAGCTTACGTCAATTGTTGAAACTACATTCAGACGAGTAAGGAACAAAAGGCTCGTGTGACAAACGGGAAGTTGCAGACTATTGAGGATGTTTGCCGTCTCACAACTTCCGTTCTTCTCATTTTCTGCTTTAGGAATCGGAACAAACCATTTTGACACTCATGGCTCGTCACCAAGCACAACCGAAGCCCCAGAGCATCATTCACCACCTGAGTCGTCTTGGATCAAGAGTTGTCAGGCCATTATCATCGTCTCATAAGAGAAGGCCAACCAAACTGTTGGACGCTGATGGAAGCGTGGAGAGCTACACAGATACCTCCGTTCCTTCCTCTCTTAGATCGATAAAATCTCTGCCTGCGCTAACTCTAAAGGACGATAGTACAAGCTTGAAAGGTTCTTCTTTGTCACTGAGTGTTGGTGATACAGTCGGGACGGCAAGCTCCAAAGATTCTTTGCCACTGGGACTGGACATGGAAAGCATCACCGACTCCGATGCCGGGGATGAAGTAGTACATGGCAGTCTATCCGACTGGGTAGCTGGTGAAGACCAAAACGAAACGTTTGAGACCATGGATCAGAACGAATTCCTCTTCGAATGCTTCATTTCCAATAAACAAAGCGACATTATCTTCTTTGTTCATTTCTTCAATGATGATTCCACAATATCCGACGAAATAGAGAAGACCATATCCGGCATCGTGATGGGCGAGAAGGTCAACTGCCATCTAATACGAGTAAATGCACGCATGGCACCCTTATTTACTATGAAACTTGGAATTGATCCAGAGCAACCAACCATTGTAGCAATTCGAAACGGAAGCGTGATTGACAGAGTCTCAGACTTCTCCTCGGGCGTGCGAGACGAAGTGGAACATTGGATAGAAGCGAATGATTTTTTGAATCATTCGGAGCTTCTGTTCTCCTTGTCGCACCTATCTACAGAATAGACGCTGGCGTGTTGCTATTAGTAGCTACTGTAGACTGTAACATTAATATTCCACAGTACCAAGGGGGTACCGTGAATGAGTTTCGGCGTACAGACGTGTATTTTACCATGATCCGTCTAAAACCATCAACCACGGGTTCGATTGTAGTTGTATCAGGCAGGCAGGTTCAACAACCGTAGCGCTGCATCCGCAACTCCAGTTTTTAGGATTTTCTTTCTTCAAGCAATTTCTGTCAGAAGTGGAGAAGCTTCGTCTTTGAGGCACCAAGAACTTCGCGATGAAAAGTTTCTGGACCGAACCACCACAGCCAGCTCTGGCTTTTAGAGACGATGCTGGCAGGCTACAGTAGCTACTCCTCTTGGGACTATTGCCATTGCGTGTACTACCGACTTTGAGAGCACCAGATACCATGGTACCATGGTGACAATAAAGCTCGCTCATCTGCCAGACGGTCATTTCTTGATAGAGAATGAACATATCCTCTCTTGAAGTTCAACCTACTATTACTGTACGATAGCAGGACTTGCGAAGACTAGTCCGATTTAGTCTCAGCACCAACAGCGTTCCCGTATGCGAGGGAGGACCGTGGCTCCGTTTCTTTCTGAATGTTGTACTTCAAGAATAGCCGCTAATAAATGCAAAAGGCCGATGCTCATTCGGATATTGTTATCATACAGAATGGTGGACCAAATATCAATGTCTCTTGATCAGAAGATTTGCATAGAAACTGAGTAGCACGATGCACAAAAGCGGGGGACATGTGCCTGATATAGCACGCTGGTTCTCCGAATGAAGTTGGTAGTTGGTGTCGGGCAAGGACTTTTACTCCTGCGGGTGATGAAAAATCTGCTCCAATATATTTTTCAAATCCTCACAATTAACAAAATTCGCGCTGTTTGCACAAAGATTCGTGGGGCTTTTTGTTTTGGCACCAGTACCGGTACGTAGTTCAACGGAGTTTCGATGTCCTTTAGTCTCACAATTTTTCCGCTTTTCCTAATAGCGACCTTTTCTTCGTCAACTCACAAATTCTCAGAACGAAAAAAAAATCATGGATCACATCAATTCATTCGGCAAAGGCCTGACACCGGTCAAGAGACCTCAATCCATCGTCCACCGGATTGGACGTATGAGTTCCTCAATCTCTTTGCCTTTTGGAAAGAAGAGCGCAAAGACGTTCACCAAGAATTCAAAGAAAGACAAGAAGATCAAGAAGAAGTGTACTCGAAAGTCTACTAAAATCGTTAAGAAAGAGGAAACTACCTTAACTCTTGCAGAATCTTCTCATTCTGCAGCCCTCACTTCAGAAACTGTCGATGAGTTTGGCAGTCTTTGCCACAGCGATGAAGATTTCTCAGAAGGGACAATGGGAGGAGAAAACCTGGATCAAAGCACTCACCACGAAGAAGAAGACTTCTTTGTTGCTCTGAACCAAAACGAGTTCCTGATTGAGTGTTTTATGACCAATGAATGCAGCGACCAAACCTTCATTGTACATTTCTACGCCGAAGATTCACCGTCTCTATCATACGATATTGAGGAAGCCATTTTGATTCGTACCATGGAATCTGGATCCAACTGCCAATGCCGTCGAGTGAACTCAAGACTGACCCCGCTGTTTACAGCAAAGCTTGGCATTGATCCCGACCAACCAACAATTGTTGCAATCCGAAATGGTGTTGTCGTAGACAGAATATCCGACATCTCTCCTGGATGCTGGGAACTCGAGAAGTGGATTTCAGACACTGGCATATTGACGCAAAAGCCAGACAACAACAGTGCATTCCCCAGCATGAATGTACACTCGTGTTGAGAAAACTACATATATTTATAATACATGATTTTGTACAATGGCTGCACTGCACCAAACCCCATATCTAGTATCATTTCTAGGATGACATTAGCTGATACTGACCAGTAGGAGGCCCACAGGTCCACACTTGCCCATCCAAGGCTCCTAGTAGCAAACACAACGATGGATGTTGCCGAAAACGGTACTACTTCCGCGTTCCAAAAGCCTGCGAACCTTCAGTCCTCACAACATTCCCGTTGACAATCTCTTGTTATGATGATGGCTCAAGGTTTTTCATGAAGGTCACCCCCGTTAAATCTAGAGTCGCAGATCGACTCCAGTCATAATGCTGAGAAGCTTTTCGATCTATCAGCACGACCACAAATGGCAACACGTAAAGCAATCTCAAAATAACAGATTCTTGCGACTGTTAGTCTCGTGATGTTTTATATTGGGTTTTCGCCTTGTTTTATTGAACAAGCCAATTTCGAAATTCAACTTGGGAGAAGGACGAGCTTTTCACCAGAAAAGTGAAAAGCCTTTTCAAAAATCTTGACTACGGGCACAGAAACCCCGAAAATCTGAGTCATTCATTGGAAAGCCATATCCAACCACACGGAAATACATTTGCTTTTATTGATATCCAAATTGGCATAATGTATCTTTCGACTTTCACAAAACACAGCCAACATTAGCAATGTCAGACTACGAAGCCCCCAAGCCTCAATCCATCCTTCACCAAATAGGACGTCTTGGATCCAAAATGTACAAGCCCTTAAAGAAGAACAAATCAGCGAGGGATGACGATGTGCAGGAATCAGCACACGTGCTAGTACTGGACAGCGACGGAGTCCTTGACGAGAATGGGATCTTTCACGGGATTGACGCCAGTGGCCATGAAGACTTTTCTTCCGTCACCAGCCAAGGAGATTACGAAGATAATCTTATCGAAGACATGGAAGACACACCTTTGCCTCAAGCTACAGAGGACGGCAAGTGCGATGGTAATTCGCAAAAGGGAAAGGACGTGAGCAATGATGCCTCGGCTAGTCGCCGTTCGTCCAACAAAAGTCATCGGAGGTCAGGTAACTCCCTCCGCATTGATACCACAGGAGAGATGTTCTAGTCCGATAAAAGGCACTAGCTAGCGAAGCAATAGACTCGGCAGGAAGAGTTTTTGGTGGTCGGAACTAATACTCGCCAGCCACGTGAAAACTGTTGACACCACAACAATGATACAAGTGACAGGAGATGGTTTCGGATGGCCCACACATTTTTAAAATCAAGATATACTAATCGAATAAAGAAAATAATAAACTAACAAATTAACCATACGCATGCATATATCGAGAGCATCCGCATGTGCGTATACTATCGCTGCTATCTTTCCTGAAACTCAGTGAGAATCAAGAAGCCGAATTAAAAAAAATACCAATACCTGAAAACTCCGTGGTCATTTGATAACATTGGCGCTGGCTGTACCTAATAGGGCAAAGTGCGTTCATGCAAAAGCTCTTTCACCACGGCTCTATTACCAATTCAACTTTCCTCTTTGGCCACTTTGAATCAATCTCGTTTGGGGAGGGGTTAGATTACAAAAGGGGAATATTGAGCAGGGGACGGATTCAAAGGGGAACCGTACGACGACAGGACGTTGGCATCATTCGACGTTCTTCGAAAGCTTTTGTCATACGCTATTGCAGGCTGTGTAGCATTTGAAGAGTAAACTAGGGAAAGAGCCCAACAAGCATTGTCATCATTGCTCATCTGCTTTACTGTGAAATGGCGAAAAACAATTTTTTGTTTTTCCATGGAGAGAAACTGGTCTTGAATGCACATTTCGCACCAAAGCCTCCAACAGGTAATTCGTCTCTTTTCTATTTTCAGACTAAAATACAATGCATTTATACAAAAGAGATCGTTTGTCATGTTTTTGGTTGCATATTTTTGTTTATAAAGTGTTATATAAAACTGTTGCATCTTTAGTAGTCCTATTTCGTGGGAAAGCGTGGTTCCAATTTGGATTTAAAAAAGATCCAAAATACATCAATCAATCAATCAATCAATCAATCTAAAACCCTCCAACTTGATCCAAAACACAGTCTATCTGGTCTTGATCCTCCATCTCCAACATCTTTGGAGTTTGATCATCCTTGATGCGGTCCCCATCCAAAAGGAAACGAAGCGAAGAGACTTGCATTCCCTTTCGTTGCGCATATGTTTGAAAGACTTTTCCCATTTTGGTGGTCTTTTTGATCTTGAAGAATGTCTCCTCTCCAGCCTATCAAGCGAAACGCAATAGCCGGTTAATACATGTTGTGAAAGGCAGAAACAATGCCTTGCAACGGCCATCTTTGTCCAGAAGACAAGGATGACACCCAGACGCATTGCGCGCCCATTTTCAATGAGCATTGCTTTGACGGCTTACCTGATCCTTGACTCGGATGGTGATTTGATCTGGGTTATCTCCTCCTTCTTCAGCGTCGGCCATGGTTGATCTTGTTCGTGTTGTAGGTTGTGCGTTAGTTGAAGAGCAAAGAGTTTGCAAGACTTGACAATCCAAGTTTTAATGTACAGCACTGTTGCTTTGGTGTGTCTTCTGCTTTGCTTTACGATCGGATTCGTCGTAGAAAGTCTACCAGGCTGGCGTTCTGTTCCCGCCCGAATAATTGGGGAACATCAAACCGTTTTTGAAAATGGGGGAATATGCTATGCTGTGCTGTACCGGTAGATGACGGCGCATGCTGCAATCCCAGCCGTTGAACCCATCAACGACAATGGATGCACATAACACGGAGTGCCGTCGATCCTGGACTAGAACTTTCTTCCTTGGACCCACTCGCCGTGGTGGGAAGCAATGATTATGGTCAGAATGTTATTGGTGAAGGGGACATTTGCAAGATGAGCCGATCCATTCCCTACTCTCAACAACAAGAGAACAACAAGAGTAAGGGATACCATCAGCATCAGCAGTATCAGCAGTATCAGCATCATCATCAACAACATACCGGTACCTTTCAAGCAGATCGACAGTACAATCATTCGCATCAGTATCATCATCTGAATGGATATTACGGAAATCAAAGCTATCATTACAGAGTTCCCCCATATAGTGAACGTCAACACCGCCACTTTGCCTCGACTACTACTTCAGCTACATCGTCGTGGGCCCCTGATGGTGGAAAGCGCAAATCTGAGGAACCCCCCTATGTAACTCCTCCCAATACGAGACAGAAAGTAGACAGCGAAGATTCTTCTGGCGCTGACGAGCAGACAACTACCAGTACAGTGCCTTCGGCTCGGAACCTCCCGTCTAGCTACCCAGCAGCATCACATCGATCCTATCACCAAAAAGAATCGAGATCCATTGGATATCCTCGTTACGACTCTGCTAGGGCACAATTTTCCTATGGTAGAACAAATCAAAATTCCTGGCAACGCTCATCATTGCAAGGTCACGAGTATCAGAATGAGAATATCCCGCCAACCAGAACCAGCAGCACTACAGCTAGTAGTCCTGAGCAAAGAGGAGAAGACTTGACCTGCAAGGGTTGCCTGGTTGGAAAAGATTCCATTCACCTCAAATTTTTTCACAGCATACTGACGGAATCCCTTTATTCGGGTCTTTCGAAATCACGGGATATCATGGCCCAACAAATTCCGGGATGTGCCTTTATCCATGATGGTCTTTGTTTTGGATTTGAGAAAAACAAGGGAGACAAGTGGCTGGTGGTGCGAGGTACGGGCTGTTTGGGCATGGCAGCAGTAGAAAATAAGTGTCAGATTTGTCATGGCCAACAATCTCACGTCGATGGAAGGATGCAAGAACTCATGGCTACTCATGCCGAGCCACCGGAACAAGTGTGCCAGACGGCTTCGATTGACCGCATCAAGATGGTTCCGACATTGGCCGAAATGAAAATGCGGCAAATGAAATGTGAAATTGAGGACTACAAGGAGAATAGTATTACAGTCGTCAATGTGTAGATTATATGAATAAATGAAACTGTCCTTTTTTATTGAAGATGACGTACTACCGGTATACGAGTATTCAATATGTTTATTAGAGTAGAAGACCTCCACAAAATATAAAATAAAAGATCGCGCGATCATTATGCGCATCGCAATGGGAAGAAGAACTGGAAATCACCCGGACCAATCTCAAAATCTTTCGCAAGCAAAACAATCTGTTGTCAACTATTGTTGTTGTATAATTCAGTTTCAATAGTACCGGTATGTCAGACTTTGCTTTCGGAAATGGGTCGCTGGTCACCGTGGCAACATGTACACTGAACCAATGGGCATTAGACTTTGATGGCAACATGGAACGCTCTCTCAAGTCCTGTCAAATGGCCAAGGAAGCGGGGGCTTCGTATCGCCTGGGTCCCGAACTTGAGTTGAGTGGATATGGCTGCGAGGATCACTTTTTCGAGCAGGATACCTTTGCTCATTGTTGGGAATCGCTTGTGGAACTACTGGAAAAAGGAGCTTCTGACGATTTGGTGTCTGACTTTGGAATGCCCGTCATGTACAAGGGTGTTCGGTACAATTGCCGAGTGGTCTGTTACAACCGCAAGATTTTGTTTGTCCGCCCCAAGACGGCACTGGCAGACGGTGGAAATTATCGAGAATCGAGATATTTCACCGCTTATCGCAATGCTTCCGTCGCCGATGAAGAGCTATTGCTTCCAAACTTTGTCCAAGAACGTCTGAAGCAAAGAACCTGTCCATTTGGTTTGGCCTACTTGCAATCCAACGACAATGTCTCCATTGGATGTGAGTCTTGTGAAGAACTGTGGACTCCCAATGCCACACATATTGACTTGGCACTACGGGGGGTTGAAATTATTGGTAATGGCTCCGGATCCCATCATGAACTGAGAAAATTAGACAACCGCTTGGAACTCATGGTGAATGCCACTCGCAAATGTGGCGGTGTCTACCTGTATAGCAACCAACGTGGGTGCGACGGTGGCAGATTGTACTTTGATGGTGGTGCCATTATTGTCTGCAACGGCAAAGTGCTGGCACAAGCACCCCAATTTTCCGTGTCGGATGTAACAGTCATTACAGCTACGGTGGATCTTGACGATGTTCGGAGTTACCGTGCTTCCATTCCGTCCTTTGGTATTCAAGCCGCTCAAGTGAATCGAAAAAGTGAAATTGCCAATGACTATTGTGTTGATTGTCCATCACTGCGATTGGGACATGCATCTTTGGATCGTACTGTCGTCACCACGCCAAACGAAGGATTAAGAATTTCTAGTCCTGAAGAAGAGTGTTGTCTGGGCCCAGCCTGCTGGCTGTGGGACTACCTTCGACGTTCTGGTGCTGCTGGATACCTACTTCCATTGAGTGGTGGTGCCGATTCTAGCTCGGTATGCGCCATTGTTAGTGCCATGTGTCATTTGGTGGTGGAAGCTGCCCCCAACGATCCTCAAGTGGCAGCTGATGCCCGTCGGATCTGCCGTCAACCAGATGATTGGCTGCCGAGTACCCCACAAGAACTAGCAACACATGTCCTTCACACCATTTTTATGGGAACGGAAAACTCGTCCGAGAAGACAACTTCCCGTGCCAAGCGATTGGGTCAAGCCGTTGGAAGTTATCACTTGTCTGTACCCATTGATTTGATGGTGAATGCAGTCATCAAAGTATTTTCTCATGCTACTGATAGACGGCCACAATTCGAATCCAATGGTGGTAGCATGGCCGAAGATCTGGCCCTACAAAATATCCAAGCTCGATTGCGCATGGTAACTGCCTACCTATTTGCACAACTGGTTCCATGGACTCGCTCCAGAACTGGATTCCTTCTAGTCTTGGGTTCTGCGAATGTGGATGAAGGATTGCGAGGATACATGACCAAATACGATTGTTCTTCGGCAGACTTGAATCCTATTGGTGCCATTAGCAAGGGTGACTTGAAGCGAATGCTTCTTTGGGCATCAGAACGATTCAGTTTGCCAGTGCTCAGTGAAATTGCCGGGGCTCCCCCAACTGCAGAACTAAGGCCTCAGACCAAAGGCTCAAACGAAGATGCCGAGCATTCACAACTAGATGAAGATGAAATGGGTATGTCATACGAAGAATTGGGATGGTTTGGTAGATTACGGAAAATTTCAAGATGCGGTCCTGTCAGTATGTATCGGAAGCTGCTTGTGACATGGGACCATCTGTCGCCAAGTCAAGTTGCGGAAAAAGTCAAAAGATTCTTCTTTTACTATGGTATTAACAGACACAAGATGTGCACCCTGACACCGAGCTACCACGCGGAAGGGTACAGTCCAGATGACAATCGGTTCGATCTTAGACAGTTTCTCTACAATTCCAAGTGGCCTCGACAGTTTCGGGTCATTGACGAGATCGTGCAACGACAAGAAGCAGCGTCAAAAGACAAGAAGGAAGAGTAAATAGCTAGCTGTTGTTGCTACTATTATCTACTAATAATGTTTGGCGTGCGAGTACAGAAGTACAATGCGCGACCCAGCATGGATCTTCGCTGTTTCAATTGGAGTCAGTTGGTACCGGTACCCGGTACCTCTACCAAGAGTATTCTTGCCTCTAACACGTGGTGTAATTCAACCGCCCCACCGAACGTCTGATCAATTGTGCAAAAACGTGCGCGTCCATGCTGCATACCATCCTGAAAAACAAAAGCACTCCATGATCACTGCACTCACAATCGGTAGTATGGTGTTTGCTCTGAGCTCGAATAGTCCAATGTAATGAATGACGGGCCAGTTTCAAATAGGTGGGTCCCGTCGGTTCAGACTTGCCACGTCTGTTCGAATTTTGCCCCCCGTTATTTTCATTTACTGACAAACAATGACGTTAGCGACGTGTGAAACAGGTGCCATTAAATGTTATTAGAGATAAGAACTTTTCCACTCACTGAAATAGTGTGCCTTGTTTCCTGCTTTATTTCCACAACGGCCTTTAGAATCGGAATCCTATTCAAGTGGTGGTTTACTTATTGTTTGGTCATGCAGAAAGAAAGTACTTAAGAGAGCTCAAAGCTAACTCATATTCTTATTTATAGCTACGACACCGGCCTTTTGAATCTGCAAAAAACGTGGCTCACATATCCGTGTGTTTGGTCTTATTGAGTCTTGATCGATCTATTTTCACTTTAACTTGCGCCTCCCCAACAGTTCATAAAAAATAACATCACGAAACGAAGCAACAATGTCTCGTACCCAAGAACAGCAACCGCAATCCATCGTTCACCATCTGTCTCGGATGGGGTCAAAGATGGCTATTCCATTTCGAAAGCAACTTTCTCCAGTGAAATCAAGAAGACAGGACGACGAGGAAAGTCTAATGCACTCGAAAAGAAGTTATGAAAGTCTTACTTCCCGAACTGAACCCATATACAGCGTTGATGGAAGTAACGACGACTGGTCGTTCACATCTGATTGCTATGACGGTACTTGTCGACAGCATTCTGCCCTTCATGAGGAGGACGAAGACGAAGGCAGCAGTGACGAAGAGACTTTCATCTCACTTGATCAGAACGAGTTCCTCATGGAATGCTTCATGACAAATCAATGCAGTGATGTGACATTCATTGTCATATTTAGTGCTGGAACGTGCTATTTGTCAAAGCATCTAGAGGAGATCGTCGCTATCAGGACCGCGGAATCTGGGTGCAATTGCCAATGCCGACGAGTCGACTCTCGCAAAGCACCAATGTTCACTCAGAAACTTCAAATCGATGTGGACCAACCAACCCTTGTGGCCATGAAGAACGGATCAGTGATCGGTAAAATGTCCAACATTTCTCCATCTGGTTGGGAACTGGACAAGTGGCTGACCGATACCAATCTGATGACAAAAAGAGACAGTGAATCAGATTTCCAATCATTAAGCACCCGACTATGCGACTTGTAGTCCTAAAACATTTTTGAAATCATCGACGATACATATTTTAAAAATCTTAAGAATTATTATATTCTACATTGATTCCACATACGAGCGAACCTGCTGTCCCAGCCAGTTACTGTACAACTGCGGTGCCTTTGCTGTAGCATTTCGAAAATGGTTCCGAATAAAGGTGTAATGCCTGCACTTTTACATCACTGCGTCTGTGCAGCGCAGTGCAGTCTACTTCAGTAGTATTCCGTTGGCTCCCATTAGACTTGCCCTCGGTGACTACCTCTCAAGTGCCGGATGGTGGTCAAAACTGAAATCGTCATCGTCATCGTCAAGCACATCAATCACAGCTGAGAGTATATCGGCAATCCCTCGATACTTATCAGTTGGTATGTTGCAAGGAAGAGCAACCATTGATGGCTGGTGCGATGGCTGTGATGATCTTTGATACGATCGAGCCATCAACGAAACAAGAGAAGGCGAAGACGATTGAGGGGGGTCGTTCATGATAGTGTTCGTGGAAAATTTGTGTGTTTGATGTGGTTTTGCGGAAGAAAACTTGTGATACTAGGGTACGGTATACCTGGTACTCTAGCGAGAGTTGGAAGTTTGAACGAGAACAATTCTGTTTAGTCGCTTGCGAAAATGACGTTTAGCACATTCGTATGATGCAAGACTATTTTTGTTAAATGTTCTATATTATCGTGTGAAAGAGAGGAGATGGACATATTATTGCACGTCACGCGAAGGAGGAAAGAGGACAGAAGACACTTATTAAAATAAAATTATTTGGACATAATTGTTATCCTGCATACAAAGTTCAAGGGCTTATAAAATCTTCAAACGTTCACCTATGCGAGTGTTTAGTTTTGCTCCTGGTACGTGTACTGGTACATAGGTACCCAGTATTCTCTCTTCAAAAGCCCCCCCACACAAAATCATCATAACGAAACAAAGTAACCATGTACTATCCGAGCACCCCAGAAAGACAGCAACAACCACAGTCCATTGTTCACCATTTGTCTCGGATGGGGTCAAAGATGGCTGTTCCATTTCGAATGAAGCAATGTTCTCCATTGAGACGAAGATTAAAACATGGCGATGAAGAAGGGACCCTTCAGAGCTCCAAAAGAACTACAGTTAGCACCTCTCTTACTGAACTCCAAGACACTGTCTATGAAAGCAATGATGAATTCTCGGCTACTTCTGATTGGTTCAATGATAGTGATCGACAGCATCATTTTTCCCTGCATGAGGAGGACGAAGCAAAGAGCACTAGCAGTGACGAAGAGACTGAAGATGTTTTCATCTCTCTTGATCAGAACGAGTTCCTCATGGAATGCTTGATGACAAATCAATGCAGTGATGTGACATTCATTGTCATGTTTAGCGCTGGATCGTGCTATTTGTCAAAGCATCTAGAGGAGATCGTCGCTATCAGGACCGCGAAATCTGGGTGCAATTGCCAATGCCGACGAGTCCACTCTCGCAAAGCACCAATGTTCACTCAGAAACTTCAAATCGATGTGGACCAACCAACCCTTGTGGCCATGAAGAACGGATCAGTGATCGGTAAAATGTCCAACATTTCTCCATCTGGTTGGGAACTGGACAAGTGGCTGACCGATACCAATCTGATGACAAAAAGAGACAGTGAATCAGATTTCCAATCATTAAGCACCCGATCAAGCCACTTGTAAAGCAACTGTTTATCTTTTACTATAAATTGTAACAATCTATGCATTTCATATTTTCACAAACACCTCTACTGCTAAAAGAACGCCATGAAACTCGCCTGAATCGTCCTCGGATACCTCGCCTTGGGGTGGTCGCTCCAGTTGCTCATAGTGGTAATTGGACTAGCTAGTACTAGTACTCCTCGTAAAACAAATGTTAATCCCTTTTGCTTGTACGACTAGGTCCTAGGATTATAGTATTGCATAAATGTTGACAAGAGGTACATGCATCGCATCTTGTTCCACCTGCATATTACGCCCGTTGACGTATGTAAGGTTTTATACTGTAGTCTTCTGATTACCGGTAGGACTAAAACTAAGATAGTTCTGGACATGACGACGACTAAGTTAGGTCGGAGGGTTTAAAATAGTTCGTAACGGGACTGAACTGAGTCCTGGGGCGTTTGAGTTTTGTAAAAATATATGAAATGCTGAGTCAGCATCTTCTCGTCAGCAATGCTTTCTCACATTTTGAGCTGGCAACAAATCTTATGTGGTGAAGAATGATTGACTTGCTGTTCCTGGCGAAGACCGTTGACACAGCAAATAGTTTCTGCTCTGCATGACCAGCCAAATCTCTCTCGCAATCACAAATCAAACAAAACGAAAACAAGCTCTCATCCATCAATCATGACTACTGTTTCCCCTCCATCACCAACTCAACCTCAATCCATAGTCCACAAGCTGGGACGCATGGTGTCCCCGTTTGCAAAGCAAAGCTCACAGAGAAGGCTTAGACTCTCTCTTACCAAGCTTGCCAAAGACGTCTTTGACGATTCCGAGATGACCGAACATACGGAGGAATCAGATCTTACCGAACGAACCCACCGTACTCTCGAAGTCACAGAGCACGATGACCAAAGTTCAAATGATAGCTTTGGCGAGTGCTCCGTTGCATTCGAAGAGAGCATCCTTGACTTTGTCGCGCTAAACGACAAGGAATCTGATTTCTTCGTCCCTTTGAATCAAAACGAATTCCTTGTGGAATGTTTCATGACCAATGAGTGCAGTGATGTCACTTTCATTGTTCATTTCTATGCTGCAGACTCGGCTCTGTCGGAACCCATTGAAGATCTCATTCTAATTAGATCAATGGAAGCTGGATCGCACTGCCAGTGCCGAAGAGTCAATGCGGAACTTGCACCACTCTTTACCAAGAAGCTGAATATTGATCCCAAGCAACCAACCATTGTTGCCATCCGCAACGGAGCTGTGATTAGCCAGATCTCAGATATATCGTCTTCCGGATGCTGGGAACTTGAAAAGTGGATCGCCGATACTGGAATCTTGGAACAACCAAAGAGTGCTTCCGAATTTGCCAGATTGAATACACTCTCTTGCTAAAGTCTCCTCTCGTGGTAGAGACTAGATTGTACAATTTTGTTAAAATGATATCATAATATATAAAAAGAATACCCGCTAGAACACAAAATATTTTGCACAAAAACGTCTACCAGCTTTCTCATTTTCTCGTTCTTTTCGCTTTTGTAAGCTATCACTCTTTCAAAGGCCAGATGAGTTTCGCAAACTCATCTTCCAAGACTGTTCAATAACCTACAAGTGTCCTATCGAACTAACTCTAAAACTATCTACCAGCTTGGTTGTTTTCTAGTTAGAGCTGGTTTAAGCTACATCATTGCCAAGTATTGTACTGTACCTGGTACCTTTCTCGCCGGCCATGTGAGTTTGAAACTTCATCTTGCCACGACCGCACAGCAACCTACACGTGTTCTGTTCGGTATTGAAGTAACTTAGACCAGACACAATTCTTTTGTGGAAATGACTGCGTGGATCAATTGACGTGGTAACACATTTAGCCTTCTCCACACATATAAAATTGCAATACCTCACCTGAAGATGAAGTTCCGTGTCTGCTCGAGTCAGAAACAGTCCTCATACTGTACTGTATGCTCGTAGTCGGAAAAATCTAATACGTGTACTATAAGATCGTTGTCGTGACGGCAGGCGTGGCCAAATATTGACGTGGTGTCACAAGAGTTGATGATGAAACAGATGCTTCCTCACCCGCCGGCCTAGCTAGAGAGGTTGAAACTGCAGATGCGATGACGAAGAGCTCTCTCTCTATCAGTAAGCAGTATACGTAGCGGAGTTATTGTGTGAGCACTGTGTGTGAGTCAGAAAAAAATCCTTTGAAAAATCTGTCCAGATTTTCGTCACGGCTGGCGTGGCACATAAAATGGACGTGGCATCACATTTTCAAAATTTATTCCGCCAATTGATGATATTTGGAAGCGGAAGTTACAGTATTGTCAGGCTGAGCACTGTACCAGTATGCATTGCACTACTTTCTTCCGGGATTCAAAGCACATCTACGAAATTCAATCAGCATGCACATTATCTCCCAACTTGCATCCAAGGTTTCATCACCCATTGGACGCATGAAAAAGCCAGCACGACTATCAAAACAAAAACAGCACCGAAAGGATGGAAGTACCGAGAAGATTTCACTACGTGGGCTCACAACCGACGACTTTGAGAAATTGTCTGCGACGAGCAACGCGTCGTCCGGAGCCAGCAGCCTGGAAATCAAGCCTTTGTGTAGTCTCCGGTCGAACCGAAGGCTGGATGTTCCAAGCATAGTTGAATTCAAGACAGTGGTAGAAGATAAAGAGATGCGGCGGCTCCTTACTCACAAGACCAAGGCCAACGTTACTCTGTAATACCTATGAATTTGGTTGCAGAAGGTGCCAGTCGACCGATCGATCGATCCAAAAGAAGAAAGAACCATAGAACCATAGACTCATGTACTATTTTAAAACCGATGAACCGAATGATTTGATATTATATTCAATGAAAACTGCTTCTAAAATTAACTAATACAATTGAATTCCCCCTGGAATGGTATTGACACCAGTGCCAACAGCATTCCCTCTTTATCAGAGTGGATCCACAAAAACTCGGAACTAGTCTATTGTGTTTTCGTCCATCTCCAAGGGTTAGAAACCCCACCAACCCGATTTTTTCTCTTTTTTCTTTGCTTCTTCTTTTGCTTTTACTTTTTCCACTTCTGATTTCGCTGTCGACTTGTCAATGTGAACCCTACCAGCAAGCGCACCAAGCTTGTACGCCTCTTGTTTGCTCTCCTCCTCATCATTATCAGGTTTGGAATCAACAGAAGCCGCCGCACTTGGTCGCTTTTCTGAAGCTCTCTTGGGACTCTTGGATCGCTTTGGGGACTTGGTTCGCTTTGGAGACTTGGTCCGTTTTGGGGATTTGGGGCGCTTGCCTTTTTTCTTCTTCAAAGATTTGGAATCATCTGCGTCTGCCGGATCTGTGGTATCAGCAGTAGTTGGATCCACAGACTTGGATCGTTTCACTTTCCTTTTATCGGTTTTCCGTCCTCGCATCGCCGGTCTTGCATCCTCTTCTGGCACTGGTGTACTATCCCTACTCCGGTCCACTGATTTCGATCGCTTCCCCTTCCGTGCTCGCAAGACAGGCTTCGACCCATCGTCCAAGTCCGGTTTTGAATCCTCGGCAGATGATTTGCTCATCGATTGAATATTTGCTGAAGCTGCATCTACAGAGCTGTTTCTCTTGGTAGCTCCCTTTGCTGGGACAGTCTTGCGACCTCGAAATGTTGGTGATTCAAGTTCTGGATTTGATAATCGTCTTCGAATAGGTGCTGCTGGGACTTGCAATTGAATTTTCTCTCTCTTTAACTGTTGCTGGTCCTTGTCTCCTGATGCTTCGAGGATCAAAATCGACTTGTGAACAACCCCTTGTCTTGAAAGCTGAAGATCCGGGTTCAATACCTTCCCGTGCAATCGAATTTGCTGTAGGTGTGTAGGGATAAGCTGCTTCTTAGCGATGATTTGTTGGACGTCATAGATGGTACTTCCTGGATGGATAGCACCAGAGATAGCGAATTTAGCACCTTGTAGTTGCAAGATGTTCAGTACGAATAGTTCGACATCCAGTTCATCTTCGTGCTGAATATCGCAATCCATTATCCTACTGGAATCGTCAAGAAGTTCCCCTTGGAACAGAAAACACTGAACCTTTGCAGCAAAGGCAGTTTTCTTTTCGACTTTTTGTTTGATGGATGCAATCGTATCCTCTGGTTCTACTTTCAACAACATAGTTCCCTTGAACGGTAAGTTGATTTGGATTTCCAACTGTTCCAGTACCAGCATGGATCCATCTACGATTTCCTGCTCCTTCAGCGTCAAAGTGTCATCGACAAGATCACCGTCAAATGAGAGATTCTGATACTCTGCTGGTATAGAAAGACGGTTGAATACTTCATCTCGAATATCATCAAGGTACTCTGTGGCTCCGATAGCCAACTCTAGCAGGTCTCCATTCCACAGCTTGATTGCAACAGTGATACTGTCTTCTGTAAGGGTATCGAGCGTTCCGATGTTTATCTTGTCCACTTGTGGCACCATATCTATCGACTTTCTCGTCTTTTCTTCCATCACGAAGATCGACTTGTGTCCGACCCCCAGCTTGAGAAGTGTTCCGGATTCTTTAAGAATTTTTCCGTTGAGTCGCAAATGGTATGGCGGGAACTTCTTCTTCTTCTTTTTCCTGATTCTCAGCTTAATGTCCTTGATTGTATCTCTTGGTCTAACCTTGTCAAAGGAAAATGATTTCCCAGACCAATGTAAGACGGTAATGGTTATGAATCCATCAATTGGAGTTGCATCATTGTCGAAAATGAACGTTCTGGTCCTCCAGTCTGGTTCAACTGGAATAATAATATCGTCATCAAGATCGTCAAATTTCTTTGTCGAAAACAGTTTGTTGAATTGAAGCCTATCAGCTTTGTATCCCGCAATTTTCTCTTCGGGTGTCCGAATTACGATAATCGACTTATGTGCGATTCCAAGCTTCTTCAGACTAGAGCTGTCGTCCAGAGCTGATGAACTTTGCTGCGAAAAGAGTTGTTGAGGTTCTACTTGTCTGTTGAACTGTTTCCGTATGTGTTGCCGCACATCGTCGATGGTGTCACTACGAGCAACATCAACGAGTGTGACAATAGTTCCGTCAGAATCATCCATGATATCAATCCGAAAGTTCTCCATAGTCAACTCGTCACCATTCGCAATATTACAAGCCCCCAACGTTGACTTGTCGTCAAGATCTTCACCAGCAAACAACATACTCTGCTTTTCATGGTGCTGACTTGATTTCTTGGCGATCTTCTTTTTGATCAACTTAATTGTGTCTTTTAGTTCTGCTCGCAATCGAATCTTACGTCCATCTGGCAGTCGTACTACGATTCTCATCTGCTCCAAAAGCAGGGTACTTCCATCCACAATACCTTGCTCTTCTAGTCGAAGCGTATCGTCCACGCCTTTTCCATCGTGCGTCAGTCGTTGGGAAGAAGCCTGGATGCCTGTCAAATCTTCCAACATATCTTTCACATCATCGATGTATTCGGACGGAGCACATGGCAAATCGAAAGATTTACCGTTCCAATGCTGCACTGATATTTCCATTGCCCGTAACTCTAGTGGATGACCGTCGTCAAACTTCAGCTTTGAGAGTGGTGTATCATCCTCAATTTCATCTTCCATATCAAAAGCGAAAAGCCGTTGTTTCTTCGTTTTCATGGCTGGAATCTTTTCTTCGATGATCTGCTTCATGTCGCGCATTGTTGTGGTTGGGAAGATTGTAAGTGTCATTTTCTTCTTTCGCGGTAGAGAAACTTCAATCTTTTTTCCCTCTTGCATGACAAGCAAAGCCTTATGATTGATACCCTGCTTCCGCAGTGTTTCTTCATTGTTGAGAACCTGACCCTTCAGCTCGAAGTTTTGGTCTTCCTTGAGTATCAACTTATCTTCTTCGATTCGTTCTTTCATGGCCGGCAATGTTGAATTTGGCGACAAGCCGTCGATACTGAATTCATAGCCCAACCAATGCAAAAAATTGACCTGAAATAGCTCCATCTTGAGAATATCGCCACCATCGATACCCTTGGCATCTAAAGTATCGTCATCTTGAAGCTGATCCGGTCCAGACAAGATGCATTGTCGTTCCGCGGGCACTTGAGTAGTATTTTCAAGCTTCTCCGTGATGCTCCGAATGCTCTCATCATGCTGCACTGCCACAGGAATACGATTTCCATCGGGAATATCAACCAGGATTTCCATAGTGTCTAATGTCAGTCTCGACATGTGTTCAATGGCCTGTGCTTCTAGCGTAAGCATGTCATCCAGTTTGGATCCCATCATAGAAAGGTACTGAGAGTCCGGGGGGATGCCTGTAATCTCCTCTATTCTATCCTTGATGTCATCCAAGTACTCTAGTGGATCGGGATAGAGCTGAAAGGAAGTTCCATTATTCTGCTTTAAGATTGTGATTTCAAATGGCTTCACTTCCAATGGACTTCCTCTTTCAAACATGACCTTTGAAAATGGCGTCTTGTTGTTGATTTTACCATCGCTGTCGAAGAAGAATAGACGTTGTTTCGACTTTTTCATTTCTGGTACCTTTTCTTCCACAACAGCCTTCAGCTCTTCAACAGTCATGGTTGGTGTGACAGCAAGAGCGACCTTTTTTCCAGTTGGAAGCATGATCTCGATATCTTCAGGTTCCGTTAGATAGAAAGCCCTTGGGTTGCTTGTGTTGGCAAGTTTAGGATCAGTTGGGTCGTCGTCAGTCACCGGCTCCATTCGAAGTGCGTCAGTTCCAACGGCTTGTAGCTTAGATTTGTCCAGCGGTTTCATATCATCTGTCAACTCTTCGTCCAAATAGAAAAGTCGTTGTTGCGACTTCGGGATGCCTGTCTCTTCTTCGATGACATCCTTGATGTCGCTTGGTGTCATTGTTGGGTGTAGTGACAGCATGACTTTGCCACGAGGGGTTTCAATAGCTACTCCTTCTGGCTCGGCAACTAGTACATCGCCTCTCTTCAGATTATACTTTCCAAGTGGCTCTTCATCAGCTAGCCCCACGCCATTGAATGTCATCTTCGTCCCAGGAGGGAAATGCTTTTTGTGCTTCTTCTTGAAGTCTCGAACCGATTCTTCTGGATCCATTACAAACGTTCGAGATTTGCCGTTCGGCATCGTTATTTGCACCTCTGCTGGTATTGGCTCCATACGAAGACCATGAGTTCCCAATGACTTGAGCTTCGCTTTGTCCAGGGGCTTGTCATCATCTACGAGTTCTTCGTCAAAGAAGAATAGTCGTTGTTGCGACTTGGGCACGCCTGTCTCTTCTTCGATGACCTCCTTGATGTCGCTTGGTGTCATTGTTGGTAAATGCGAGAGCATGATTTTGCCTCGAGGAGTTTCGATAGCTACATCATCTGGCTCGGCCAGTAGCACGTCCCCTTTCTTGAGGTTGTATTTTCCCAGTGGATCCTCGTCCACCAACTCTTCATCGTTGAACATCAGCTTGGTCCCTGGTGGAAAGTCCGTCTTGTGCCTCTCCTTGAAATCTTGTACAGTGTCTGATGGGTCCATAAAGAATGCTCGACTCTGGCCGTTGGGTAGAGTGATCTCGACCTCTGGAGGCACTGGTTCCATTCGAAGTCCCTGTGTGCCCATCGATCTGAGCTTTTCTTTATCGATGGGCTTGTCATCATCGACCAGTTCTTCGTCAAAGAAGAATAGTCGTTGTTGCGACTTAGGTACACCTGTCTCTTCTTCAATGACGTCCTTTATATCGCTTGGTGTCATTGTTGGTAAATGCGAGAGCATGACTTTGCCTCGAGGAGTTTCGATAGCTACATCATCCGGTTCGGCAACGAGCACGTCACCTTTCTTGAGGTTGTATTTTCCCAATGGATCCTCGTCCACCAACTCTTCATCGTTGAACATGAGTCTTGTCCCTGGTGGAAAGTCCGCCTTATGCTTCTCCTTGAAATCTTTCACCTTGTCCGCTGGATCCATGAAGAATGCTCGACTTTGACCACTGGGTAGTGTAATTTCGACCTCTGGAGGAACTGGTTCCATCCGAAGTCCTTGTGTGCCCATCGATTTCAGCTTTTCTTTATCGATGGGCTTGTCATCATCGACCAGTTCTTCATCGAAAAAGAAAATCCGCTGTTGGGTTTTGGGTACTCCCGTTTCTTCTTCGATGACATCCTTGATGTCGCTTGGTGTCAATGTTGTGAAAGCTGACAACATTACCTTGCCGGTGGGTGTATCGATTTCGACATTGTCTGGATCGGCCAGTAGCACGTCCCCTTTCTTGAGGTTGTATTTTCCCAGTGGATCCTCGTCCACTAGCTCTTCATCGTTGAACATCAGCTTGGTCCCTGGTGGAAAGTCCGCCTTATGCTTCTCCTTGAAATCTTGTACCGTGTCTGATGGGTCCATAAAGAATGCTCGACTTTGACCGCTGGGTAGTGTAATTTCGACCTCTGGAGGCACTGGTTCCATTCGAAGTCCTTGTGTGCCCATCGCTTTCAGCTTTTCTTTATCGATGGGCTTGTCATCATCGACCAGTTCTTCATCGAAAAAGAAAATCCGCTGTTGCGACTTAGGTACACCTGTCTCTTCTTCAATGACGTCCTTTATATCGCTTGGTGTCAATGTTGTGAAAGCTGACAACATTACCTTGCCGGTGGGTGTAGCAACTTCAACATCCTCTGGTTCGGCAACAAGGACATCCCCTTTCTTCAGGTTGTATTTCCCCATTGGATCCTCGTCTACCATTTCAATGTCATTGAACATGAGCTTCGTCCCTGCAGGGAAATCCTTCTTGTGCTTTTCCTTGAATTCCCCAACAGGCACCTCAGGATCAAAGACAAATTGCCGACTAGTTCCGTCTGGCATTTTCACGTCGACTTCTGCTTCAGGGATCGGCTCCATTCGAATCGTATCGCCATCCTGAAGTTTTGCTTTCGCGATTGGCTTCTTGTCAGGAACTTCCTTGTCTTGAAAAAATATTCGTTGTCGTGATGCTGGAACTCCTGTCTGCTCTTCCACAAGTTTCTTGATTTGGCCAAAGGTCTTGGTCGGTGCCACATTGAGCTCAATCTTATTATTGGGGTCTCCCTCTGAATTGAGACCCTCGGGAATTTCGACAAAGACACGTGCCTTTTTGACGGGTGGTGCGAGTGTCATATCAATGATATTCATGTGCTTGATCCGGTAGTCCGCCAGGGTCTTGGCTGGATCCAGTTTCCGTCGGTAAAATGACAGCTTTTGCTGTTCTGCGGGAGTTCCTTCCTCCTTTTCAACTTTCTCCATCAAGCTCTCCACTTGTTCATCTGGTGCGACTTCAAAGAGAAATCGTTTTCCTTTAGGATTCTTGACGTATACCTTCATTGGCTCAAGATCAATAATATCCCCATTCTTAATCCCATAATCCTTTAACATCTTGCCCTCGAGCGGCGTGCCATTGAATGAAAGCCGTTGATCTTCCGATGGTATGCCCTTCTTCGTGTAGATCTTGTCCTTGAGCGTGTCCACCTTGGTCTTGCTCGATGGAAGTGGTACTGGAAATATTTCACCAGTGCTACTCTGGCGGATCTTGACCCCAAATGGTTCTTTTGCTTGTTTCCCGCCCAATTCTGCTTCATTTTTGGGTAGTTTTACCTTGGCATTGTGTCCCATCATGTTCCAGGCGCCCCCTACGCCTAACCTCGTGGTCTTTTCCACTTTGTCTCCCATGACCATGAATCCTGCCGCCCCCTCATCCAAATCCTTTAGATTTTCTAATTTGAAAACTGGATGCACCCATATCCCCCCTGGTTTGTATGAATCTGGCACCTTGGTTTTGGGCAAGAAGAAGACCATTTCTTCAGGCTTGGCCTTTCTTGGATTCTGGCAACTGTATCCAAATTCCCCTTGGTTCGGATTGTTGTCCAAAATACCGTCCAGAACGTCTGTATTCTTCAAATGATCATAAAAGAAAATCCACAATTTCACAGGACTCGTCCGCAATGGATATTGTGACAGGCCCTTCGGCTCGGCGTTCCAGACGCCTTCATGTTGTTTGGATGTGTCTCGTTGGAGCCCCTTAGAACCAACCTTGTAGACGTATGCATCCTCTTTATTCGCCGGAATAACGATTTTTTTCGTTTGATTGTGAAAGGATTGTGCCATGGTTATAGCCTATTGCAAAGTAGAAGCTCGACAATCGATATCGGTAGATTTCCTGCTCGCGTTGGGTTGGCTTTGGTCAAATATGAGAGTTGGTTATTTCACTGATGTTTTTTGTTCGGACACTTGATTAGAAAGGAAATCTCTCTCATTATTCAGTTCAAGCTTCTTTCTGTTGTTGGCGTTGTAGTTGACGCTTTAAACTTTGATGTTGATGACGTTACAATAAACCACTTTGATTTGCTGATCTTATTATGGAAGCAATTTGCAGTTTAGTCTTGGGTCAAATTGATGTCTTGTTCCGTTTTTCGGACACTGACGGACATTTTGAAATGACTTTTGTAGCACCTCATCTTTTGGTGGTCATGCAGATAACGAAGGCAAACCTTTTCAAAGAACCTCGAAAGAAACCAAACTTTGCCTGGTACCGACTCAGAGGAGATGTCTGAAAAATTTCAAATTCAGATATTGCTATCCCTTATTTTACGTTTTGGGTCAAAGGAAACGAATCCTGCTACCATTCACCTAGTCGCATGGCGTGGTCAGTATTAGAGTGTCCATGCATAATATAATAATATGTAACACTATATATTGCTTCTACCTTGAGCACGGACAACAGCAATGGCTCACAGCCAATGCATTTTAAATTGCTTACTCGCGGCGACGTTCACCAGCAGCCACAATTTTCTTCGCTTGATCCCTTCCGGTTTTAGCGGCTCCATGGACCGTACCCCATGTCCATTCATTTAAGGCTTCTCCAGCAAAGTATAGTTTGGATGAAATGGGATCTAACAAGGTTGACTGGTCGGCCTCATTCGCAAATATGGTATAGGCACCCTCAATGTAGTCTTCTTCCTTCCAATCCATGACGGTCCATCTGCCGGTTGGTGTTCCATACACCATGCCGTCTTTTTCCAAGTGTTCCGCAATCTTCTTCTTCTTCTGTTCCGATGACAAGCCGTCATACTCGTTGTATACTTTGCCATAAATGAGGCCACCCACAATTTTGGTACTGGCTCCATACGGATATCCTTCGTTCCAAAACAGTCGGTATCCAGCCTCTGCAGCAATGGCTGGAGAAGTCACATCCCACGACGTTCTGTACATGGCCAAATCAGTTGTGTGGGTGAAATACTCCTTGTATTCTGCACCGGCTTGGTACTCAATCCAGACCTTGAACCCATTGCCAATGATGAACTTATTGATTGCCTGGGTATACGAACTCGGTAGAGAAGGAGTGAAGGTGATCGTATTCTTCTGGAGCATCTTCATTGGCACCGTGACAATCACGTACCACGCGGTGTAGGTAGTGCCCCCGCACGTGACGGAGACACCATCGCCTTGGGTGTTGATTGCCTTGACTTCACAATTGTTGATGACATTGTTTCTCACTGCATCATATGCCACATATTCAGTGAGGAAGCTATGCCAACCCATCTTTCCTGCCCAGCGATACTCTGGTGGATCATGGTAGCTAGTACAGCCCCCATCTGGAAGAACGCATACATTTGCAAATTCTTTCTTCGTATATGTAGTCTTGAAGGCCTCCTCTAGTGGATAAGAAACCATTTCTTGCAAAAGATTGTAGGCTCTATCTTCACCAGTATATTTACCGTTCCCAATATCATTGGTTGTGTGGATGTACTGAGCACCCAAATCAATGTTGTATTCCTCGTCATTCTCACCAAAAGACCATTCATGACGGGTGCGGCCACCAATTTTGTCGGATGCCTCTAGGATCTTGTAATTAGTCCAGCCGTGTTTTTCGAGCTCGTGGGCGGCACTGAGACCAGCAGCTCCAGCACCTATTATGAGAACGTCGTGTTGCACACTTCGGCCCTCGCCAGCTCGAGGTTCGTTGGAATCGGTGCCGTGGTAGTAACCAGATCGACCATGAGCATAGCCATTTCCAGCAGAGGGCCCTCCACGAAGGTTGTTGCTGTTGGTACTGTCTTGATGGGTGCGTTCATGCACATCAGACTTGTGATGAGACGATCTCACCTCGTACTCAGAAGGCCCCTCGTTGTAACGGCCTGAAGGGAGAGGAAATCAAGGATTGTCACGCAAAGATGAGATTGTTAAATTGTGCTGACACACATCACGGATCATGTCAAACCATAATACTTCGACACAAATATATCAAGGATGACTTACTTTCAGCAGGTTCCTCGGACGTGTGATGAGATCTCACATGATAGTTAGAAGGCTCCTCATAACGGCCTGAAGCAATAGGGAAGGAAGGTCGTATAGAGCGTCAAAGATGAGATTGCGTTGTGACTTTTGATTGCGATGATACATGATGGAACTTGAACAATTTATGTTGCAAACAGATCGTCGACTTACTTTCAGGTTGCTCATCAACGTAATGGCCAGAGGAAAGGGCGACTAATGTGGTGAACAAGAGAGACGAAAACTTCATCTTGGTTCTTGCTATGAGTAGCAATATAAGATGTCTCAAGTTCTGTACAACCCCAGTTTCCAGTTTTATCAAAAGGAGGCGTGTACCAGATAACGGTACCCTCGTGCAGCACCGCACCTACTGTGGTGCATGATTTTACCCCCAAAATCCCCATTGAATCTTTGGCATTTTGAGCGAGCCGTCCTGCTGGCGGCGAGACATTGTCTGAAGATCTACCGGTACCAGTACCTCGTACCTGGTACTCGTACCCGGCATGGTTTCACAGTCAGTCAATACTGTATCGATCACATGGATCAAATGAATAAATCGTATTCAACGCAAAAGTACTTGTGGTCAGTACCTTTTATAAAAGGGTCCATGCATAATATAATAATATGTAACACTATATATTGCTTCTACCTTGAGCACGGACAACAGCAGTGGCTCACAGCCAATGCATTTTAAATTGCTTACTCGCGGCGACGTTCACCAGCAGCCACAATTTTCTTCGCTTGATCCCTTCCGGTTTTAGCGGCTCCATGGACCGTACCCCATGTCCATTCATTTAAGGCTTCTCCAGCAAAGTATAGTTTGGATGAAATGGGATCTAACAAGGTTGACTGGTCGGCCTCATTCGCAAATATGGTATAGGCACCCTCAATGTAGTCTTCTTCCTTCCAATCCATGACGGTCCATCTGCCGGTTGGTGTTCCATACACCATGCCGTCTTTTTCCAAGTGTTCCGCAATCTTCTTCTTCTTCTGTTCCGATGACAAGCCGTCATACTCGTTGTATGCTTTGCCATAAATGAGGCCACCCACAATTTTGGTACTGGCTCCATACGGATATCCTTCGTTCCAAAACAGTCGGTATCCAGCCTCTGCAGCAATGGCCGGAGAAGTCACATCCCACGACGTTCTGTACATGGCCAAATCAGTTGTGTGGGTGAAATACTCCTTGTATTCTGCACCGGCTTGGTACTCAATCCAGACCTTGAACCCATTGCCAATGATGAACTTATTGATTGCCTGGGTATACGAACTCGGTAGAGAAGGAGTGAAGGTGATCGTATTCTTCTGGAGCATCTTCATTGGCACCGTGACACAATCACGTACCACGCAGTGTAGGTAGTGCCCCCGCACGTGACGGAGACACCATCGCCTTGGGTGTTGATTGCCTTGACTTTCACAATTGTTGATGACATTGTTTCTCACTGCATCATATGCCACATATTCAGTGAGGAAGCTATGCCAACCCATCTTTCCTGCCCAGCGATACTCTGGTGGATCATGGTAGCTAGTACAGCCCCCATCTGGAAGATCGCGCCTCTAGGATCTTGTAATTAGTCCAGCCCTGTTTTTCGAGCTCGTGGGCGGCACTGAGACCAGCAGCTCCAGCACCTATTATGAGAACGTCGTGTTGCACACTTCGGCCCTCGCCAGCTCGAGGTTCGTTGGAATCGGTGCCGTGGTAGTAACCAGATCGACCATGAGCATAGCCATTTCCAGCAGAGGGCCCTCCACGAAGGTTGTTGCTGTTGGTACTGTCTTGATGGGTGCGTTCATGCACATCAGACTTGTGATGAGACGATCTCACCTCGTACTCAGAAGGCCCCTCGTTGTAACGGCCTGAAGAGAAAGGAAATCAAAGAAGTATGACTGTTTGAGATTGTGTGTGACACTTTTACTATAATGGCACATGGCGAGTACGTCCAGTGAAGGAGTTGCTGAACACAAGTATACCAAGGATGACTTACTTTCAGCAGGATCCTCGGACGTGTGATGAGATCTCACATCATGATAGTTAGAATGCACTTCATGACGGCCTGAAAGGGACGAAAATAATGCAAGGTCATATATAGCGTCGAAGATGAGATTGCGATGTGACTTTTGATTGCAATGATTCATGGTGGTGGTGGTGGTGGTGGAATCTTGAATAATCTATGTTGTCGACTTACTTTCAGGTTTCTCATCAACGTAATGGCCAGAGGCAAGGGCGACTAATGTGGTGAATAAGAGAGACGAAAACTTCATCTTGGTCCTTGAGATGATTAGGTACAGGGGTTTATATGACCGAACAGTACTGTAGCAGATGCCAAAATCCATGTGCCAGGTCGGTGGCGAAAGTTGTACTGGTAGAGGGTACCGGTACAGATACTGTACCTAATACCGGTATGCCCACGCAAATGAGAATAATGATTTTTACTCACCAAATCCTGGCGGCGTTTGAGACATTTTGAGCGCGCAGAGGAGCGCCAGCCCATCAAAAGCGAATGGAAGGAAGGAAGGAAGGAAGGAACATATTGTTCCCCTCCCCCGTATTGGTATCCATCAAATAGTCTCGTCTGCCCAATGTTCGCGGCTTTATGATGGTACAGTAGACCGTATCGGTAGTGTCATACTATCTTAGTAGACCCTTCTCTCCTATGCCTACTACTGCAACCATTACATTATCTTTTGCCGCCTCTTGCCTTTCCATTTTCTGAGGAACCTGAAAATATATATGTATGTTGCAGCAGACACTCCTCCTCCCACCATGAACAAGCAATAAGAACAGTGTCACTGCAATTTCATCATGTAGAGTAGTTGAAGATGATTTATTCTATTTCTTGGTTTCCAGTAGCTGTCCATTCTCGTATCAAATTTAAAACGGCTGCAAAGAAGCGTCTTGGCAAAAAGCATTTTGATTAATGTATCCTTTTTTTTTTAAAATAAGAAGTCATCATCAAAATAGGATTACAATAATTTCAATAATGTGCAATCTAATTTTATTGAATTTTACAAAGCATTTTCATTTGGCTGTTTCTTTCCCAAACAAAATGATCATATTATGTATCCTGTATCCTGTATCATGCGATGCACGAGTGAGTCATCGTCTTCTTTTTTCTTTCCCTTGGCAACATTTTACAACGTGTTATTGTTTAGGCCACAATGGTTTTCATCTTGGCCGCCACTCCGTACGTGGCAGGGTGATTCTCTCCAACCTTGTTCATGTAGCATTCATAGGCCAGTTGCAAGGTTTGTGCCGCTTGCTGTTTGGTAGCCGAGGAATCTTTGAGCATTGAAAACGCGAGTTTGCAACGAATGTCAGCCCCGTCCAAACTGTCCGTTCCCATCGTTTCGTCTTGCAAGGCAAGTGCCTTTCCATAGTAGTGATTGGCCTTGGTGTAACGGCCTTGTTTGAAATATCGATCGCCTTCTTGTTCGTGGCCAATGATATCTTGCAATACTTTCATCAGTTTCTTTTTGGAAGTCTTGAGATTTCGCAAGGATCCAGAACCATTGAGACTTTTCAGACTGAGTGAAGAAGAATTGTGGTTGTGATTTGATCCACCGCTTCCATTGAGACGAAGACTGCGACTGCTGCCTCCTAGTAAGGTGGGACTACTACTGGATTTCTTGAAGGCATGTACCTTGGCCCACCCACTTAGGGCCAAAGTTTCTTCAATGTCTTGGCACATTTCCAAATACAAGGTCTTGCCGAGCGCTACTTCCCCCGTTCTCGTGGCTCTTTGAAATGCCTTGAGAGCCTCTTGGGGTTCCGTTTGCGTCTGACAGGCTGCCTTTCCTAGCCACCAGTAACTTTTTACAGTGTCTTCGTGGTACTTTCCAAACAAGACTTCTTGCATTTGAACGGCCTTTTGGAACGAGTCGTAGGCAGCTTGGTAATCGCCAGCGGTATACTTGTCACGTCCATCGCAATAGCAGTCGCGGGATTCTTTCATTTCGTCAGAGACCTTGGGGTCCGCAGACGACTTGTGGTAGTGATACATGGTCATCTTGTGATGTGCAATGTGTGAAAATGTGTGAAGATTGAAAAAACTTGTGTGAAACTTCACGACCTGAAAAGTGAAAACCTGTGTGTGAAAGTTTTTGTGAAGGGTTTTGAAACTGTTTGTTGTGGATGGAGGGATTACCAAGTGTCTTGCTTTCTTGATAGGACGATACTGATTCTCAATCCCACAAGATACTGTAGAAGATAATGATAGGAAACCTGAAACGTGTCGGAAGCTCTACCTTCGATTTTACGGTTTGTGTCCGCTTTCTAAAGGCCTCCTTTTTATTTTCGTCCCACGAATTCTCACTTTTCCGAAGTTTCGTGGTGGTGCATTTTCCACCGATTGGTACATGATTACGTGTACATTCTCCAGAACGTGACGTGTTGCGTGGAGAAGTTGGAAAGAGTCAGTCGATCGAATTCGAATACTCAAGCGAGCCATCGGTGTAAGTCTGAATCCGGGATTGGGGATATCGTTCTTGGATGATAAGTAAACTTGGTTCTGTGCAACCAAACGAAGTTTTGATAGAATCAAATGACCTTCTTCGATGAAGAATGGTACCTGGTACCTGCTGGTGGTAGGTATTGTACCGGTAGTGAAGCCAACAATGATCAATCAATCAATCGTGCGTACCGGTACCGGTAGTAATTTTAATTAGGAAGGAATACACGCACAGTTCGACCTACCCCGGACCTATGATTGATACGGTCCAACTATTTCTATACGTACAGATTCGTCCCTTCGTTTCCATCCTACAGTGTTATTAATAGTAGTTCTTTCCAACTCCGACAAGTCCATAGTAATTATTTTATTCATAGCTTCTGGGAACTACATTGATATGTCCAGCTAGGATGTACTAGTACATCCTAGCTGGTACTTAGTACTAGCTATAGAACTAATCAACCAATCAATCAATCAATCAATCAATTAATCAGTCAATCAATCCGTCGGTCTGTCATTTCATTTGTTCTTAGATTAACAGTGGTGCTCCTTCGGTAGTAACATAGGCCATGGCGGCTTCCTTCGACAGGGTATTGGCAATCCCCATCTTCACAAAGAATTGCTTCACTCGTAGCAAATCACGTTCCAACAATTCTTCGGCCTGTGGATGCCGAATGTCGACGGCTTGTCCAAAGTCAATGAGTGCAATTTGAAGGGCATTGGGATCGTACGAAAAGGATGACGAGTCCTCCTTTATGGTATCCTTGCTTGCAAATTCCACAGCCTTTTGTTTACCATCCTCAGGCGCGGGTTTGGAATCATCCTCCAATGATGCGGGCATTTTCTGATCATCATCTACTGTTACTTCTTCTTCTTCTTGCTCCTCCACTTCTTCTTCTTCTTCCGCTGGATCGGCAATCTTGCCGTCGCTACTCTCGTCCTTCTTCTTCTTCTTTGCTGCTGCTGCTGATGATGATTCTTCTTCAATCGTTGTGGATGATTCTGGATTCTTCTTGCGCAATAACAAGTGGCTCGGGCAAACTAACAGATTGTACTCGGACAAGTCGCCATGTACCAATCGTGCTTGTTGATATAGAGTTTGAATCGCTTCCATGGTTTGTTGATACAAGGCCATCCATTTGTGAGACTTTCGTTTCAGTTTGACTTCCCGCAATTGAGGACACGGCCAACCATCTTGTCCCAAAAACCTTAGGAATAAAACGTTTTCGCGTTGCAACAGAGGTTGGGGTACGGGAATCCCCACCCGGTAGGCCCGAATCAAGTTGCGGTATTCCTTTTCGGCCCAGAGTTCCAATTGGGCTCGACCACTGGAATGAGAAAAGTCTTGACTGTGATACCGCGGATCTCCTTGGACGTATTGTCCACGGTTGCGGAATTCTTGAATTCGTTTGAATACCTTGACGGCCACATCGTATTTTCCCGTTTCAACGTCGCCCACTTTGGTAGTAGTGCCGAACAAATCATCCATTTGACCAATTCCCATTTCCTCGTCTGCCGTGGTACCTGAAGTAGCATGATACACCAAGGCTTCCTTGCCTTCCTTGACACAACCATGAAATTCATCAATCCAATCTTGATTGATGGTCTTACCAATCAACAATCGGACTCTACTGTCCAAAGCACCTTCCTTGGTCTTTTCGGTATCCGTATTGGCCCGACCTTGGCCATGAGATGCCACACCCTTGACGGTCTTTTTCTTCATGGTTTGTTGAAAGGAATTGTAGGCCTTGTTGCCCACCCTCAATCCTTTGCTTTTTCCACCACCACCACCATTCACTTCGTAGTGATCATACTCATCGTCCAAATGCAATCGATGGGCATTGGCTTGACCTTGCAATTCGGGATCGTGCTTGGTACGAATTTCATCATTCGGGCCGACCACAAAGCCGTCCAATCGGGTCCAATTAGGATTGGAAGAAGCATGTTGGGCATTGATTCGGAATCCGGCACCCGTGTTATTTGCTTGATGATGCTGGTAGTAATATTCTTCGTCCACATCGCCATGATCCTTTTTCAGCAAGAGTCCCTTCTGTTCCAACAGGTACTCTTCTCGTGAAATGACTCGCACGTTGCCTTGGTTTTGTATACTGCTGCTGCCGCCACCGCTTCGTTGCTGCTGCTGCTGCTGCTTGGTGCGCAATAAGCTTTCATTTTCCAGTTCCAGTTGCATGGCAAGTTGCAAAGACTTTTGCATGTCTTCGTCTTCGGCCTGTTGAATCGCCAATTGAATCGATGCCAATTCATCTTCCGAAAGACCACCACCACCACCACCACCATCACCACTGGATGCTGCTGCTGTGGCGGCGGCGGGAATGGAAGCGGCACTTGTACTATCACTAGTAGTAGCAGTAGTAGCAGTAGTAGCAGTAGCAGTAGTAGCAGTAGTAGCAGCAAGGGTTGACGTCTCTGGTACTTTGGCCTCGGCGGACACTGGAGCTTGCTTTCGATCACCAGATGTGGCCGGAGGCGTTGATTTAGTCCCACCACCACCACCACCACCATTCATGGCCATAGCAGTAGGCTTGTCGGTAATTCCTGCATCCAGTTGGGACAACCTCAAGGCGAGTGCCAAATCATCTTCTTCTTGCTGTTGCATTGCCAATGATTGTTGAATGGCTTGCTTCATAAAGTCATCCTCTTCCTTTTGAGCCTGTTGCGATTTGGAGATTTCTTGCTCTTCTTGCATGATGGAAAGTAGACTCTTGGCTTTGGCAGCAGTTGTTGTTGTTGTTGTTGTTGTTGTACTGCTACTGCTACTGCTGCCATTGGGAGCAGTATCCTTTGCAACAACATTAATAGGCTTGCCCCATGAAAATGCTGGTTTTGGAGGAGCGTTATTATTCTCAACAGGTTGTGTCGTTTCAGATGGTTCTGGTGGTGTTGACGATTGACCCGTTTCAGGATCTGCTGATGAACTACTCGTTGGAGCGGATGTTGCAGGAATATCCCCACTCTGCTTCATGTCACTTGGTGGTGATGAAATGACGGAAGGGTTCATGGAGGAGGAGGCTGATGATGATGTGGCCGCCTGTGGTCTTGGTTGCGGTGTAGTTGCAATATCTGTCATTTTGATTGTTTGTTTTGTTTTGTTTCCGACTTTTTGTCGTTCTTCACGTTTGAATTGACCCTGTAGGGAATGTTATGATGATGAGGACGGGTTTCTGGTCAAACAAAATATTGATTGCTTGGGCAGTTCACACACACACACACACCCAGAGTCGTGGTATGTTTTATGATTTATGGATGCAAGAACGTTTGGATATTTTGAAACATGCGTGTTCGATGATTCATTCAAAAGTGGTTCGAATAGGTCGAACTCGATGTTACGAGGATACAGTGCCTGTACGTCGTCCCGACGTCAGTTGAACAGTAATACCGGTAGGTCGAAACAAGACGCTGATGTCATGTCGTGTGTCTTTCGCATTTTTTGTACCTATTATTGAATATCGGTTCCAAACGACTCTCTGTTTTATCAGCATCAATAACGTCTATTAAAATAATACGACAGCACATTTGAATTAATTGGGTCTCTCTCTCTCTCTCAAACACACACACACACACACACACACACACACACACACACACACACACACACGATTTACATACAACAACAACAACAACAACAACCGCTCTGTCTTGTGAGGGAGAATGCCAAAGTTTGAATTGGATTCCACTTGGTTTGAGTACCCACCAACATTAGTACAAGCCAAGAAGGGAGATCATGAGAACAACACCAATAAGGGTGTCAACAAAAGGAGCAATAGCAATGACAATGACAAATCCAAACGGCACGACCCAGACGCTTTTATCCCAAAATCAATCGTCAAACTTCGGATCAAAGGATCCGCGAAAATCATCCCATCTTCCACATTTGCCGAGCAACCGAAATTGACCTATTTGGAAATCCAAGAGGGCGTTGAGAAAATTGGCGATTATTGTTTCTACAACTGCCCGTATTTATTTGAAGTCCACTGTCCTCTGTCGCTTGGACAAATGGGAGTGTATGCCTTTGCGCAAGCCACCTTGTTGACCGAAGTCACATTGCCATCCTACGATAGCAGCAGCAGCAGCAGCAACCTACCATCCTTGTCCATTATCCCCGCATCGGCCTTTGAATATTGCGAATCCTTGACGACGGTCCATATCCCAGCGTCGGTAAAAAGCATACATGGGTTTGCCTTTTTTCATTGCACCAGTCTGGTGGACATTCAATTTGAAACCAAAACGTGTTCCCCACGATTGTTGGGACTGGTAGAAATTCACGATCAAGCCTTTGGTAGCTGCGCTGCCTTGACCAAAGTCAAGCTTCCCTCCACGTTATTGAAGTTGTGTGGCAATGCCTTTTCGGATTGCATTCGATTGCAAGAAATCAAAATGCCAGAAGGATTGCAAACTGTCGAACGAGGGGCCTTTCGTGGATGTACCTCGTTGAAACATTTGGAAATACCGAGTACGGTGGAAGATTTTCAGCTGGAAGATCACACCAACTTGGAAGGATGTCATCCCCGTCTCAAGGTCTGGCAACGAAGTCGGGATGATGTCTTTTTTGGAATTGGAAGCATGGATAAAGACCTGTATAGTTCCGACAATAACTTTTACAAGGCAGCGACAAGGAATGTCTCGGCAGCTTCCATGAGAATGAGACAGAGCATTGATTCGTCCATTCGGACCTCCATGAACGGTAATGACAAATGCTTTCAGCTTTGCTCCATCATGTAAGAAGGTATCTATGAATCTATGATAAATAGATACACAGTATATAGGTCCAAGATGATTGATGGATGGGTGTATTGATTGATTGATTAATGGATGGACTATCAATATCACAAAAGTCATTGGAGCGACACTGCTTGGAACGAACGACGGGGGTGACGAACCTGATTGGAGACGCAATTGCAGAAAATCTTCCAAGCGTACAGCAGCCATAAAAGCAACAACAAATGTCAATGGAGAATGGACACACAAGCAGACACACAAGCAGACACACAAGCAGACACACAAGCAGACACACAAGCAGACACACAAGCAGACGATGACACTCCTGGCATCAGCAATGTCCAAACAAAAAGAAACCAGCTAGATAAAAGGCCGCTCCAAGATCCCCACTTTCGGAAATGAACCTGTATGAAAACACCGCCGTCTTTTCAAAAGATGGCTGACTACGGGACTGACTCGCCGTAGCTTGTACAAGATTCTAAACTGGTATAATAACAATTGTGCACCTTAGATTCATGGTGGTAGTAATCGTAGTAGTCGTAGTAGTAGCAAAATCAGATTATTCTTGTGGTTGTCTGTGTATGTTACTAACTCCTCTTCTTGTGGTCTCTTCTCTTTTTCCCTTGTGTCGACATGATGAACAACAACAGTACGATTATCAACGAAACGATACCAAAGAATTGGTAATCCACTTGGCCATTGGAAATCATCTCTTGTTCCTTTTCTTTCAACCGAACAGCTCCAGCCATCAGTGCTTCTTCCTTGGTCTTTAGCAATTCAGCGGCATGGCGCATCTGAGGTTTGGCATTGTCAAGGAGGTGCTTGGCTCTCTCGAATCTATTTGAATGGAGGTCAGGGGAAGAATCTTCTGGCAATACGGCACCAGCACCTCTTATTTTCTTTCGTTTCACAATATCGTGATTTGGCTCCGACAAGAGGTCCCCGAGTGGCTTTTTCTTTTTGGATTTCTTGACAGTCTTTTGCTTCAACGCATTCTTTAGTACTTGGTCTTCCTCTAACAATTCATGCTCCAATTGGTCAGCAACAGGTTCTTCTTCTTCTTCTTTCTTCTTCTCCTCCTGTTCCTCGGCGACGACGACATGTTTCGGTGGGGCTGCTCCCTTCTTTTCTTTGGCGACTTCCTTTGTTTTGATTTCTTCTGGTTTGGGAGGCTCCTGGACCTTTCCAACATTTCCTCTTGCCAAAACCTCTTGCACACCATAGTTGGGAGATTCTTCAAATGGTACCCAGTAATTGTTACCACATTTGTTGGATTCCATTTTCTTATTCAATAGATCGATTCCAGTGAACTCCTTCACTTGTTCCATGGTTCGCTTTGTCCCCAGACCAAAACGAGAGTTGCGAATCAAATCGAGTTCTTTCTGTTCTCGCTCCGTGCTATTGTGATGGGAACCAATGCCCAAAAGCATATTGACTCGATCCGTACCAAACACGGTGAGCTCGGGACGATGCTTGTTAATTTCCTCCATCCACTTCCATTTCTTTTCGCCAACTTTCAAGTCCTCGTCTTCATCCTGATGTTGCCTGGCTCCCCGACCCCAGGTATGCACCACTGGATTCCCCTGATGCGTCTTGTAATCGTGAGTGACCAAGACGATGTCGGGAGCATAGACGTCATATCCGTGGGTAAAGAATCGAATTCCACGGCTGCCCTCTTCGCCGTCAAACACATTGTCCAAATACGGGTCGACAGGTACCACAAGTTCTCCATGACATCTGTGAAAACTCAATCCAGCTCCCCACATGGCGTTGGTCAACTTTGGACGGACAAGGTATTTGCATTCTTTGGTTCCCCAATTGCGAATACTCGAAGTAAAGGTCACCATGCATAGGTTGGGGACGGTTTTTTCATCTTGGTCGTTGTTTTCAATGTCTGTAACGTAGGTACTCAAGACAGCATAATCATTCTTGGTCCGGTGATGCATTTCAATGAGACGGGTATCAAAGCGCTTGCTGAAATTCATGTGACTGTCAATCTGTCAAACGGAAGAAGAAGATCAACAACAACAACAACAACAAAAAAGGTTGGAACGAAAATGGAGCACACAATATAATAATTAGACATCAGTCTGTACTCCAAATAAGGTGAATCAACAAGCACCGCAGTAGTACTGAGTCGTTCAACAAGACATGAAGAATCTTACCTGCATACAGTAATCTTGTTCATTGACAACTTGAAGATCAATTTCCTCACTCTTGTCACGGTTGATGTAATCCCAATGAACCATGGCGGATAATTTCGATCGAGCGTAGGTGGGGCCCATGGATTGAGCCGAATCAATCTTGACAATTCGAACTTGCGACTTGTATTCATTGCAATTGTGATTGTATTTTTCGCAATAGAGTTCCCAGCATCCAGCATCATCTTCCAGATCGGATCCTGGTTGGACTTGATCAATGACACGAATGAAGAGTCGGGATGGATTCTCTGCCTGGGTAAAGGCATAATGCAAGGTCCGAGAACATAACTTATCCCGAAAGGCAGCAATCAGCATATGAACTGGGGTATGTTTGGCATTTTCCAATTTGGCATCTGGTTGTTCGGAATAATGTGGGCAAACGCCATCTTGACAATCCGATTCGGCAACATCAATGGTTCCAAATGGTCCATTAGGAAAGAGTCGTCGGTTGTTTTGGTTGTCCCGTGCCAATAGTGTAACTCCATAGGGATGATCACGATTGAAATTCAACTGTTTCTGCAGTCGTTGGGCAATCTTCTTTTGTTCTTCAGAAGTCAATTGGTCCATAGCCTTGATTTCTTCTTCCGCCTTGAGAGCGTGCTCCAATTTCTGTTCCTCATCGCTAGTCCCCTCTTCCTTTTCTGCACCCTCTAGATCTTCAGCTTCCTTTGTGTCCTTGTCTAAAACCTTTTCTTCTTCCTCTTTAATTTCTTCTTCTTCTTCTTCTTTGGCCTTGGCTTCGTCGGCGGCTTGCTTGATGGGATCTACTTCTTGATTGTTGCCATCATCCGTTGCCCCGTCCACGACTTGACCTTGCTCTTCTTCTTCTTTTTCTTGTTGTTGTTGCTTGGAGTCTGCCATTGACAATGTTGTAGAAAGTAATATTATATTCAATGCAACGAGATCCGCTTTTTTAATCGAATGATTTGCAGCGGTGGGGATGCCTATTATTGTCAGCGAGGGGCTTCGTGTTTCCACGGAGATCGGGATGAATGTGCGAGATGCGATAATGGATTTTTGTTTGGTTTGCAGGTCATCCATGACTTTGACTCGTTCGACTTCAACGATGAATGTAAGGACAACATAATGATGGCCAAGCAAGGCGGAAACGAATATAATGGGATTGGCATTTTAAACGGTATTCTCTACTTCCGTGAGTTCATGACTGGACGAATCCCAAGAACGCACCTACATTTGCAAGCACCATATCGGTTTGGCAGAGCAAGCGGCACTCTTCTCGTCGACTCTCACCCACTTCCAGATTTTTCTGTTTCCATATGGCCAACTCTAGCAATGACATAGTTTCAATGATTGCATAATATTCGAATGCAGAGCATGTATCATTGAACAAACTTTGCCGGAGATCCTTGTCAACAGATCGATCAAGTATAGCTTCTATACGGCCCTCCATGTCTTCCAGGCCTGCGGTAGCACCCCACCGCTCCCATGAACCGATTATCCAGCGTTGCATGGCCACTCGAAACAAGTTTGCAGTTTCAGGAGACCAGTTGGTGATTAGATAGTCCATTGCTCGTTTGCCATTGGTATCTTTCCAACCGAGTACATTATAGTGTGCTGGGCACTTGCCATTGTCCAGAAGCACAAGGAATAAATCTTGACGGGGTTCCACAGAAGAACATAAGATATGAAATGGAGTCATGTCGAAATTGTCTGTGACCAATAGACTCAAGTTTCCTTGGGAGTTGATGCATCGACGCAGTTCTTCCACCGTGGTGGTCGATGAGTGGTAGCACAAGTGGTGGATGGGATGCTCATCAAAACGGCGAGCTTGGCCATGAATAATCTCATCATGCCTTGTACCACAATATTCGTGCAGTAGAATGCACCCATCAAAGGCCGCCTCGTCAACCTTCCCATGTGCTGTGAATATCCGTATATTGGCAAGTGACTTGCAGTTGAAAAAGGACTTCTTCTCAACGCAGATGGGATGACGATTCGGTGATGAGATGACTTCCACCGTGACAAGATTGGGACAATCGTAAAATGCATAGCAAGCGATGCGTTTCACAGAGCTCGGTAGGCGGACGGCTTGTAGGTTGTCGGCCTGTTCAAATGCAAAACTTGGAATCTCACATAGCCGTGAAAAGCCAAGATTTACCTCGAGCAATGAGTAACAATCTGCAAAGACGTGTCTGTCCAATATTCTCATACTAGATGGCGAAGTGAATTTTCGTAACGGAACTCCTGTGAACGCTCTTTCCTTGATTCTTTGAAATGATGATGATGGCTCTGTGAAATGAACCCTCGTCAACGCAAAGCAGTAAAGGAATGCTCGTTCTCCAATCGTTTCGAGTGTGCTGGGGAACTCGATATCCTTCAAATTCACGCATTCGTAAAACGCCGCCGTTCCAATTTCTCTCAGTCCTTCTGCTAGATGAACTTCTTTTAGCTCGCTTCGGAAACTGCAAAAATGGTCCGGTAACACTGATACGCAAGCATCGACAATGAGGGTTTCCACATCGTCTGGTACGTTTTCTCCTTCTTGGCCATGGTAATGGTAGGTGCTGAGTTCATTTGATGCTTGCATCTTTCGGTATTCGGTGGTTGGACCAAATTTATCACCACAGGAAGGGAGCTAATCCCTATGGCGCAAGTACGTGTAGGTACTAGTCCGATGCTATATCCAGTCCTTATAGCATTGCCACGGAGATATCATCGAGGACGATGATGTGCATACCGGTGTGCGTGCATGTTTGAGAAATTCGAAATCGACTCGTTGGACTTTCAAAACCTTTGATTCGTTGGACCAAATCTATTGTCACCTTGCAACGATAATGCTTGCAAGAAGCTTCTCATGCATGGCGACTTTGTGATTGACCTACAGGAAAAATAGACCATTCACATTCTTTGTTGACCTGTTAGTTAAAAGAAGGTACCGTTCATTGATATTTTATCAATAAATCGTATTGTTTCCAAGCGTCGAGCAATGAGGAGGAGGAAGAACAAGAAGCAGAGTACTAGGAACAACTGGGCTGTAGTTCTATTAGGAACTTGATTTCAAATGGTAAGTCCTTTTATCCTTTTTGATCTGCGCGTAGATTGCAGTCCCAGATAGAATTCCACTGGTTGGCTGTTCATCCCATCAGAACCACACCAGTACGGTACTACTACTGTAACTCCCATTCTTCATCCGCGTCATCCAAAAGATTCCTTTCACATCATGTCATGACGATGTGGTCCACTCCGAGCCTAAATGACGACGGACGGACTCCCTTTGCACATACCAGTATCACTTATGTTAACGGTCACTTTTTGTGTCGCAGTGTTGGTGGCAAACAAGATCAACAGCATTTGTGATGTGTCACATACAAAATATTACTAATTGAAGTAACGTCTCTTGGTATGTTGATAACTGCAACACCCAATGAACCGAAAGTGTAAGAAGAGTACCAAGTTTACGTTGAAACGCGCGCGTCAGGTTGTCAGTTCTGATCCTTCCCTACTTTAGGAATTTTGTGAGGACGAAGTTGCCTTTCACCTCTCTCCTGCATATCGAATCTCAAACGATTGGATCGATTGACTGCAGCGGTGCATGTTTCCAAAGATCTTATAGGCATCCTCCACAAACCTCGTTCGTCCCAATCATTTCAATAGTCCATCAGTTTACACCCTTCGAGACGTCACCAATAGCTTTTCCGGGTTTCTATTTGATCGAAACCGCTAGTTTTCGGCACTCAAAAAGAGGTTTCTATCATATTCAATTTCCTAAACAGTTCTCTCAAAAGATGATGTCCCCATCCTTTGGAATGCTCGCGGTGAACTCATCCCACAGTCACAGAGGTCGCCGTGCCCAACGCAACAGCAACAGCCGGCAGCATCGTAATCATCAGCAGGAAAGTCGCAACAGCAATAGCGATAGCAGCGCCAGTCCGCTTCAGGAAACGAGAGAAATGCCACAACATCAGCAATTGCATTCATCGTCATCATCATCGCAACAATCGCAACCACTACACCCGACGCCCAAGAAATCTCTCTGCGTCGCCAACATTTTCAAATACACCAAGACGGAAAAGATTGGTTTGAATCTGAAACTGAGCAACACCATGGGACGGATTTACGTGTCGGATATCAAACGCAACAGCAAGTTTGCCAATACTCCATTGCAGATTGGCATGGTGGTCTTGACCGTCAATGGCAAACCGTGTCCCCGGACCGTCAAGGAAACTGCAACCATTGTCAAAGCCATTGAAGGAGACTTGACCATTGTTGCCTGTTCCTTGAAGGATCCGAATCAACAACATCAGGAGAGTAACAATGCTACTACAAACGTCACTCGAGCCTTTTCTTCTATGTCACGCCGCCGCAATCGTAGGGAAGAGGATGAAGCGAGACGACAACGACTTAGTGAGTGTTTGGCGCCCGTAGAATTTGTCACTTCCCCGAGTATGGAGAGCTCTTCGGCCATGTTGGTAGCGGATGACGAAGGTGTCGAAGCAACACTATTGGATACTTCCAATGAAACGAGCAGAAGCAGCAAGAAAAACTATCACGATGAAGCCGACGATGGCGATGCGGATGATGACTGGTCCAGGGGGAAACCATTACTTTCCGATTCAGAAGATGAAACCGATTGGAATGAAAAGCCAAGAAGAAATGTTGCTCGAAGAGGCAGCGATAAGCCTAGATTTATCACCGCGGAGAGTCCTCTGCCAAAGAGTAATGTGGCTCGAAGAGGCAGTGGCAAGCCTCGATATATTACTACAGAGAATTCCAAGCTAAAAAGTAATGCGGCAAGAAGAGGCAGTGGCAAAACAAAACACATTCCCACCAGTACTTCCAAGCGTTCTGCTTCGGATTCGTTCAAAGCCACGTTAGCAGCGGCCTCGGCGACTGCATCCCTAGAGGCAGCAGCGAGCCCTACCGCAAGAGCCAAACGCGCAGCTTCGGACTCCTATGCCTTTTCCAAAGCGGCCAAACAGGCTGCCAAGCAAGCCGATGGGTACGAATCGGAATCTTCCACCTTTTCGCTCCTGAGTCAAGCACAGCAACTGACAGAAGCCGCTACCAGCTGGCTCTTGGGAAATGATGCACCCGAATCTACAAAAGATGAAATGACATTTGATGGAGACGAAGAGTTTGATGCTGCCTACGATACCGACTTTTCAAGGACAAAGCAGGATAGATCATCCAATCAACAACAACAACAACAACAAATGCAAAAGGGCGGAGGACCTATTCGTCTCTTTCCAAATCAACAGCAACAGCAGCAGCAACAACAACAGTTTCATGAATATCCACCTCCTTCTCCCCATCAATACCGCATGACCCCAGCAGCAAGCCACCAAGACACCAATGGTGACAATGATCAACCACCACTTCCCCAACCCCTTCTGCAACGGCAGTCCCAAAATCAGCCTGCATTCTTCATGACACCCGGTGCCTACTCGATTCAGGGACCAGCCTCTCTTTCCCGAGCTAGCTCACGGGCCAGTTCCAATCCCAGTTCCGGTCATGAATCGGACGACTCTTCCTTCTTGCGCAGCTTTTACGACGCGGGAGACTTTTCCGATTTTGACGATGATACCGATTTGGATGTGGGGGTGGAGGAAGGAAATAATGCAGAGGGTCTCTTGGATAGTTTATTGGACAATAACAGTGTGGATTTTGAAGACGAGATTCTCAACCATTCCTCCACTCACTCCAGTGTGGTGGTCGCTGCCGAACTGACGACCGATGCCGAAGCACAGATTGAAGATCGTGTGCGACGAAGTATCCTACAAGATACTGCCGTGGCATCTGTGGTCATGGTCGAACATGGTGGAAGTATTGCGCACGGCAAGCAGAGTCCCAGAGAACGCAGTTATACCAACAGCAGGAATGGTAACAAAAAGTACAACCCCAAGAATGTGAAGCAAAAGCTCTTTGGTGATGGCAAGAAGAACTCCATGGAGGTCATCTTGGCCGGACTGGAAGCTGCCCCCGATGATTACATTCGCAAGAGAGATTTACTTCCATGGACGGTCAAACGAAATGCTACCACCAACAAATGGGTAGCTTCGGTACAAACAAACCAAAAGGCATGGGAAGAAGCTTCTTCGAACCACGAGCGATCGCTGGAGCAAGTTCGGTCCTGTCATACCTTTTCGGGGGACACAGAGTCGGAAGCCTACGAGGCGGGTCTTGCCATGGCACCTCCCGTCATGCATCCCTTTTCGGATAATCCCACTTGTTTCCTGTGCAAATCCAAGTTTGCCGTCTTCCAACGGCCCAAACATTGCAAGAACTGTGGAGTCGTCATTTGCTCCAGCTGTTGCTGTACGTGGTCCAGCAAACGATTGCCGGATACCTATCGCAAGAAAAGTAAGAACACCACTGGGACCGTGCTAGTGTGTCTGGGTTGCGATTGGTTGGCCACCAACTTTCAACAAGCCTTGTTAAGAGGCAACATGTCCAAGGCTCTGACTCTCTACAAGACTGGAAACATCAACATGCGAACTCCCTATGGTCCCTACAATGGTGGCCGCAGCAAGAAACGACGGGATGAAATCATGCATCCCATCCACATGGCCATTTTTGGTGGAAACTTGCAACTGGTCCAATGGTTGGTCCAAGATCGCTATGTGCCCTTGCAACGATCCGTTCCCTTGGCCACCCAAGGCAACAGCAGCACCAGCAAGCGCTTCAATGACAGTTTGGTCTTGCGGACTTCCAAGGGTCGGTCGCCCTTGCGATTGGCACTGGCGCAAGAACACACAGACATTCTTCAGTATTTGGTATCGAGTCAGAAACTAAATTTGTTGGAAGAAGACTTGCGCGCCGACTATCGTAAGGTCTTGAGGCATTTGACTGGTCTCTTGGATACTGTGCCTGCCAGTATGTTGGCCGAGCAAAATCAAATGCCCGCCAGTGTCCAAATCGCCCATCGACAGCGATCCAACCCGCAAGGCTCTAGCAGCCATCACTCGAGCAGCCAAAACAATTTGAATCACGCCGCTAGCGGAGATTCCATTGCTCCTCCCGGAAATCATTTGCTATTTTCCAGTTAAAACAGTAGAATACTGTACATATAGGATCTATGATACATTTTGGTATTATAACACTCTATTTTCAATTTCCAAAATTATAGTTACATCGTTAGAATCAAGGTCGCTGATCGTGGATATGATTCAGGATGGGAATAATAATAATGATGATGATGACGATGACTGCAATATAATGCATACCACTATGTGTATGTATCCCATCACCATCCTCAATGATAAAATAATAGTGGTAGTGTCAACGGCCAATCGTGTTGGTATGTAGTTCCGCCTGCCTGAAGGGAGTCGTCACAATCTCGATCCTGTTTCTATCACGGTCGTCGTTCATCAACTTGTTTCTCAAAACGCACAGCAGCCTCGGATTATTTTGCCACAATGGAGGAAACAACGCCATCATGACTGAATGACTGCTGTTGTGGCGCTAGAAGTAGAGGATCTCACGGTGCAGAATTTAAGCTTTCGTAACCATTAGTCCTATCACCTGGTGATCAACACAATTTACTTGGAAGGAGACGCTTTGCTTCCACTTCCAGCAACATCGTAGTTGGATAAAGCTTGCACCATGGCGCCGCTTAATGCGTCGGGCGACAAGATGATTTTGGTATTCGCGCTATTCGCCAAAGCTTTCTGTGCCTCGATGTATTCTCGAGTCAATTGAAATTGGGTGGCATCCTGCGCATTGCCACCCACAACGTCTATCAGCACTTTGATTGCTTGTGCAGCTCCTTGAGCTTCCAGTTCCAATTGATCTTTCTTAGCTTGGGCCTCCAACCGCACCGCTCCCGCGGCGGCCCTGGCATCAATCAATTTAGACTGCGCGTTTCCTTCCGCTTCATTCACTGATCGTTGCAATTCACCTTCCGACTGAATGACCACCGCTCGTTTGGTTCGTTCCGCCGCCATTTGCTGTTCCATGGCCTTTAGAATTTGTTTGTTGGGAATGATGTCACGCACTTCCACTCGGGTAATCTGAATGCCCCACGGTTCGGTTGCCACATCCAAGTCCCTCAGTAAAACGGAATTAATCTTCTCTCGTGCCGAAAAGGTATCATCCAACGAGAGTTTTCCAATCTCGGACCGCAGCTGTGTCAATACCAGATTCTGAATGGCCAGCTCTAAATTCATGACGGAATAGTAGGCCCGATTTGGATCTATCATTTTCCAGTAGACCACTGCATCGGCAGCCAGCGGAGCATTATCCAGAGAGATGCACTCTTGAGGTGGAATATCAAAGACCTGTTCTCTTCTAGACAGCCTGGTGCGCAATCGGTCGACCAAGGGGATTGTAAAATGGAGTCCGGGATTGAGAATCTGATGGAATTTGCCCAAGCGTTCGACAATGGCCACGTCACCTTGGCTGACAATCTTCGCGGATGCTGCGACGGACGCTGCAGCTATAACGAGGGTGTTCCGGATAAGTGGAAAGGAGTAGAGCGCCGTGCGACTTGCAGAAGATGGTTGCCGTTTGCTGTCAGTGATGAAGGGACGGCTGCCCGTGGTAGTTGTACTGATTCTGATGGATGGGTTACTACTTTTGATACTTTTCGCTTTTGAAGATGAAGAAGTTACAAAAGCTGCAGCTTCTTCAAAGCGGCAGCTGATCAAGAAGAGCAGGGTGCGAAGATCGATTGTGACTTTCATGATTTTACCTCTTACAAAAAATTTCAAAGTATGGTATGTTACGCCGTTGTTATGATACAGCTTGCAGCAGAAGGAAAGCAAACAGGAAATCAAGAAAATGCGTGTGCATTACAGTATGTCGGGGCTGCCAAAAATACTGTGTACGATCCAAAACAATAAATAAAGAGTACAAGTATTTTATACGAGTACTCGTAAAAGATGCATTTTTGAGATTATATCTACAGTATTGTAGACGAAAGCTCGAGAACGAATGAATCAATCAATCATTGGATTCTCTAACGTAGACGAAAGCTCGAGAACGAATCATTGGATTCCTTTCATCATACTGACGACGGTCGAACGACTGTCACAACAGCATTGCTCAGCAACACCAAGTCCGATCAGTTTATCGAACTTGGGCAACGGTGCGGTGCTGTGCTGTGACCTTGTTTAGCGTGAATGTTTAGCGTGGATTTGGACCTATCAAAGTACTTTCACGCTAAACATGAATTGGGCGATCGAAGTGCAGACGACGATATTCAAATAGCCAAACCTCACCACAATGACAATTCAACTCTACACTGGCTTAGAATTAGATCGAATTTTGTAGTCGAATGTTAATATATTGTATTCTCCCTTGTT